GGTCTACCCGTACGGGATACCCAAGTCACCGCATACGATCCTTGCCAACAACGATGGCGACAACGACGACGACGACAACTACAACGGACCCTCTCTGGGAATAAGGCGGGAGTTCCATGTCATGCAAAACACAAGGCGAGCATCGCTGCACCCATACCGACGCACACTCTGCTCTGGTACCCGGTTACGGCGGACGGTGTCGACAAAACATCCCTACAGCATTGGTGCACCCCTCCATCATTTTTCTCTCCGTTTGGTTCTGCCTCCAGGCACTCGCCGCCCGGCCACTTTTCCATCGCCGGCTTCCCCAATCCGGCAACGCCAGAAGCCGCGTCTTCACCCCCTGCCGCCGCCGCCGTCCGTCTTGATCGCCTCGGTTGTCGCCTGTCTTGTCATCCATCCTTCCAGTTCTCTCGGATCTACGGCGCCGAATCGGCTTCTTTTCAGCCACCAACCAAACCCCATCTGCCCATCTACCTAAGGATCCCACTTTACGCCCACCGCTGGCGTCTGGCGCTAGAGGCACTGACTAACCCGCCCGCGCCGCAACAGCATTGTGAGCAGCCCTAATATCTGCCGGCTTCGGGCATTACCGCTCGTTTTCAGGGCTAAGTACGTGGGTTCCTTCCGTCATGCAATACATCGTACATGGCTGGTCTCACTCACTAGCTACTGCGGCAAACCTGTGCTGTTTTGCGCGACGTCAAAGCCGCAGATGACGATGTAGTTCCGCCGCGGTACCCGTCCGGGCCGTGCGATGCCTCAAGTGGGTTGTCTGGAAGAAGTCTAGAACCGTGTCCCCCGGAGCATCGACATAGCCGGGGCTAGTATATACCAGATGGGCACTTGACTTGCTCCTCTTCGTCTGGTTCGCCAGATTCGCAGTGATCCCCCTCTCACAGGGCGACCTGTTGCTCACATCATCACTTCACGTCGGGAGCGAGCTACCTTTGGCCCAACGCGCCACCACCCAGTCTTGGTTCCCGGCGAGCTGCTCAACTATTTAGGTCGGATTCACACACACACCGTACCATTTACGTATATCGTATCGTCGTGGTAGACGCCGCCCTTCTTCGACCCCTGCGCGGAACCTGCCATGGTTCGCTTACGGATACGATGCATGACATGGCAATAGCTTAGTTCGCCTTGCACCCGCTGCTCGGGCCCCCAAGTGATCCCTCAGACGAAGTGGCCCCTGAGACGGACAGGGCGTCTGCCAAGGTTGCCAAGCTCTTCCACCTTGCAGATGCATGCACTTGGTACCTGAATCACCAGCGTTGCGCAATCTGCGCAAACCGGCGTCGGACCTCGGCGGCACAGCCCCGGCCCAACGATTGCAGCTTTTGCCTGGGCTTCGCATCGGCGTCGGCAGCCTCCACGAAAGCAACAAGTCGAAATCGCCCGTCGAGCATCCATGTTGCACCTCTATGGAGAATTTCGAGGCCTTCACGGAGACGACTCTCTCTCGTTCCCGCTGCGGCGATGAATAGCTCCCGTGCCTACCTGGATGCTCCCCTTGTTGCCTCCACGACATGATTTTGTAATTTTTGCTTGCTATTACCTAACTGATACTGATACGGAGCGTGCTTGTTAGCGTGCTTGCTAGGGCCTTGCCTGACTTGGGTCACCATTTGCACATGCATTGCTGGATGCCATCGGTCTCAACTACTCCAAGCATGACAGAGAGCCACCTGCCAGCCTTCATGTGCTAATCCCCGATGGCTTCCAGCCTGGGGATGACGCCTTTGGGCGTGTTCCGACTGCAGGCCTCATCTCCGCATCGCGATGGGCGTTGGGAGGTCCAGCGGCGACCGTGATGGTGCAAGATGTGTGACGGGGAGGACGAGCCTCGAGCTCCGCATGTGGTGATTTGCATGTTGCCGCTTTTTATCGACATCAAGAGTGAACCATGTCCTCCGTGCGAGATATCCAGTGAAGGGGATCTGAGTCGTGGTCAGTGTAAAAGCCAGCCGTGTGCTTGGAGGAATATCAGTCTCTCGTCAGGCTTGCCTCCTCTATTTGTGCCTGTCAGTTCTCGCCCACGATGTCTGGTCCCGGGTAGTATCGGTTGTGGAGGCACCATCCACGTTGAAGTGTAAACATAAAAGGATGAAAAGAGGTATATGAAAGCGCTGAGGCCTGGTTTGCCAGGTCCGTCCTCCCGTGAGTTATACAGGGCAGACTATCAAACTCGCTGTAATGCCTCCCCTCGTTGGACGTCCCGTTCGGAGAACCCGTGAACGAAGTCGGGTCCTCGGTTTCACAAGACGACTTGGACAGGAAGCACCATTAAACGACACCCTCCTCCCGCCTCCGCCGGAACCCGTCGAGGATCAGACTCGCCATCTGCGCGTTCGTGATCGGGATGTCCTTCTCCCCGACCCTCTCCCTCATCACCTCCTCCTCCGAGGCCCACACGTGGTCCGCGTGCTCCTCGGGGTCGGTCCGCACGGCAATCTCGTCGCCTTCCCCGTCCCCGCCCGGCGCCACGGCCTCGACCTCGACCTCGACCTCGAAGGCGAACCGCAGCAGCGTCAGCGTGCCCGTGCGGTTCGTCAGGGAGCTGCCGGGCTCCTTCCCCGCGCCCTCGCTGACGACGCGCACGACGCGGACGGCCCCGAGCCCCGTCTCCTCGCGCAGCTCGCGCGCGCAGGCGGCGAGCACGCTCGGGTCGGCGTCGTCGACGGCGCCGCCGGGCGCCTCCCAGCGCAGCGGCATGCTGTCGTGGGCGGCGCGCTGCAGCAGGAGGACGCGGCCGCGGCGGTCGAAGACGAGGGCGCTCGTCGCGAGGCCGTCCAGCTCCGTCGCCTTGCCGTTGTTCTCGAGCCAGGCGCGCATCGGGAGGTTGTAGCATTTGAGGGATGTGGGGTGGGCGAGGTTGGCGGCGGGGTCCTGCGTGGTCGTGGTTGGTTGCTCCATCGTTTGCAGGTTTTTTTTTGTCTTTTTTTTAAAAAATCTTTCTTCTTTTTGCTTTCTTCCTTATGTGGAAGGATAGATGATATGGAGGAGAGGAAGACGGTTGTTGTTCTTGGGTGAGTCGTCGGGTTGAAGTGTGGTTTGCGGAGTGAGGGACTGTTTGCGACGACGGCGGCGGCGGAGGCGGCGGGGCGGGTTTTCTCGGTCGTTCCGCCGACGACCCACTTTTGCGACGTGTTTTTACCTGGCCGGAGGACCTTTGATCTGGTGGTATGGACGGCCACGTCCCCTCCCAGTGCAAGCTCGAGGTCCCGGCCATGGGTCTCACTTCGTATCCCCTTTCCCACCGGGTTTAGGCTGACGAGAAGCACTCAAATATTGGCGAATTACAAAAAAGAAATGTCTCGAAAACGTTCTCAAGGCCCTGAGAGTAGGCGATTGGAATCGTCGTCATGGCATGTGGGAACGTCTTTCGCGGTTCAAGACAGCAAACTGATACAGATAGTTGCATGCAACAAGCATTAAAATTGTGTCAACTGATGATTTTCTCGCACTTGTCTCTCGACTGATCGAACTTTCTCTAAAGTAATAGTCCGTCGGCCCAGTAGTGTCCCCTCCCCCCTTCCCCTCGGCAATGGCCTTTGGTTCGGCGACAGTAGAATCGGTAGTGACAGCTTTGGAAACGCCAGTGTCGGGAACGGGAGGGGGGAGGGGTCTTGGATGGTTTGCTCGTCGGAGCGGCGGTCTTTTCGGTTTCCGTGCCTGCAGTGGCCGTCTTGAGAGCTTCCAGTCTCTGCGACTTCGGTCTTTGCAGCTTCAGCCGTTGATGCATCCGTCTCTGCAGCCCCCCGTCTTTGGGACAGCCATCCTCGACGCATCTGTCTTTGGGGCGTTGGCCGTTGATGCCGCCGTCTCTGGACCCGCAGACTCAACAACCCGGGAACGAGACTCGGCCGGCCGAGGACAATCCTTGTGTCTCCCATTCCTGCCCCTTCTCTTGTCCTTTTCCTCTGGCGACATGCCTCTGACTAGGCCTCTCGGACATGTCTTGGAAATGTGGTTGCTTTCAGAGGTAATAGGGCGGCAGACTCGGATGGCTGCTTTCTTGGCTGTCTCAGCAGAACCTGGCGGTGTGAAAACACAAGATTTTATTCAACTCAACGTCCTCTACTGAACCACTGACAAAAATACCAACTACCATTCTGTCATAAACCACCATCACATGATACATTCACATTCAAGGCATCACAATGCTATACTGGAGCTGCATCTGATTCATGCTTAACAATTTACTAGCTAATAATGGTCTAGCCTTGCCTCCACGTTGAAAAACTACCTACCAACCCCCCTCCCTCCCCTGCGTTGTTAGGTATTTTCCATTCCGTGACCCTGAGGGAAGTAACCATGTTTTAACCCATTACCTGCCAAATGGCGACAAACTAGGCTGTCTATTAGTGCAAGGGCAAAACGTCGTGTGCCGCGTTCTGTATGGAGAGACCTTTGTGCGCAGACACATGTGTTCGTGCAGATCTATTAGAGCGCAGTCTCAGAGTTGAAAGAGAAAGTCGTTGTGTTCATTGAAGAACGGTGCCTGAGCTGGTGACAAGGAGAAAAGAAAAGGAAAATACTTTTGGGCCCTGTAGCAAGTGCTTCTCTAGTACTGCGACACGCTGTCGTGACCAAAAAGCTGGCTCGAGGACGCAAAACGGTCGATGACGATCAACCCGTACCCAAGTCTAGAGAAGCCCAAAAAGCCGTTTCCAAGGCGTTGAGCTTGCCGCGTGTTGGAAGAACAAGCAGAGATGGAAGACGACACGACAAACAAAGTGCTGCAAAAGCCAAAGAACAAGGCGGTGTGGTGTGTTGGCTCTGCATGGTCGACGATCTATTGAGCAGGGGACAAAGCATTGCACACGGCAAAAGTTGCGGCACAGCATGCATTGCAATGATGGATTCCGTCTGGTGCCACAAAGTTAGCAGAAATGACACTGACTATATGTATTTCCAAAGTCTTACCGAACCTGAAGGCGGAAATGCAAAAGGTTCAGAGCATAAATAGCTCTTGCCGCGGTTCAGTTTGCTTTTTAGTGCTTGTGAATGTTGTTGTGGATTCCGAGAGAGTCAAAGGAATCAGCGACCTCGGCAGACTCAGCACCCTGTTCATTCTGAGCGTTGTGTGCAGATTGGGAGGTCTGAAGACCATAAGTGACGTGAGTTCCTTGACCGTTCTCAGGAGAACTGGAGTAGACGGTTCGGGGGGTGCCAATGCTGGACGGGGTCCCGGGGGAAGAGAAATCGAGGAGGTTCTCGGAAGGGCGAACGCGCCGGGGGGTCTGCTGGCCAGAGCCCTTGGTGCCAAGACCGCCAATAGTGTGGTCCTGGAACAACTGTCTGAGGAGTTCGGCGTTGGAGATGTCATCGTCGATGCCACCGGGAGGATTGACAGAGTCGTCCTTGGAAGTATTGGCAGCAACATCATCGGGCTTGGAGGGGCCATTCTTGACACGATTGTAAGAGGCATCTCCTGAAGTAGCGGAGGAGAGGATGGCGGTCTCGTAGGAAGAGCCGATGATGAGGCTGAGAGAGTCATCCAGAACGGCATTCTGGGGCTCGATGATGGTGCTGACGGAAGAGGCATCGTCCTCCAGCTCCTCAGGCTTGAAGCACTTGCAGTACTCCTGATACTTCCACTCCTCGTGGATGGACGTCAGCAGCCGCTGGACCTCGTATGGAAACGTGACAAAGATGTCGGGGTCGATTCTGCTGATGATGTTCTCCAGACGGACGATCAGATCGACCAGTTCCATCAGGCTGTCTTCGGTGTTGATGAGCCGGGACCTGAGGCGGTTGCGGTGGCGGAGAAAGCGCTGGGCCTGCTGCTGAATGTCGGCCATCTGCTTGTAAAGGCTCTCCGTCTGGGTCTCAAGCTGCTTGTTGGTGGATTGCAGGCTTGCAACGAGGTGGCCTGAGATGTCGTTGCTGATGACCCTGGACTGCAGGCGGAGGTTGGCATCACGGAGACGCTGGTTCTCTTCTTTGACGGCCTTGAGCTCTCGAGCAATCACAGGCAGAGCCCGGTCAGAATGGCGCTGGGCACTCATTGTCATCAAGGTGGGCGACGGAGGCATGCCCTCGTCGTCATACTGGCCGTCAGTGCCAAAACGAAATTGGTCTTTGTTGTTCTAGAGAAGACAAAAGTGTGAGAAACTGGGGATGAACAGGCTTTATTTGAGTAATGGAAAGGAGAACAGAGGGTTTGATTGTTTGAAAGGGCAGAGGGAGGGACCAGTGAGACGATTGCCAGCTTCTCACGAACTCATGGCTCACGACCTCATGGCTTGAGTTTTCATCAGATGTAGAGGGGAAAAATGCAAGCTGAGATTTTTCTCCAACCTTTTCAACAAAAAACAGAGAACCCAAAGCTTGTGGGAGGATGGGAATTGATTTCATGGAGGGGAGCGATGAACTTACCAAGCCAACACCCTTGGGATGTTCCTTCTTCTGGCCACTCACCTGACCGAGACCACTGGCAGCGCAGATCTCGGAAGGGGATGGAAATCCTCCTGCACCAAGGCCACCTGTGACAATAGCGATGCCGCCGCTTGCAGCAGAGACACCGGCTGACGCGAATCGAGCAGGGATCGCGTCCTGGAAGGGGTCGCCAGCTGCTGCACCCATAGCCTTCGACTCACCCTTGCTGCGAGCAGTGCTGGCAGTGGCAGGTTCACCGGCAACTACAGGCAGGCGGAAGATTCCCTGGGTACGCTTGTCCTGGGGCGCAGGAGGGTGAGTGGCGGCGCCTGGGACAAAGTTGGCTGTGCCCACCACGCCCGAGTAGGGGACAGTGTAAGAACTGAAGCCGTTGGAAGACATGGTGAGCGCTGGAATGAATTAGTTAATGAGAGTTTGTAGGATGATGAAATGGAATTCACCTTGGAATGCGATCAGTCTGGGATGGAAAGCGTTGATCTTGGTGAGCGAAGGCGGGTGAAAGTGATTGGTGTGAGAGACTTAGTAGAGTTGGGGGAAGAAGGAGAGGTTTTGGAGATGGAAAGGTGGTGATAGAGGGAAGGATGAAAGAAAGTAGAGCTAAAAAGGATGAGAGAAGTAAGGTGTGAGGGAAAATCTATCCTTGAGCGGTCTCTGCCTGTCTGCCCGTCTGCCCATCTCAAAGAGCCGGGTTAGAGTTGGGACGGATTCTAAGAACCCTGATGAAGTCTTTTGACACAAAACAGGAAGGAGCAGAGTAAATCAAGGCTGTGATTCGATACGGTTCTTTCAGTTTGACGGAAGCTGCTGGCTCCAGAGAAGAATTAGTTACGGCTGGACTCTGTACGACGAGGCGATCAAGATGAACTGTCAGCCAATACAATAGTCTTTTTTTTCTCTTTTTTTTTCTGGGCCTAGCGTGCGACTTGTATGGGAAGGAGCTAGACATCTAGCGGCTATCGTGCCGTCAACTTTATTTTCATGCGGCGATGTAATCGTCCAACCAAATGGGTTGTGTGTCTCCAATAGCTGGGACCAAGATTGACACCCAGGCAGCAACTGTGTGAATGCCACGGAACCCATTGTGTCTCTTCAATCTTTTTATGAAACCCTCTTAAGAAAAAGCAGGTGCTCTGTTGTGACTAGAGTAATATTTGAATCTGTTCTTTGATGCGTTGACAGCACAATGTCCAACGTGTTGCTGGGTCATTTTGAGATGCGACAATGGTGACCAGAAGCCGTACAGGGCGAGATTACGGGCTTTTACATTGACCGCATCACCAGTCTATATAACGACCCCATGTTTTACGCTCTTGATCAATGCAATGTCCAACTCAGTTATTCTATGCTGAGGGCGGCCGGGCGAGGCCACGATGTGTTGCCCGTGCCAGACATATGTCCTTCAGTATCGGCAACAAGCGCCTGCCTCTCGCAGAAAGCAGCCTCAACTGAAAAGATGACTGCCTGTTACAACCATCAGCAGTTGAGCATGATCAATGAGCCGTTGCCACCCATGTAACATCATATGACCATGGGGAGACGTGAGAAACGGCCCCGCCATCGGACGCCAAGAACAGCGCTAAGAGTATGGGCGGCGGGAGTGACAGGGGTCCGGCATTCGGGGGTCCGGCATTCGGGGGTGGGTTACTGTCCTCCGTCCAACGGCATTCTCAGAAACACAGCATCATCATTACTCGATCAGCCTCACATTGCGCATCTACGAGCTCTCCCGATGGACCCCGCGGCACAGCAGGACAGCACACAATGTCCATCGCAGCCAGCGTTCCCAGGAATCCTCACCTTTGTCGCGGCAATCGTCGCGGCGGCTTACGTCAGAATCACGTATCTGCGCAACAGCGACGACGAGTACCCCCTGGCCAGGGCCTCCCTGTCCTGGTCCAAGACCGAGTCCGCGTGGCTCTCGGGCCTGGTCATCTCGTGCCCGAGAGTCGGGGCCATGGCCTGGCTACCGGTCCGCCCTAAGGAGCTGGAGCTAGTTCGGCGGAGGGAAGCCCTGACGGCGCGGGTGCAGTTCACGCAAATGAGCATGATTCCTTCGTAGGGGAGGATTCCTCTCTCATTGGTGTTGACGAGCGTTGGTTATACTTTTTTTTTTCTTCCTTTTTTTCCCTTTTTCTTGTTTCCCCTGCAGGCGAGTTCGAGATCTAGAGTCAAGGACTACATGGATGGAGATGGAGACGAAGACTGAAGAGGGAGCTTTTTTCGTCTTGGAAAGGCAGATTTCCGAGCAGCAGCGAGCCCATATCCACCGGCCGTGTCCAGGTGACGAGTCGCGGCTGTTTATTTAATGGCATATCCCCCTTGCAGCATGTACGCTCCGGCGGCGGCCAGGCTGGCGACGGCGACAGGCAGATCGAGCTCGAGGACGGACCAGATCCATACGCAGCCCAGCGTCGGCGCCTGCTTCAGGACGTACAGGTAGCTGAACTTGTTGGTGATGTATATCAGGTGGCACCCGGCCCAGGTGCCGGCCACGAAGAAAACGGTCTGGCGGATGGGATGCTGGAAGCGGAGCGGGAGTCCCGGGACGAGGTTCGGGCTGGTAGGGTGTGCGTGTAAGTTGTAGAAGAGGAAGGAGAGAACTGCGGGCAAAACAAGATCAGCATGAGCCACGTCCAACTATTACTTGTTGGGGTTGCATGTAACACTCACCAAGGAAGGCAGCCAGCGTACGACCGATGACAGCGGGATACTCGATCTCCTTGGCGTACTGGTTCTGGACCAGGACATCAAGGGTGCCGTGGAGCATGGCGAGACTCACTGTCCACAATAGAGTGTCCATGACGCGCTCCATGGCTGGGGACAGCTTGGCTTCATCGTCGTCGTCGTCGTCGTCCTCCTCCTCCTCCTCTTCATCATCGCTGCTATGCTCTCTGCCGGGCCTGTCGATGCGGACGGCGCCCTTAGGCACGTTCTTGTTTCTCGGATCCTGGTCGGCCTGTTTGAAGAGACCTCTCTCCTGGGCGATCTGGAGCAGGGTGGCTTCGCTGGGACCAGACCGATCCGGTTGTGCCAGAGGGATGTCTCTGGGATCCTTGATCCTCTTTTCCTTGCCCTTCTTGGCCATGGTCAAACACGCCGGATGACGCTCGAATCACGTCGTCCTTTATGCCCCTTCGGCTGCCTAACGTCTACGAACAATGATGATGTTCAGAGTAGGGTGGTGAATACGAGTCGAAGCCGGTCTCGGTCACAGCTGCAGGTATGTTATCGTCTGGTCGCGTTGGTCCGTTGTCTAGTGGCGTGCCGTTGGCTGACAAAGACAAGCAAAGCTTCAACACTAGGTAGACTCTCTTTTTTCCTGGTTGTTCCCCGCTATCAGCTCAGCTTAGCTCAGCTCAGCTCCGGCCCTAAAAAAATTAGAGCTCCCCCCCTTGCCGGCCGGCGGTCCAGTGACCAAAGGATCCCCGTTCGTCGCATGATAGAGGCTTCAATTCGCCAATCAGCAGCCGTTGCGACCAGTCACCGCCTCCAATTCGGGGAAAGGGGAAGACGGGCTGCGACGCACGAGAAGGAACGTTACTATGTAATACTGCGTATCCGTATCCGTAGTTCATCCAGTAATATTATTGCGCAGAACACGGCCGATGGTCTCTCTCTTACTCTCTCACACACACTCTCTCTCTCTATGCACGCCACACCGCATCTATTCGTACGATAATCCCCCCCCCCTCGACGACGACGACAACGAGGACAAAACCCCACCCTGGGGAAACCAAAAGTCTCTCCCTCACCGTCGAACCGAAAACCGCGTACCTAAAGACCCTCCCCCCGCCCCCGGGAGAATATAACGCGAACCACAAAAAACCAGAAACAGGCACAAAGATGGCCTCGTACTTGTTCGTCGGCGCCCTGTCGGTGGCAGTCACCCCCGCATTATACACGTACCTAGTGCGGCTGCTCGCGCCGCGCCTGTCGACCCTTGAGAACAAACGAATCTGCCTTCTGATCGCCCACCCGGACGACGAGGCCATGTTTTTCGCCCCCACCGTCCTGGCCCTCACCAAGCCCGACACCGGAAACCACGTCAAGATCTTGTGTCTGAGCTCAGGTAGGGGAAAAACCGACCCCCCCCCCCAGCGGGGAGGGTAGGGGAGGGCGTGCCGCTCGAGGTGGGCAATGCTGCGCGCAATGGCTGACAAGACGGCGCATCTGTGTGTGTAGGTGACGCCGATGGTTTGGGCGAGACCCGTAAGAAGGAGCTGGTCAAGAGCGGCATGAAGCTCGGCCTGCAACAAGAACAAGACGTCTTTGTCATTGAGAGCCCGTGAGTAACCCTCCCCCCCACATTATTTTCCCGGGGCCACCTGCTGAATCGTTTCTCTATTTTGCTTCCCCCTCCTCCAGCGACTTCCAAGATTCCATGACCAAGACCTGGGACGAGACAAAGATCGCCGCCCTCCTCGGCCGCGCCTTCGCCCCGCAGCTCGCCCGCCAGCGCGCCGCCGGCGAGCAGCCCGCCGCCAACATCGACGTCCTCATCACCTTCGACGCCGCCGGCGTCTCCTCCCACCCGAACCACATCTCGCTGTACCACGGCGCCCGCGCCTTCATCTCCGCCCTCTCCGCCGACCCGCGCTGGCCCTCCCCCGTCGACCTCTACACCCTGACCTCCGTCTCCCTCCTGCGCAAGTACAGCAACTTCCTCGACACGATACCCACCCTCCTCTCCTGGGCCACCACGTCCGGCAGCAACCCGCCGAAGCCGCCCAAGAAGCCCAAGAAGACGGAAGAGGGGGAGAATAACAGCGATGAGGACGACGAGGATGAGAAGGACGACTACCACCCCACAGCGCTGGTCTTCCTCAGCGGGCTGGGCACCAACGGCGGCTGGGCGACGGCGTGGAGCGCCATGACGACGGCGCACAAGAGCCAGATGGTCTGGTTCCGGTACGGCTGGCTCTCGCTGAGCAGGTACATGGTGATCAACGACCTGCGGCTCGAGACGGTCGTCGGTGCCCAGGAGGCCAAGCTCGAGACGGTCGTCGCTGCCCAGGAGGCCAAGGCCCGACCCGCGCCAGCCGACAAGAGAAAGAAAGAGAGAAAAAGCAAAAAGGGAAAATAAGATGCCTATAAATATATACACCTACCCAGAATCTCATACATAGTATTATGAGCATCACGTACGTACACCCCGTAGAACAACAGACTACGCACTTCAGTTGAAAGACTACAGTGGCCGCTCTCTTATCAAGTTGATGATAGCCATCGCTGGAAACGCTATTGTCGTCGTCGTCGTCGTTTGAGCGGCTCTCCTTTCATGTGTATATACAGGCACAATGCCGTTGCCCCCCCCGCTTTATCTAACACACCTGCCGATACCGCCCCAAACTACCAAGTCAAGGCTCTCAAAAGGACCTTTCTATCTAGTTTGCGAGCGCCTCCCGGCCCCGTTTCGGTGTCCAAGCTGTCCGCGCCCGCCTCGTCCATGTCTGCGTCACTCTCCACCGTCGCCTTGCCGGAGCGCAGAGACCTCTCGTCCTGTCCGAACCTCGCCTGTCGCCGTTGGCGGACCATCCTCTTTATGGTTTTCCGAATGGTAATGGGCATGCTCTCGTAGACCGGGTCGCCCGCCTGCGTCAGTACGGGGACCAGCTTCTCCGGATCGCTCCCGCCCGCTGGTTTGGCGTACCTGGGACGGCTCGGGTCTGGGGCAAGACGCTGCGTCGGCGCGCTCGGGACAATGCGCATCACCCACTTGGTCTTTTGATTCGTGTCCGTATTTGCGATCCTCACGGTCCCCCCGTTGGTTGTGTACGTGATGGGATCAGGTAGGAAGCGGTGGAAGTCGCCTACGAACTGGGGGATGATCTGGGGCGCAAGGTGCGCCCGGTGCCGCAGGCTTTTACTTGTCTGGCGAAGCCATTGTTGACACCAGTTTTGGATTGTGTACCAAGCCATGTGCTGCCTGGCTTTCAGTCGTTGGTGCCGAGCAATCGAATCTGGCGGGGGTGAGGGATAGAGGGATTCAAACAGAGCTTGCTCGACTTCTTCGCACAGCACGTCGTACTCGGCACAACCCTGCTTGATGGCCTCCCAAGCCTCGTCCGGCCTTCCGGCACTGATCAACGATTTGACATAGATGTCTGTTTCGTGAAGGCCGACATTCACCAGGTAGGGCTCGCTCTTCATGGTTTCCCACAAGGAGAGCACCTCGTCCGCACGAATGATCCTGTTGGCGTCACCCATTATCTTCCACTCCTGGCTGGCGGGTTTGGAAGAGAGGATATACGTCCACTCCAGCAGCGCAGACCAGGAGCTTTGTGGTATGGGGATCTGCCATCGCCGAGAGACGTATATGATCAGCTTCTTCGCAAGAATGACGTGGCCTGTGCACCCAAACGATTGCACGATGCCGTGAATCAGGCGCTCTGTTGGCTGGAGCAACGGGCTAAGGCTACTCCTCTGGACGCCACCGGTGATTTCCGCTGCCCGATGATCCCGCAAATCTGTAATCTTGATCTTCCACGTCCGCCAAAGAAGCCCGATCATATCCCGGAAAGAACCCGCACGAGCACTTGCCAACAAGTACGCGCAGTAAAACTCCTCGTCCACCACTTTCCTTTCTCTCTCAGCATAACCTTGTAGTCGTCTGACAGGCGCGGGCAAGCTCACAAGACGGTGCATATCATGTGTCGGTAGCCAACGAGCGCGCCCGAAACTGTCTCGCTTGCGTGATGAGATACTCAATCGTAGCCTCTCCAGAGGCCAAAGCAATTGAGTTTGATCAAACCTCTTCCTGTTCTTGGTGATGTTGCGCGGGCGCATTCGGAATCGGGCGAGATCGTTCTGGGCGTAGGTCGGATCTGTGAGGAATCGCGTCTTGAAGTATTCGGCAAAGACTGAACCGTCCCGGGGATCGGTGACGGGATCCCCTTTCATTGCCCCGTGCCAGATGGCCTTGGCGGCCTCGAAATCAGAAGCGGCCCCGGCGCATCTCAAGAGCACCACGTAGTCGGCTCGCGACGGGCTACTGCCGTGGTAGGAGCGGAGGTCAAATAGGGAGCGCAAAGCATGGAAGGTGTGGGTGTAGATCTTGCGAACGCCATATTGATCCGCTACAGACGCGACAGAGCTGAACTGGCCGAGACCACTCGGGATGCGTAGACCATGGGCCGCATCACTTCTGGGACCGACCCGGGAAGGGTCCAAGGAACGTACAATGGCCGAAAAGGCAGTAGGGGGAAGAGACTGCAACGCGTCCGCAACCTGGATCTGATGCTGGTGATGTACGAGGGCCACAACACCCCTCAGAATCTTGATTGTGTTCTGCGACTGGACCGCCCTGAGCATGTGGGCCAGCTGGATTTCGGGAGAATCGGCACATCTCTTCTTCGCAGACGCATTGGGAGCTTCGGAGCTCAAGGATTGAGATTGAGAATGTCTTCTCGTTGAGAGGCTCGGCTTTGTTGGAGAGACGGATGGTCTCGCAGAGGCGGTCGTAGACAAGTCGCGATGTTGCCGAGGTAATCTCGGCATTCGAGCAGACAAAAGCCTTGAAGGGGTGCCGCGAGGAAATGGGCGAATCCGAAGAAGAAGCAGCCGCCGAAGGCCATTGGCCTCCGCAGCAGGTATCATGATGGAAGAAAGCAAGATGCTGGGTTCATCTCAAGCAAAGAGAGGGGAGACAGAGCAGAGCTGTAGCATAAGCATAGCAAAATGAGGGAAGCAGTGCACGCGAGGAGGAAAAGCAAGAAACGCGGAGGTGTCTTCCTCTCTTTCAATTGAGAGGAGGCACAAATGTAGGAGGTACATAGGTATGTAAGATGGCTCAGGTAGTAATACTACGTACCACGTACCACGTACCACGCAACTCTTATGGCGCCTCGACAGCAGCAGGCAAGACAGCTTCCCCAACCCAACTTGTCTGCCGCCTCCTCTGGAGTCCTTCCCCTCCCTCTGGCGTCTACGGAGTACTCCGTACACTAATAAAGGCCCTGCAGGCGCCTGGTTTGGGGGCCTGCTCCCTTCCTCCCAACCGTGCCATCCTGGACCGTGCGGGAAGCTCCACGCTGAACCTGGGGCAAGACCCCATTCTGGTCCACTTTCCGGTGTGCCGTGGCGTGGTACGTCCCGATGGTGGACTGATAGCCGGAACATCTGTCATGCCGGCGCCGAGATTCCTGGCCAATGACAGGGCGAGAAAGCCGGTGGTGCAAAATGCACAATTCTGAACCGTGTCTGGCCCCACCACTGCTCTCGGCCACAGCTAAGCAAGCTGCTGTGTGTCTTCGTCGAGAAACGCACGCGCGCCTCTCTGTACCGTACCTACGCTCGCTCACACGCCCCCTGGTCCTCACTTACTCACCAATCCGACACTCATATCATCTCATCATGGCGGACGTCGGCGAAGACACCACCCACGTTCAGGAGCCCCTCGACCTCGTCAAGCTCCTGCTCGATGAGGTTGTTTTTGTCAAGCTCAGAGGCGACCGGGAACTCAAGGGCCGACTTCATGTGAGTGCCAATACGTCGTGACAAGTCGGGCGAATGAGCATGTTTTGACATTTCTTCACAGGCATACGACAGCCATTGCAACCTGGTGCTAGGAGAGGTGGAGGAGACGATTTACGTGGTGGACGAGGATGAGGAGGATGAGGAGGTGAAGGTGAGAGGACCTCGCCTTGTCCAACCTGCCACCGCACGCTAACGGAACTTTGCAGACGATTAGCAGGAAGTCGGAGATGCTGTTCGTTCGAGGTATGGTCTTTCTCGGGTCGATTTGACGTCGACGGATCTAACAGTTTCGCAGGCGATAGCGTGGTGCTCATCTCCCCGCACACATCATCATAGGTAACAAATGCGAGACGACGCATCTGCTCGCACCACCAACGAACCCCGAAATGAGACCGGCTTTGGACACTCGCGAATGGAATGAATGCGTTGGTCTGTCGCGGTCCAAGCAGGGTTCACGGTTCCTGACAGAACCGAGTAATGTGCGAACCCGGCCGCATGGTCATGGACGTCGACGCAGTCTGAACTTCCATATCCCCGCATCGCCAGGCCTCACCTGACGCCCACGCCATGAATGGCATCAAATGCCACATCGGAGCGGCTGTGGAGGGTGCCAGGCTACGGAGCGCCGGTCTCCTGGGAACGACGGTTTGAGGAACAACTTGGGCGCACCTACCATGGACTAGGGATTGCTCGAGCTCGTCGTTGTTTGCCGTTCGAATAGAAATTTCTAGCAATGGAGCACATTCAAGCTCAAACTTGTCTACTGGCACTGCTGGCGAGGCATGTCATGCCGCCGAACGGGCAACTCGAATGTGACAAGGACCTTAAGACCCCCCGTCCAGCTGCCCACCATGATTGACGGTCCTTAGCGGCGAAGGAAACGTGGTTGGGCCAGCCACGCTTCAGCCAATAGGCCCGAACAACTGACGGGGCTGGGTCACTCAGTAGCCCCTGTGCCACTTCCGTTCTGCCCACTGCCTTCAACTCCAACCATCGGGCAACTGCGAGCCAAACCATATGTGCGGTGAGGCCTTGGATTGGCAACGAAGACAGTTACGTTGCCTATTAGTCAAGGCAGAATCCGGGGGGCACCTCTACGCAGTGTGGGCGGGCGGCTTGATGCTGCGGCTGCTGCTTGCTTTGGTCCGTGCCAAAGCTCTTATCGATAGACCCCACAGAATTACTCACAACGGGGGCTGCATCGCTGCTTTAGGCGAGGACCAACAATGGTGTCTGCATGCTGTGTTACCAGGTATTGGGTTGTGCAGTTTGAAAAAACAAATGGATGGAGGAGTCAGAAATAGGATCCAAGAGACCTGTCGTCCTTAGAGAAGAATCTGGCCGACATTTCTTGAGTTACTGTTGACCATGTAAGTCAACAACACAACATGTCTAGTTCGAATCTGATGCCGCCTGTCAAGCAGAGACTCGATAAAGCGGCGGTGCATTCTGTCACCTCTTGGGTCCGGGTGCGGAGCGAATGTGCCTCGACTGTCACTGACTGGCCGCAGGTATCGCACCATGATTTGACTTCGCCGCTCGAGTCACTCGATGACTCCTTTGTTTCCCTTTAACCCGAGAATTCTTTTCTTTTTTTTCTTCTTCTTCTTCTTCTTCTTCTTCTTTTTTTGGCCTCCCGTCTATAAATCGTCCTGCGCGACACACTGCATTCGCCTATCGCGTCTTTTCCACTGTACAGACACATTATAGCCAGTTGATCTTCCGCCACGCCACCCCGGAGACGCGCATCAATGATTACCAGGATACGCACCTGAACGCTCCCATCACCCCACCATGACGAGCAAGAACATAAAGTCGTTACCGCACGAGAAGCGCAGAGGCGAGGCTGTACGAGACACCCCCCTCTCCCCATTCATCATCCGGTCAAGTAGCCAATCCTCGTGCGGCAGCCGCTGACGCATTATGTCCTAGGCCCTCAGCGACTTCGCCGAGTACGTCGAGAAACAGCAGGCGCTCCGATACCCGAGTTCCAAGCCGGCCGACACCACAAGAGTGACCGTCGTCCCCGAGCACCAGCATGCCGAACTCGACGAGCTCTTCGACAACCTCAACCTGGCCGAGGTGACCCCGGGCGTGCGGTTGAAGGACCTGCTGCTGGCGACCGACGATGACGCGCTTCGGGATCTGGAGAGGGTGATCCAAGAGAGGATACTCGAGGGCCACGGCGAGACCGTCTTCGAGCTCGGCTTCGAGAACAGCGGCGAATCCATGGGGCTGTCCCTCGACCAGTGGAATGCGGCCCATACAAGACTGAGGGATGCGGCCAAGAGGATACGGGCCGACTGCCACACGCTCGTCACGAAAAACGTCGGCGGCGATGTCGAGGCCCCGAGTGCCAAGACCGGCAAGGACAGCCACTGCAGCGGCAAGATCATGATCCGTCAGGCCCCGGCAACGGTGGAGGATGTGATTGAAACGCGGATAGCTGTAGTAGGCAACGGTGCGTCCCCCCCTGGTGCCAATTTCAAAGGGCCGAACTAACGACTATCACAGTGGACGCAGGCAAGAGCTCTCTTCTGGGCGTTCTGGTCAAGGGCGACCTCGACGACGGCAGAGGACGAGCGCGAGTGAACCTCTTCCGACACAAGCATGAGATTGAGACGGGCAGGACCAGCTCCGTGGGCATGGAGATTCTGGGTTTCGACACGGTCGGAGAAGTGGTCACCTCCGAGACCCCCGGACGTATGTAGCGACAACCGAAGCACCCCCCACCCCCACCCCAACGGCAGCAAAGCCGTGCTAACCCGGAGCATAGGGAAACTCTCGTGGGAGGAAATTGGGAAGCGCAGCGCCAAAGTCATCACGTTCACCGACCTGGCCGGCCATGAAAAGTACCTGCGGACAACGGTGTTCGGGCTGCTCTCCAGCAGCCCCAACTACTGCCTGCTGATGGTGGCGGCGAACAACGGGCTGATCGGCATGAGCAAGGAGCACCTGGGCATCGCGCTGGCGCTCAACGTGCCGGTCATGGTGGTCATCACAAAGATTGACATTTGCCCGCCGCAGATCCTCGAGCAGACGGTCAGCCAGATCACAAAGATCCTCAAGAGCCCCGGGGCGCGCAAGATCCCCATCTTCATCAAGGACCGCGAGGAGTGCATCACCACGGCGACGCAGTTCATCAGCCAGAGGATATGCCCCGTGTTCCAGGTTTCCAACGTGACGGGCGAGAACCTCGACCTGGTCCGCACGTTCCTCAACATCCTGCCGCACCACGGCCGCTACGACTCGGACGCCCCCTTCGAGTTCCACGTTAACGACACGTTCTCGGTGCCGTTCGTCGGCACGGTGGTCTCGGGGATCGTCAAGTCGGGAGTCGTCCACGCGGGGGACAACGTCCTCATCGGGCCCGACTCGCTGGGGCAGTTCACGGCCACCAGCATCCGCTCGATCGAGCGCAAGCGGCTCGCCGTGCCGGCCGCGTCGGCGGGGCAGTCTGCATCGTTCGCGCTCAAGAAGGTGCGTCGCAAGGACGTCAGGAAGGGCATGGTGGTTCTGCCCAAGCTCGAGGGGCAGCCGGCGCCCAAGGTGCACAGGGAGTTCATTGCGGAAGGTGAGTCATGCCACAATAAAGAGAGGGAGAGGGGAGGGGGTGGCCCGCCACAGCACGGAAAACTGACCCTTGTCTTGTCTATAGTCTTGATCCTGTCCCACGCCACCACCATCAAGACCAAGTACCAGGCCATGCTGCACGTCGGGCCGGTCTCGCAGACGTGCGCCATCATCGACGTCGACCGGCCGTACATCCGGACGGGCGACAGGGCGACGGTGGCGTTCCGGTTCGTCCAGCGGCCCGAGTACCTCGCGCCGGGCGACCGCTTACTGTTCCGAGAGGGCAGGACCAAGGGTCTGGGGATCGTCAAGTCCGTCGGCTACGACCCCGACAAGCCTCTGTACCCGCACGGCGACCCGGCAGCGACGGACGAGGACGCGGGCCAGGGCGGGGAGGGAGAGGGGGAGAAGCCCGCCAACGGCCACGCCAGGGTCGGGGCGTAAGACGGGGTTGAATCGGCGACTTACTTTGTATCAACGGCGTCCAGCGGGTTTTTCTTCTTCGTCTTCTTTTCTTTCTTTCTTTCTTTCTTTCTTTTTTTTTCGTTTCTCATCGTTAGGGTTTCAGCATTGAGATTTGGCGATACCAGGCTAGGATTACAATTTAACGAGACGCGCAAGCGGCAGGCTAGTAGTAGTACATTCATTGATTTTACACAGAATCATAAAGCATTTCCGTTGTTCTTCTGGTCTACCTAGGCGGGGATACAAATACATCAGGCGCTTTGCAGCATGGTTCGTGTCACAACTCTCGCATTTTCCCAGCATCGCCTATGGGGAGGCGTCAGTCGGCGTGAGGCTGTGGTCCGTGTCCGGGGAACATGCGGAGGCGGGGGTGGTTATGACGCGGAGTCCCCGGCCGCGCTATTGGCCACGCGAGAGGGACGAGCCACAGAGTTGAATAAGATGTAAGACGGCCAGGCCGTTCCGTCCACGGTCACATTCTGTGGGTTGGCGATGGGTGACGCGGGAGTGGGTGGGTGCTAAGGCTGTGTGACCCAGCGCCATGGTTATCTTCAAAAACCAAAGGGGGGGGTTGTACAGAGTAGAGAGCCCTATAGATACGACAGTCTCGGTGATGGCCGAATGGTCGGTCTAACGAGATCTGGCGAGAGAGCGAGTAAGTGACCTGATTGGAAAGCAGGTAGGGGTTTGAGAGTGAGGATGAGAGGCGGGGTGGGGGGTACTCCGTACTGCACGCCGGGTGTCGAAACGTGGCGTGGGTTCCTCGAATTTTGACGACTCGTGAACTGCTGGGGAGACGAGACAAGACGAGAACAGATGAACGGGTGGCTGGCGGGAAGGAAACGGGTAATCAGGGGGTCTCTGACATAGGTAATAAAGATGAATTATGCAGACAAATAAATACACATGACATGGCTGCTGGCCGTTAATTGGCCACCAATCGATACCTAGGTATCAATCGGAACCATCCGTACTATACGGAGTAGTATGAACATGAAGAGGCAGCAGTGGCGGGGTTGAGCTGTGTGTGTGCTGTTGCCAGTTGGGAAAGCTGCTCGTGGCTGCCAAGTAAAGTGCAAAGCGCAAGTGCAATCATCATGTCTTGGTATTACCTACCTGCCTGGGAAGGTAAACTCACTTACTCACTATGTAAATGTAGGTAGGTAACACAGTTGTGGGAAGGAAGGTACGGATTGGTAGCTCGCAGCTCGTGGCTTCCCCCTTGCAACATGCATCCAGCCCAATCACAGACCCACAGGGGGCAACCTGCATCACCACCTCAAACCGCCCTAACGGTTTCGATTATTGCCGTTGCCCGCCTTCGTTCTTTCATCCTTCGTCACGCGTCGGTTTTTCTTCTCTCCATCCTGTCGGTTCACTCTCTATCCGCTTTGTTCGTTCGTTGGCCTCTGCGCTCCTTCTTCCCCTTCGTGGCCAACCGCGTCCGTGGTTTCCGAGGAGAATCAGGAGGGGGGTTTTTTACCTTGCTTATTTTTTTTTTCTTCCCCTTCATGGACATGGAGTGAACCACGGAGCTGGAATAGGTCAGAAAGTCGTCTCCCCCCCCCCCCCCCCACCCCGGATCAATCCTGCGTCTCTCCCGTTCCAAGGGGCGCATCCTATTCCACTCGTGGTGCACGTTCGGGTTCGGGGGACCGCGGCACCGCGGGAGGCCTGTCAGATGTCGCCACGGCGGTTGGATGGGGCTGATGCGGCTGTGGCAGCAGCGCGCAGGGGCTAGCTAGCTACATGGCATGTAGGTATGTATGTATGTACAGGTATGTATGTCCTTGTTAGTTGATTGATGGATTGATTGATGCATGAAATCGAATCGCGAATCGCGCATCGCGAGCGAGATGCAGCAGCTAGTGTGTTCGTTCCCGTTGGCTGAGATGGAAAGTACGATCTGGATCTGGTGGGTATCTTCGCCCCAACGACGCAACGCAGGAGGCGGCAAGAAGAAACATGTTGTCGACTGCCTCCTTTTTCCCCATTCTGTCCCCCCCGTTTCTATTTTCACTCTCTCGCTCTCTCGTCATCTCTTCTTCTTCCTCCTTCTTACCTCCGTCACTCGTTGTCATCGTCGTCTCCATTTCAATCGACCCTTTGTCCCTCTCCCAGTGTGGTCTGTCTGTCTACATGCCAACCCCCGGACCACGCGGCTCGCTCCCCGACATCAAACGACCACAGCAGCGTGTTTTGGGTGTCATTGACCCGCGAGTGGCAGCGACTCTGTTTCACAAGCCTTGGAGATCCTCGCCGCCCTCCCGAATCGAAAAGGATCAGCCAACCCTCCGTTTGATACCACCTCCTGTCGCCCCTCGAGCTCTTTTCCTGCTTCTCCGGCCAACTGGGCACTCCCTGCTGTCGACGGTCCCGCGCCGAAGCCACCACCACGCAACCGCCTGTCGTCCCGTCTCCCTGACACACTCTCGCATCGTCGATGCCTACTTACTACCTGTAAACTCTCTTCGTACTGCGTACCAAGTCGAGGTATTCCTAGCAGCACACTGTCGTCGGCACCATTACTTATTTCCCCTTCAACGGACGGTGCGCTGCGTCAGACTTCTCCCCTGGCTGTCGTCGGACAAACACCACCCGTCCGATTTGCGTCGGATCCAATCAACGGCGCCAAGACCATTTCCAAACCCTTTTTTCCTATCGCCTACCCCTTCCTCGTCTTCATCTAATCCGGCCCCTGGCTCTAGCTCTGGCTCTGCTCCTGCCTTTGGCCTCGTCCGTCGGAACACGTCCTCCTTTTGCTCGTCCAACCACTTCGTCGCTTGCGGAAACATCACGATTCATCTGCACCGCTACCGCCGTTGTCCTTGATACCGGTCGGTCACGTTTGTTTCTTCAACTTTCCCGTCTTCTCCCTTCCGACGGTGCACCATCATCACCGTTATCTTGCCTGTCCCCCTGTCCTTTCTGAGCAAAGAAGCTCGGATTGTCCTTATCCTCGGACCACCGGCCCATGTGCCACATCCGGCAGCATCGCCATCTCTCTCTCTCTCTCTCTCTCTCTCTCTCTCTCTCTCTCTCTCTCTCTCTCTCTCTCTCTCTCTCTGCAATCCCGATAACCCACTCCACACCCTAGACCTAGACTGAGTCCATCGCCTGACAAGGTCTCCGTCCTCTCCGGACAATCGCCATCTTCTACCCTTTCTCCCCCGGCCTTGTGGACCGCCGTCATTAAGAATACCCCTTGGATTATCTCACTAGAGCCGGCCGTCTGGTTTACCCAGCTCTAGACCCTGTCGGCCCTGTGACCCGCATTGACGTGGTTCTTCAGCCGATCGTGCCGTCATCCCCGGCATCCTCTGACACGCAATACGTTTCGGCCCTTCAGGCCCTCAGCCTTGACTGTCGCGCTGCTGTCATTCCCTCTCCCAAAAGCCAAGCGCCTCCCGGTCAAATCCTGGTCCATTGGTTTTGTTCCTCTACCATATTCCTGGCCGCTTCGTCGCCGCCCTCTCGACGATTCGACCTTTGCCGCCAAACACTAATCACCAACAACTGACGACATCTTCAAACTCGATTGCCCGCTGAACGAGAGTGCGAAACTTTCCACCAACGACTCCCTGAGGCGGCTGCGCCCGAAAACGACTTCCAGTCGACCAAATTCGACCAACAACGCCCAGGCATGAAAAACTCAATATCCCAACCCCCTCGGGGGCGCTTGGCCCAGCTCGTCTTCTTTGCATCCGCCGCCACGGTCGCTTCCGCCGCCTTCATCAGCATCGGAGACACATCGCTCAGTCTCGCCAACTTCCAGCTCATCGCTGATCTTTCCGTGCCTCTCGGCTGCCTGTTGGCCTATAACATCCCCATCATCGGATGCGAAACGAGCGACTTTGACAGCAGGAGGACATGCTCGGTCCAGTGTACCCGTGGGTTGGCAAATAAACAAAGCACTCTACAGCAAGTTTGCGGAACTGTCCAGGTGCAGTCCAACACGGTACTTGGACAAGCACTGGCAGGAAACCTCGTCACCTTCCTCTGTGGTGTCACAACCCAACCAACATCGTCGCCAGCACAGACCATCAGGTCCACCACTACAAAGGTTGTACTGCCCCCGACCAGCACCGTCTTGCCGCCACCGCCGCCGCCGCCGCCTCCGCCACCACCGGCATCTTCCACTTCGGTCGCCCCGCCACCGCCACCACCGCCGCCACCGACTACAACATCAATACCAACACCGGCCCGGCCTCCCCCTCCGCCACCATCATCAACTACAACACCACCGCCGGGAAACACTCCGGCACCGCCAGGACTGCCGCCACCGCCGCCTCCGCCTCCGGCAACAAGTAGTGCCACTTCTGCAACCACGACTCGAACCGAATCAGCACCCCAGGCCACTACTAAAAAGCCTCCGGTTAATCCCCTCGACGCTTTGCTTATGAACGGGGCAGAAAGCAGAACGGCTGGACGCTTTGCATGGGGCTTGCCCGCCATGGCTCTCATCATGTGGGGATTCTTGTGAGCTTCCACCGAGACCCTTGGCTACGGCGGCAAGCACCTAAGAAGCAGGAGACGGAGCTACGACAGCGTCGTAAGAACAAGTAATGTGTAAGACTACGGATTTCATTTGTCGCGAGCTTCATAATTGTGGGAGCATGGAAAAAGGCGCTAGATGGGTAATGGGACGCCTGCAAGGGGCGGCGATTGGCGGTGACGTGACCGGGAAGAGAGCGTCAACGCGTCGGTTTTTTTGGTTTTTTTTGCGTGGATTATGACATTCCACATTGCACCAAAAATACCTTGGTTAGGATAGGAAACCTGTAACACATGATACCACATAGCATGCGTATGGCTTAACCAGACATAGACAGCCGAGCAACGGGGGAGACGGGAATGCTGAATCAAGAGTAATCACCATGATCACGATGTCCAAGAACTGAATGCATATGCGACGAGCCGGCCCGGCCATGGTCAAAGTCGGTGAAGAAAACGTTCCACCAAGAGAAGGTCGTCTCCGAATTTCGAGCTCCCGGGCCCTCGAGACGCAAGGATGTCCCCCGCTAGCGGGCGATCCCCAGTTCCGGGGCGCCGAGGTACCGAGCCCGACCCTCCAACGCATGAACCAAACAGCTTTAATGTTTCTGTGGTGGGGGCGACGGCCGGTTGATGGACCAGTCGCTTCTCTCGCCGCGTTTCGGGGAATGGCTTGTCTGGTGGAGACAAACGGTCGACAAAGCTGGCCGAAGGGGGGTTCCCCGGCTTTGAAGAGAGGGGGGAATAGAATGGCATAATGGAACCAAGCCTGAGAGGTCGGCGGAGCATGTGTCCGGGGGTTTCCCCGGCTGAAGGGACTTGGCCGTTGCGGATGCGGGAGGTTCGAGACGTTGCCTTCGTTGTCACAGGGGGGGGGGGGGGGGGGGCAGTGCGGCGTGCTCGTCTCCATAGAACCCATCTCGGTCCGGATCTGGTTCATTTGCGCCAGGCGAGATAGGAGAGTCGGTCGCGACCGATTCGTTCTGCTGATGTTGGCTAGTTTCGAGCGGAAAAGTGGCAGCTTCTTCGTCAGATAACCCTCCCGGGGTTGAAGGAGACGACGACGACGACGAGCTTCGGAAGTTTGCTCCGCTTCCCCGGACTATCTTGCCACCATTTCGGATCTACTCCAGACGATATCGACGCTCGAGATAGCCACAACTTGAGCCCTTCAACAGCCAGTTATTGCGTCAACAGTCAGATGTCAGTGCTATACAAAAATTGACTCGGCGCACCTCAACTTCGTTGTTCGTTCAACCCCGACGAAGGGGTTGCCAGAAACAGCAGGAGTCGTGCGTGAGACTGCTCTTGTCATATGATTTTCTAGAAGCGACTGGATTTGATTCGCTCTCATGCAGGCGCGTTTGGCCCCTTGAAGGAGATGAATCCGGCCATGGGTAGATTGTCTGGAACCAACAAGAGCATGGCCAAGAAGAGGGGTATGTTAATGGGCCGCCTTCGAAGAGACCTTCTCAAAAATCCTTCTCTCCCTTCAAACCATCATCATCTGCGTCGCTTCTTACTGGGATAAATATTGGTCGTTTCATTGATGCAACGTCTATCGATATCTTTGGGAGAAGTAGACCGTCATGTCTCATACTGAACCGGCAGATGCTACCCCGGCACGGACAACTGCGCCGACCGATCAGCCCCACAACGTGCCCGACTTTGAGGTTGTCCTTGAAGCCGATGAAGAGGTAAAAGCTTCCAAGCCACCTATCTGAGGCTCAGCCCACTGACCACAGTCAACAGGATGCCAGTTCCGACGGAGAAGCTGTGGGTTCTCATTTCCTTTCGACCATGATCATTGCCAACGGTAGAGAGTGCTTACTTGCGATGACATGGACTCTAGAACAGCATTCGGTCATCGACTGCCAGCATCTCAAGCTCCATCCTTGGCTACAGAATAGAAAACGGGAGAACCTATCACAAATACAAAGATGGAAGTGCGTGACCTAACTTGAGCAGCGAGCTCATTGGCTTCTTGAAGAGCATTGTGCTGATTGGCCTACGAGTAGAATACAACATGCCCAATGATGAGAGAGAAATGGACAGACTGGGTAGGTGACTTGTCACTATGAGGTGCAATCTGCTCTTCTAACATCCATGGATGGCACAGACCTGCAACATCATATGTTCCTCCTCTCATTTGATGACAAGCTCGGAACGGCTCCACCCAATGAGCCAGAGGCCAAGGTCGGCCGCGTCCTAGACGTTGGAACGGGCAGTGGGATATGGGCCATGGATTTCGGCGATGCACACCCAGAGGCCGAGGTCTGTAGCTGGCGATTCCTCCGCTTAGAGCATGGATTAATGGTTACCAGATCATTGGAATCGACCTATCTGCCATTCAGCCGGAGTAGTAAGATCCCCCCCGTGACTTCGGATGACCCCATCATCCAAGACTGACTGCTTCACAGCACGCCACCGAACGTCAAGTTCGAGATTGACGATCTTGAGGAGCCTTGGACCTATTCGCAGCCCTTTGGTTACATCCACAGTCGCCTGATGAACTCTGCAGTGAGCAACTGGAGACGCTACGTCCAGAAATGCTTTGAGTGAGTGATTTCCTGCTAGCTCTTTGATCGACGGTTGCCCTCAACATTCCAAATCTGTTTTCTCTTCAATATTCAGTTCACATTACTGGGCTGCCCCTATCGTCTCTACTTTGGCGTGTCCTTGTTTGCCATCATCAACGTCCAAAGCTGATCGTCTCGTCCAGTAATCTCGAACCCGGTGGATACTTGGAACTCATCGAGGTCGGCCCCTTTCTCAGATCCGATGACGGCACTTTGAAGCCCGAACACTCTGTGATGAAGACCCTCATGCTTCTTGTAGAGGCCTCACAGAAGCTCGGAGCAGCATACCAGGATCCCAAAGAGTTGAAGTCCATGATGATCGATGCAGGCTTTACCGACGTCGTCATGCAACAACTAAAGTGGCCCATCAATCCTTGGCCAAAGGAGAAGCGCTACAAGGAGTTAGGCGCGTGGAACAGCCAGAATATGGATGACGGTTGGGAGGCAATCTGCATGGCACCGCTGACTAGGGCACTTGGCTGGACCCGCGAAGAGGTTCTTCTCATGATGGTGGAGAACCGGAAGGACTTCAAGGACAGAAACATCCATGCCTACGTATCCATGTGAGTTGCGCGGCATACATTATTCCTGATGGTCGTAGATTTTTCTTGTTTCTGCGCTAATGTGTTGCGCAGTTGGGCCGTTCACGGAAGGAAGCCAGAGAAAGAGAAAGAACAACCAGTCTGAGGCGATGTATCGCATGGTATTTATTTGGCTTGCTCACATATCATCTTTTCGTTGTAACTCTCACATCTCATCAATAATTCTTCATAAACGGAACGTCCTTGTCGCAATGATTGAGCGTTGATGAATATTGGAATGTCATGGTTGAGGGCAGCTCATCGCTTGCGATAGGGCTTCGTTGGCGAAGTTTATCAGACGTCCAGTCAAGCGAGATTCTTAGTGAGACCATGTTTACCAGTTCACTGAAGAGTTTGCAACCAGTTGTCAAGCAGAGAGAGGCTGTCAGAAGCGCCCGATGCGACGTCACTTGAGCAGCTGAAAACGGCTATCAACACCACGTGGCCCATCGCGCTAAGCGTGGCAGCTGAGACCTCGACGGTGGTGATAGTAGTCAAGATGATGTACTTCATAGTGAAAGAATCCCCGTACAGCAGATTGTCATTTAGGACCACTTGAGGCAGTCACTGAATGTAAAGTATCATGTTTCTATTTACAGCCTACCCAGTACATATTACGCCGTCCCTATAACCATAAAGTCCTCAGTCTATCCACAACTTTCTCAAAACCAATTCCAACGACGCATTGGGCGCCCCGAACGCCTTCTCCAACCTCTTCAGCTCGTCCATGAGATCGCTCTGCATCGACCGCAAGAGGTCGTACGTCTTGTCCAGGGCGCCCGTGTTGCGCATCTCGCGGATGATGAAGACCTTCATCTCCAGCCCCATCTCGCCGCCGTCGTCCCTGCGCTTGAAGACGCGCGAGATGGCGTCCCGGTACGGCGACGACTGCAGCGTGTATATGAGCGGCAGCGAGATCTTGCCCTCGTCCAGGTCCTCGGCGAAGCCCTTCTCCTTGGCGTACTGGTCCGACATGAGGTTCTGGTAGTCGTCGCGGATCTGGAAGTACCGGCTCAGCCTCTTGACGAAGAACTCGGAGCTGATGCCCCGGGTGGACCCGGTGGCGAAGAACTCCATCAGCCGGACACATAGGCGGAACAGGCCGCCGGTCTCTGTAAATAACACGGGTTGGTTAGAACTCGGGACAAGGCTTAGTTTAGTCGACAACAGGGTTGCTCACTATTATCGATCATCATGAAATACTCGTCGACTGAAGGGCAGTGGACTTGGTCTTTCCAGAAAAGGTCATAACTCTGTCCCTTGTGCAGATTCTCGACTTCGTCAATGAAGATGTCGATGGCCTCGGCCCTTCCGTGCCCCAAGCTCTGCATGCGCGCAAAGGCCTGGACGAACACGAAGTTGGCCGAGTTGATGGTCTGGCCGATGCCATAGACGGCATGAGTAGAAGGCTGGCCGCGCCGCAGCTTGGAGCCGTCCTCGATGTCGTCAAGCATGAGGGACGACTGGTGAAGATAGCTGACCACGTCTTGGATGCACGCGAGCTTGTCGTCAGGGACCTTCAGCCACCAGTTCAGGGCCCTTATGAAAAGCTCCCGGATGCCCTTGGAAGGCATAGATGTAAGGTATTTGTAAGGCGCCAGTACCAGCTGTGTGTAGGGAGTCAGTAATCAGTTCTATCTTCCACTTTGGTGCTACTACTTACCTCTGATCTGCATTTCACGTCCTCTGGATACTTGACAGCTAATGTTTCTTCTTCCTTTGAGTTTCCATTGGTATGATGCCTAGCATGGCCGTTGGCGTGGCCGTTGGCGAGACCGTTGGTGAGACCGTTGGTGTGGCTGTTGGTGATGCCATTGCTGAAGCCATTGCTGGAGCCATTGCTGGAGCCATTGATGGAGCCATTCGTGTGGCCGTTGGTGAGACCAGCACGTTCCGTAGCGACCGTCCCCTTGGCCAATATAGGTCGCGGGATGCTATCTATATCGGTTGTTGCAGGCCCCGTCCGATAGAGGAACTCACCATTAACAAACTCGACATCAGGCTGTGCCAAATCCTTCTTGGATGGATATCGCGGCACATGCACACTCCAGAACTCGGAACCGGAAGCCGCGTATTGCGCCGCAAGGATGTAGAGCATGTGGCTCTCTGGGATCGGTCCGGCCGCCTCGAGAGCACTCAGCAGGGCGAGATGACGCTCCTGCAGCTCAGCCTGTTTCTCGCGCAACCGCAAGAAGGCCTCGGCTTCCGACAGGCCGCCGTGTCGCATGAGGATGGCGACGGCGTTGAAGGGGTACTCGGACCCCGGGTGTTCGATGTGGTGCTTGACCTCCTTAGGCCAGCTGTGGAGGTCGTTGATGAGCGTCGTGGAGAACATGGCCGTGTTGACGAACTCGCTGAGCTTTTCTTTGTCGTCGGCGCTGAGTTTTATCCCCATGCCGAAGCAGCTCATGGTTTGGAAGACACTGCATGAGTTAGCGAAAGTCGAATCAGTAGGCCCTGGGGGAGGGGGACTACGCACTCGAGACCCGAGTTCACCATGCGAATGGGAAGGTAGTCGTCGAGCGTCTTCAGCGTGTCGGGCGCAAAGGTGGCCAGGTCAAGGCCCTTGCTGTACGTCGTCATGATGTCCATGGCGAGGTCGGCGTCTATATTGACCATGTCCAGGATCAAACTGGACTGGAACTGTTTCGACTTTGTCATATTCGACTCTATGGACCTCGACGACTCAATCGCGCCATTGAGGACGCTCTGGATGTCGTCGTTGGTCTTGTGGATATCTTCATTCTTGGCGATGTCGTAAAAGTCGTCATTGAGAATCGTGAACTCGGCGAACCGAGTCAATACCGACAGGCGCTCCGGCAAACAGTTGGGAATCGTGAAGGCGACGGCGTGTAAGTGCCCTATACCTGGCACTGGTGCGACAGTCTTCGACATGGGATTAGTCTTTGCGTCATATCCTCTCTCATTGTTTCTTACTCACGTTGGTGATGATCTCTGTGTCCATCGCTTGGTTGAACTCGGCCTGCACCTGTTCCGCTGCCTTGGTGCATATTTCATAATTACAGTGCCTCACCGTCGCAAACCTGGTATGGGAGCCAGACTGTTGAATCAGCGATTCTGGGATGGGTAGAGAAAAGTACGGCATGGTAGTTGGAATATGTCTAACAATGTGGGAATCTAAGAAGTGGAACGTGAGACTTCGCCGGGTTCATTCTAAAGATGCAAGACAATCAAGCCACTGCTTATATCTAGACTCTTACAATCGGGCGTCCGTAGGCATTGCACTCGTCATTCTGTCACATTATCAAAATGCATGTCAAGGCTCAAACATTACGCCGTTTATCTGGCTAGTCAGTGATACCCTTGATTGCTTATCCCTGTTCATGCGACCCTGGATCATGGACGGTACAAAGAACCCCTTACATGTACGTGAACGCCCCATAACAGCTTTTTTTTTGGCGTCTACGCAGTACACAATCTACATCATCTGCAATGGCGCTGGATTTCGCCGACTCGTGAGCATGCACTCGAATCTATGGGGCTTTCGGGAATGTTAGGAAACCTGATTTTATCTCAGATATGACATGAGACCCTAGTCGACTCCTCTACCGTGGTCCTTGAAAGGCACTCACTTACTCAGTACGCTGTCGATTACTCCAAAGAATCTAGCGGATCCATTACAAGGCTTTTGATGCTTCATTCGGGGTGGGCCGATAGGTGATTATCATGTCTCAGATACTGGGGTCAGCGGTGTAATTCACGCTCCTCATACCACACGCAATGCCGACGGTACTCTGCCCTTGATATCGTGACTTACCAAGACAGTGAGACTATCCCATACGTTTACTTCGCCGCGGTGGATACCTAGTACCCTTATCTATATATGTTTGGGTATCCTAACAATAGAAAAGACTTATGTTTCTGGCTAGAGATAAGGGTCACTTTTCCATAGTATTTGTACTCTACCCCAAGTACTTCGAGGGCCACCTTCGACTGTTCAAACAACAGACTTGAGTCGAGAGCAAACAGGAATGGCTGCCTTCGACTTTCTCTGGCCCATCACGGGCCTGGCACCATCAACGATGGCGGTGTCTATACCGCTTTTTCTAGGCGCGGCTCTCGTCGTCATCTTCATCCTCAGTCTTGTCTACAATCTCTACTTCCACCCGCTGAGGCGGTATCCTGGCCCACGATCTTGGGGCGCTACGCGCCTCATGTACTCGTGGGAGCTCGTCCACGGGCGGGCACACAAGTCTGTTCTGGCACTGCACAAGCAGTACGGCGACATTGTGCGTATCGCGCCTGACGAGCTCTCGGTGTGCTCGCCCGCCATGTGGCGTGAGGTCTGGGGCCGGCGCAAGACGGAGCTGGGCGAGATCCCCAAGGATGACATTCACTACGCCGAGGCTCTCACCAGCATTCTCGGCTGTCCCAAGAAGCAGCACACGCGCTTCCGCCGCATCCTGGCCCCCGGATTCACGGGAACGGCTGTTGCAGAGCAGTCTCCCTTCATCAAGAAACACGTCGACAACTTGTACGCCTTTTCTTCCCCCCAGGCCTCTTGAAAGTTGCATGCTGCTGACACTTGATATTCGGCGGCAGCTTCCGGGTGCTCCATAGCCACGTTGCGGCGCGGGGTCAACAGGCCATTGATATCAGCGAGTGGTTCGACTTTGCTATGGCCGACATCGCCAGCGACTTGAGTTTCGGCGATTCGTTCGACTGCCTCAACACGGGCAAGTATCATCCCTGGACCCAGCTCTTCAACGAGGCACACACGGGACATGCCTACGCCAAGGCCACTCAGCGCTTCCCTCTGGTGACGCCCTTGTTCAAGTTGGTGGCCAAGAACTCGCCGCTGCAGAAGCGCTGGGACGCGAACGTCAATTCCACCAGACGGCTTGTCGACAGACGTTTGCTGGAGGCCGATCGACCCGACTTTGTCCGCGCGCTCGCATCCCATGGCAATAGCGACGAGAAGGAGGTAAGGCTCCCTTCGTACCACTGTTGGTCGAATAACGATGTGACTAACGTTTCGAACAGCCCCTGACGCGCGACGAAATCCAATGGAACGCCCAGATCCTCATGAGCGCCGCCTACGACACAACGGCCGTGGGCTTGACGACAGCGACCTACCTTTTGGCTAAGCATCCCGAATGGGCGCAAAAGGTGGCCGATGAGATGCGGGCTGCGTTCGCGAGCGATAACGACATTGTCGGGCTGGCCACGCTGGAGCTCAAGGTCCTCAACGCCGCTATCGACGAGGCCCTGCGTCTGCTGCCGCCCGCCGGATCAGCCATGCCGCGTGTCGTGCCTGCGCCCGGCGAAAATGTCTTTGGAGAATTCATGCCTGGCGGTACCATCCTCACAATGTGGATGTGGTCAACGTATCGCAACCCTGCCAACTTCAAGAACCCCGATGAGTTCCACCCAGAGCGATGGCTAGGTGATAAGGAGTATGACGGGGACAGAAAGGATGTGTTCATGCCCTTCTCCTTTGGGATGCGCGCTTGCATCGGCAGACAGTGAGTTTTGACACCGTCCAACATCCATCTAAACCTGGGGATTTAGATCACGGCTGACTCGTATCCTGTGTAGACTGGCTCGTGCCGAGCTGGGTATCCTGATAGGTCGCCTGCTCTGGAACTTCCACCTCGAGGTTGACCCAAGCGAGCGCGAAGATTGGATCGACCAGCCCAATCTTTTGTTGTGGCAGAAGGGGACGCTCATGGTCAATCTGACCAGTCGCTAACTTTCTTGATGACGCTGCTGCTGATGGCGATAAGATTTTCAGTCATGTAGGATGCAGTCTTTGACCCGTATAGTTAAAGAAAATACAGGCTGTATCACGCATAGTACTCATCCGTAGAAAATCTGTTGGTGCCGTAGAAATCATGGCCTTAAAACTCAGTATCATTATCTTGGCATCAGTGTCCAATTAATTGTGAGAACATCGGATAGAGCTGTAATACACATGGCCCATCGTGGATGTATCTACTGATAAGAAGCGCCTTAGCGAGACCTATACCCTGTTGCACCGCTTCGCTACCTGCTACTGCATGTTTCTAATGGTTACCGTCTTGAGTACCACGTCTCTCTCGCTTCTCAGTATTATCTGGTTGTTCATCGTCTTGGGACTCACGCTAGTCATGTCTTCCAATCTAACAGCAGCCCCGTCGGCTCGGCGTCTCACGCTAGTCATGTCCCATGGTAATACCTAGCTAGCTACCATGGGACGCGGCTCTTTGGTCCGTACACCAACACTTCCCTCCCACCACTCCAACCCCTTGGACCCCTAAGAAAACATACCTTGCTCCTAACACTGAGCCTGTCTTTCTAACTATACGCATCTTTCTCTTTTTCTCTCTCTCTATCCCTTTGAATGTCACATGACCTCACATAACCTCAGACCAATAAGACTACAGTAATCCAGGCTAAGTATCCAATAGCTGTTAGTGATTACTTGCAGAGACCCACTTTTAGGTTATGTGAGGTCATGTGGCATTCAAAGGGATATCTTTGTTGGGTTTTCCCATCTTAAGCTGTTTCAATTTCTTGGGAGTGCACTTAGTAATGCAAGGAGGTCTGAATAAAGGAAGTGTTAGTGCACATTTATGGGGCAAAAGCTCGGTACAGACTTGTTTTAGTCTTGGTTCTCTTGCCGGAAGCAGGTAGAAACACAGCCGCTGCATCATACCGCGCGAGTGTGGTACCGAGTGATAGCCGGGGAAAGATATGCCGGCGTTTAACTAGATATAGTAGAGCGCCCGGCACAGATCGCCAAGCGTACAAAGACTAGTAAACTCTAATACATTGTTTATCCCTTTTTGTAGCAAAAAGAAAACGGGTAGGCTATTAGGATAGTTGTAAACAATTGCAAGGACACAGGAATATCTCAAAGCTTAAATATGCATAATGGCCATTACTTGCAGTACTATGGTATGATGGAAGTTTAAACTCCATAACAGGTGGTGTGGAGTTGTGACCCACGTATGAGAGACTCTCACTGGCCAGAATTATGATAGATATGCACAAGAACCTCAAAGTACCGTCGCTGAGATAATCAAAAAAAGCACGGCCACATTCGAGGGGGTTAAACTTTGGCCCGGTATCCGTACCATAGTATAAGTTACTAATAGATGGAGGCACGTAAATGAGACTTTGAGCTGATAAAGTCGGTACGCAGCAAGAGGATGTGACATGTCGCGTCATTACAGGTCTTCCACTAAAGTATAACAACACGCTGGCGAAAATCACCACACCGAACGATTTGAGCTCGGGAACTGCTCATCCCGGTGCGTCACACGTTTCTATCAGATGGCTGCTCACCGCCACTGCGTCGACATCCTCGTTCAGTGGCGCTCCCCGTCGACCTGTTTCACTTGCTCAAGCTCGCGACCAAGCGCGAGATGGAGGATTTTGGACGGTACCAGCAGGCCATGTTCAATGATTGGACGAACTGGCGAGGGATATCAGGTTGCAGAATGGAGAGGGACGACAGGGTCCCGGTCGGTGCAACTAACCTCTATCCGTAAGCTCTTGGGCACTCTCTTATCCGACAGAGCGCACATGCCGATTTGGAACTTCATCATTTGCTATACCAAGTACCCCCCGGTAAGACGGTATTTGTCTCCGTGAAGATAGCCGGGGGCTGCCGGCCGTCATCGGCCTCGCCGGGCGCCCAACTTTTGGAGTAGGACAAGTCGCCGTATTACATGCCCGCTCTAACTGACGAATCGATGCGCATATATTACGCCGTAGCCCCGGTCCGCCCCGCCATACTCGATCATCGAAAATAATGTTCTCGACGGCGCGCTGTGCCGCATAGGCGCCACCGTATTTCATATTACCTGATTCATGTTCCGTGTGGAGTGCTACTTTGGCCATCCGCATGAACCCCTGCATCTTGGAGAACCCCCCCACCTCTATTAGCACAGGTACTAGTAGACGGCCAGAGCGATTTGGCTGGCGGCCAGTGTCTAACCTAATCTAGAAGCACTGACACATAAAAGCTAGAAATACTATATTCCATCACCCTGACCTTCTAACTAACCCAGACCCTAACTAAGACCCTAACCACTAACCCTACGTATCTTCAAGAGCCTACATCTCTATAGAAGATACGTAGGGTTAGTGGTTAGGGTGGTTAGGGTCTGGGTTAGTTAGAGGGTTAGGGTGACAGAATATACTATGGTATCCGGCCGGAGTTTTATCGCCCCTGTCAGGTACCCCCCCTCCAGCCCGCCAGCTGTCAACGCCATCTAGCTATTACGCATTACCTATCACCACCACTATAGATTTCTATAGAGATAGGTAGGATGCTCAAATACTGTGTGGGGATTTACATCACTAGGACGATAAAACTTACCCCTACCACCCTGTAGTATTTCTAGCTTTTATGTGTCAGTGCTTCTAGATTAGGTTAGACACTAGCTGCCAACTAAATTACTCTAGCTGTCTACTAGGTAGTACCTATTAGCACAACGCCACGTGTTGTTAATAAGCCGGATCGGCATGATAACCTTGCTTCGGATAGTGGCCGCCGCATCTATCTGGTTTAGTATTATGTACGGAGTAGACACTTTGTTGTTGCGTTGAGTACGGAGTATTGGGCAAGATGCTCGTACTGTGTCTTTCCGACTGTATTATCATTATCATTGTGTACATGCGCGACCTCAAGAGGGACAGGCCGCCTTGGATCAGTACCTTGCTCTGGGCCAGTTGATGACTCGCACATCCATTGACGTTGTTTGTCTGTACCTGCTATGGGCTTTTGACTTCAGGTGTACCAATTTTGGCTTTCCCGTAGCATGAAAACTAGGCCTCTCCCTTCTGTAACAGGGTTAACGTAACGAAGACGTGAGATGTATTTCGTAGATACAACACAGTCATCCCCTGGGACTCCGCTCGGGTCACCCAGTCATCCATTCTCAACAACCCGGACTCGCAACCGGTCTCGCGCTCCAGTATGGCTCCCAGCTCGGCCAGAGGAACAGTCTCCTGGCCGCGAGTAGCCCTTGTAAAACTCGTCGAGTACCTCCATTGCCGCCGTCTCTGGCGTGACGAAATCAAGTCACCCATTCCAGGCGCTGACTTCGGGTACGGAGTTGGCCTCTTGTGAGTAGTACTATGTACATCAGGTTGGAGATCAGTTCGCCGGCTGGCTGACTGGCCCACCTCTGTGATGGAGAAGGGCCGGTGAATGCAGATGGGCGGGTCACACTTGTCACTGATCTTCTCGGGATATCTCTCGCTGGCCCACCTGGTGGAGATGTAGCCGCTTGTGTCCCTGCTTTCGGGTGGCGGGTGCTCCTCGACTGACTCAGGTCTCTATGTCTCTTATCCTGTGAGCTGTACGAAGCCGGCGGATGATACGTATTGGAAGGAAACCCGTTGCGGTAGGCTAAGACACACGAGCTTCTTTGTGCTTTCAAAGTTCGCAGGTTTAAGGGTGGCGTAGGACTTTATGAAGGAGGCGTTAGCGCTGCTGTGAATTACGGCGTGCTCATGGTGGCTGTGTCCAGCGACCACACCTGCATCACCGGAGGCAATCTCGCCGAGAACCCTGGCAGGCATAATCTTGCGCCTGTCGTTGAGGATGTAAACAGAGTTGGGCCAAATCTTAACCCTTTCCGCTTCAGCACCAGGCACTGTATCACTGCGGTAGTCCGCCACCCTGGTGCTGCAACAAAATGTGATATCTGTATAGCCATAGCAGTCGATGAGCTCCAGCTCAGGCTTGCCTACCCTGCGCAAGCTCTTGGTCAGCTTCTCTCACAGGCTCGCTGCCGCTTAGCAGCTCTCTCCAGCACGACTTGCCAAGCGATACAGCATCTCCGCATTTAACCCAGCTGATGGCCTTGAACGGGGTGCCGTTCGTGAATGTGATGCCCTTGTTGGCTATGATGGAATAGATGGCCTCTGGGTCGCCATGCAGATCCGCGAGACGACGTGAACGGTACGGTGCCCCCGTTGGAAAAGTCCAGGAGGATCTGGGTGAGTGATATGTTGAACCTGTATGAACTCTAGCGAAGGGAAATTTTCTGTCCCTTACGGTGAGCCACTATCTCTGTTAGATCTCTACTGTATTACGGAACGACTTATGCTTTATAGCAAGGCCTTTGTACACACCTGTTGAGTTACTGGTATACGTAAGGGCCGCAATAACGTCTGCCCGGGCTGCTATGGAACCTGCCCCTTGGTATGCCATGTCAAGAGCGTTGACGTTGACGAGCCGCTTGGCTGCAATACTGTGCTTTGTGATCTGTGTGACTGTTGACTAGGATAAGGCCTGGTCTGCAACCTTGCAACACAGATGACAGCCTTTCCTATACGCTAGTGGTGTCAAGGGGTACGTATGTTTCCCCTAGTCAAAGGATGGCCAGAATTAAGTAAATCCAATCCAAGATAGGATCTAGGAGAACGTCAACTTCACTGTTGATGCCAATGGGGCAGGGGAAATTCCCACTTAAAGCTCTACTGATGGCCCTGATCCTCTATGACGTTTCTAGGCAGGTAACATGGGTTGTTTGTCTGTCTGTGATTGTTATTCTGTCTTTAAATTACTCCACTATGTTGTTAATGCAATGGACTAGAGTGGCTGACTATTGTGGCTTCCAGGCGACCTATGCCTATTTAAACCAGATTAGTCCTCGTAATAAGATAGGTGTGCATGTTCTAACTTACATTGCCTAAGTTAAATGGATTTGTCTACATTGTCTGGACTATAGATGGTTGTAGCGCCTAGTTAAGTCGTCAGGTTCTAACAGATGACCTTAAGGAGTTGCAGGTACATGCGCTTCAGGTGCGCCATCTCTGACTTACTGTAATAGACTGACTAGCTGCTAAGCACGATATAACATACACTGCTGGGGCTCTTAACAATATCTTATGTTAAATTATACGCCACTTTGCCCTGTTTAAATATTGCAATCTTACTCTTGTAGTTACAAAACTGGCGGGCATCTGAGACTCCTAGGCGGTAGTTGCCTATTGGCTGGAAATCGGAATGTGCGAACTGGTTCCTGTAGCTCTGAGGTCTTTAGTGAAGACGACAAGCGGCACTGTTGCGTGATTAAAGGCGCTTAGGGTCTTGGCTTGAACCATCTTGAGAGCATTTGTAAAGATGTGACTTTGGTTGACTTGAAGAGAAGCGGCAGAACATTGGGATATATCCTGACACCATGTATTGACTTGGAGCCCTGGCGGCTTTTTTAACTGACGCTGATGCTAAGCCCATCTGCGTCCTTAAGCTGTGCCAAAAGTGTATAGAAGACGGTGAGATGAAAGTGAAATGGGGACACTTCGAGCATCTAACAGACTGATTAGACCTTAGTTGACTCTTTCTCGTTGAGGTAGAAGTCGGTCCTGGTTGTTGAGTATGTGGTCAGCGGCACACGGGATTGGGTTTTGGCCAAGACAAGTAGGAGAAGGGTAGGGATTAGTCTCTCAACTCGCTGCGCCAGAGCCTGAGCTTGCCAGAACCTGAGCTTGCCAGAACCTGAGCTCGCCAGCCCAGCGTCCGGAATCATGGTCTAAATGTTGCTTGGAGAATTTGGGATACTGCATGGCCGGTGGGACAGGTGGAAGTTTGGTACCGCCTTAACTAAAATACAACTCTCATAGAACGACTTCAAGTCTAACACTATCTATATCAATATAGGGGTAACCTATAAGGAGGCGGTACAAAGACAATACTATCCTAAGCAGGATGAGTCTAATGTTCTCGTCCTGATAGGGTCTGTACTTGTGCTCTGCTAGCGCCTTACAGAAATGTTCTGCATGAGAAGTATCGGTGATCTCATAGACCTCAAGTGCCACACACGAGCTTGGGGGAACTTCCTGTACAACGCCTTTCGTATCTTTACCGGTTGTGAACCGAGTACGAAGAGCCTCATCTTGCTGGCCCACCAAAGAGACCACTTCGAATTTCTGGATGTTCAGAAGACCTCAGAGGTCGATGGCCATGGTAACGTTGAAAGCCCTCGCGGAGCTTTCAAGAAAATGCTACAAGAACCATGATCTGGACTGAGCTAGAGATATGGGACCACTTTTGACGATCTGCGAGCCAGAGCTGGCAACCGCATGAGCCGGCACAACATCTTGGTCGACGTTGAAAGAGCCCTGACAGCCGTCGTGAACCGGGAGCGCGTCTCTGCGTTACCGCTATACGTGACTTGCCAGTACCCGCCCTTCTTGTAGGGAAAAACCGCTTTAAGTCGAGCAAATCTAGAGCAAGTACCAGCACGACGAGGACACGAATGTCACGGAGCTCTACAAGGGAGCATCCGGCGGATTACGAGATGGCCTGGCTGCTGTGGTTGTTTACGGTAGATGGCTGAGCGATTTGGAATCATGAGCTGAGGGGGTGCAAGTCCTTGAAAAGAGGATAGATAATGGAAGCCTGCAAATGGCCAGAAGCGCATGTTGAAGATGGGTTGTGCCATATTCAATAGTATTGTCAAGACCTGTTACTATCAGTGATTTAAAGCATGTTTTTCTGACCCCATACCGTCATAAACAGAGTTTTCACATTCTGTATGAATATGCATGTGACCAACCTGGGGCCTACGGCCTCGTGTCATATTTTTATAGCTTCTGCCAGCGACGAATTCGAGTCACTTTGGCTTGAAAACTCACCAGCGGCACCTCCGTTACACATATTCAACAGTCAATAGGAACTTCAATCTTGTGGCCAGGAAATCAGTCGCCCTGCTGCTGTCACAACCTTAATGGTAGGTTCGGTAGTATCACCATCCCTGGTATCAACGTGCAGGCACATATCTACAGCACCACTATGAAGATTGTTCGCACTGGAGTTGAATTGAGGTCTTATGCAGTGGCTGCTTTGCGTTGTTAGTGTTTTGAGACCGAATTAAGAAGTCAGTATAGATATAGTATGTGCTAGAGGTATTGAGTATTAGCTTATACGCATCACAAAAGCTATGTACTGAGTGACCTGGGTTAGGCGGCTTTATAGGTGTGAAACTATCTCCACTTACTAAATATAACCACTATGACACTAATTCAGTTTGGAGATAAGAGATTTGGGAAGTGTTGGAAGGACTCCAGATGGGTTGATGCATCAAATAAAAGCGGTTGTAAAAGGCATGAATTCTTGAAGTCTAGTCAGTCTAGCTGGCTAGAAAGTGGCCAGTTTTATAGACTTCTGTGGTTACTGAATCATGCGTACGAATCGTTTGAAATGCTATCCCGACAGGAAGGCATATTTCAGCGTTGAACAGATGTTTTTGGGGGAAAACAAAACCTCAGACTGTATCGACACATCCGCTAAGCTTAGTCTTGAGATCCCCAAGTCTTTGAACTGAATTAGTAGTCCCATGACTATACAATTGTGGCTAGTTACCTTCTTTGCGAGCTTCTTACATCGACATGCCGTCTCGGCATGTCCGCTTCGAAATTGCAAAACTTTCAGGGCGCATCACGAAAGACATACGAAACAAGAATCAACTAAGCTGTATCATCAGCTAACACTAGAGAGAACGCAAAGTTACGCTAAATCCCCCTCCCCAATCCAGATCGTCTCCGAATTCCAGCTACTCTACTCGCCCTTCGGCCGCCGGCTACTCACCGCGCGGCACAAGGATTTCGCAGCACTCCCCGGGCCCCAGGTGCGTCTCCCCCGCCTCATCCCTCGGACAGCTTGCTTCTCCTCCTCCCTCTCCTCCCCCGACCGACACATGGGGCGGTACCGGGTTGCGGCAGTGCGACATAGTGAACCGGGACCGCGGCATCCGGTTGACGTACCGGCACCGGCAGCATCGCCAGCGGCATCGGCGGCGCATCCGGTCGCTCGCCCACGCCTCAAAGTCCGCCCGCGTGGCGTCCCAGACGATGTAATGCCTGTCCACGTCGTCTACGACGGTGTCGTCGGAGGCGACGCTGGACTGACTATCTTCGCTCCGCTGACTATCCTGGCTGCTGGGGCCCTCGTAGAAGCCCTCGTCCAGGTCCGAGAAGTGAGTGTTGACGTTGACGGTTTTCATTGTCGTTTCTTGGTTGTATTTGTCTGCTTTCTAGGCTGTATGTAAGTGTTTTTGACTGGGTCTTGCTGGTTGAATGAAGTATGGTATCTGTGATGCTATTGTGGTCTCGTTGTGGTCTTGTCTGAGGATGCAAGCCATCATGCCTTCTTCAACGGGGGCGCCCGGCTGTATTTATAAGTTTTCCCTCACTTCGTTACATACATTATACCTCTTCGATAGACTCCTGTGTGGTCTTGGTTATGCAAGAGGGTGACTGTGAATGACTGGCGTACTCAAAACACCATGAGGAGTGATTCGGCGAAGAGGCCGATTTCGCTGTGATTCACCAAGGGATGCAACCATGATTGGCAGTATTCACTGTTTGTTGCAAATTGGCGGTTATTTCCGCAGGCTAGTTAATTCACCTGACTTCTTTCTCGCGGGCCGAGAATATGGCTTTGATCCCAACTCATCAACGCCATTCATTTCAGGAGAACCCAAGCCAGTCACTACAGTAAGATCAAGGCATACTTCAGTTAGGTAGAAACCAAAACACACACACATGCCTCTGAGGTAGGTAGTCAAGTCACACTGACCAGGACATCTTTCTACACATGGCCTCTTAAGTAGACCATTGGGCCCTGAGGAAGGAGGGAACTAGCAGCCAAAGAACATAAGGGCCAAAAAGGCAAATAAGTGAGCACTTCAAGAGACGCCGGACGCAAGGCCAAAAGTTGAACTGCGCCGAGGGGGAATCGAACCCCCGGCTCCCCGACGCTGCTCGATGGCAACGGAGAATTTTACCACTAAACCATCGGCGCTGTGGACAGCCTATCGTGGCTCGCGACCAGCTGTAAATTTGATGAAAAGTTGGGAATATACAGGGTAAAAAATATTGAAGATTGTGGACTGGGATGTGGGGGGATGCGGGCCCGCCGAAACAGGGAGGTCCACAGGTGTACAACAAGTCCGGCGGTTGATCTCCGGGTCTGCGGATGTATTTTGCCGACGCGGCGGTCCACTTTCGGACCGGTGGTGGCTGAGATGCGGGCGGGTGTTCAAAGCGACATCCAGTCCGGAGGTTCTTCGGAAGTAAAGAGCAGATATAAGGTAATGGGGGAGACACGGTCGAGCTGGAGCGATCAACCTTGTGGCCTTTTCTGTGCCCGCGAAGAAGGGTTTGTGGCGATCAACAGCGACTTGTGACCCGATGTGCCGAGACCTGCCCACTTTTGAGGTGGACTGGTCATGGTGACACACCGTAGTAACTAGCGTGACAGGGCGAGGGCAAACATCAAAGCGTACTTTGTGGTGTGCAACGAGGCCCCGACTCTGGTTGCGGGACGATGGGAAGATCAAGAAGCAGCTCTTCGACTTGCGGTGCGTTAGCATCAAGCTTCTGTTGAGCTTGCGACTTTCATCATCGTCTCTTGGCTGCAGACACGGTAGGTCGGCCAAATAGGAAGGCCGCGGAAGTGCAGCAGGCAGTGGAGCACAATTCGCGTAGTGGGCCGGTTGATGTACCGGTACTGTAAACTAGTTTACTACTTCGTATGCAGTTTAGTGTGCCAACTCGTACCGGTTGTAGACTCTTTGGGTATCCGCAATCCGAAGGCTGTATGGGGCGGTTCAAAGAGTGGCTGCATCACAGCAGCGGAGCGACGCCCGAAACGCACATTACTAGCAGTGGGTAACCGGGGCAAGCGATCTCGTGGGGGGAAAAGATTGGCAGCGTGGAGGGTGCAGTTTGGACGTCGCTTAGGCAGGGTATGCAGCGTGACAAACTGGTGGTGAGCGGTCGTTGAGTTAGACTCTTGGCACGCTTCTGTCATGGGCGAATCAAGTTGGACAGGGTTTTGGTGACGTAACGGCGGTGCTGTTCGGAAAGGGGAAGGGGTGACAGCAGGGGGGAGAGGGGGGGTTAAGGTGAAAGGAATTAACAGAGATAAGCGGCAATATACGGGCGGGAGTCTGCGGAGGGCGTCATATAGGCTGTCGGTGCGTGCTCCTTGAGAGTCATTGGTATCTGAGAAAGAGAGAGAGAGGAGAGTCATCTCATGCTGAGACAGGTGCAAAATGTGAGACGGGCGGAAGCCAAAGAGAGAGGGAGAGAGAGAGAGACGAGACGAAGGACGAGAGGTCCCACGGACGGTGGCAGAGACAGACACCGAAAAAAACAAAAGACCGTGGGGAAACCGAAGAGATTCGGCTGGAACATGAAGAAAGAGATGGATGGAGAGAGAGAGAGAGAGCTGAGCCCCAGGGACAACAATCGATTGTGTGCGAGACACTCTAGGACAACCCTGGCGCCATTCCCCTCGTAAGACAAGAGAAGGCGGCGGCGGGCGTTTCAGTCGGATTACCGAGGCGCAGTTGATTTGTTGAGGGATCCCGACTACCGCCAGTCTTCGTGTTCATTGCAACCGGCTCTGCTCTGTTGTATGGCATCGCCAAATGTCCGTAGTGTATTGTAAATCACGAGCTGGAGCTGGCAGCGCAGGGCATGTGGCGTATCCATAGACGACATGATAGGAAAAAACATAAAAGGAATGAAGAAAAGGAAGGGGACATGAATGGGAGTTGCGACAGCGGACTGAAGTGGTCCGTGCACAAGTACCGCGGAAGTATCGCGACGGCGGTCCATGTACACTATGCATTACGTACACTACCTACGCAGTACACTATGCAGGTAGGTCCTCTTTTCAAGAGGAGATGGATGGCGGGAGGAAGTGGGGGGGAACTTCGGGATCCTTCCATAAACAAACAAACATGTCACCACCGACTGACTGACAGCCAGATGCTGCGAAGACTCTTCGAGAAACTTCACCCAAGCTCGACAGCCCAACGTGACTGTTCATCTCTTTTGATGTCTTTTTTGAGAGGTTTTCTTCTCGTGGCATTTCTTCCCCAGGTCCCGCCTTGATGCCATGTCAACATGACAGCCATGACTCGAATTCGCCCTTTCCTCTCTCCATCCAAGGCCGAAAAAAAGTGGACGGTGACGCCGCTGGTCTCTGGGCGCCGAGCCTGGGAAATCGAGTTGGAGAAGCCAGCGGCGTTGCGGCACACGAATGCTCCCCACAACAACCGGGTTGCCAATACTTGGAAGACCCAACCCGACCAGGGCGCACGCACAAAGACGGTCCAGAACTGTGCCACACGTTCCAGGGAGGAAAAAACTGTGCTGGTCAAGCTTTTGCTAATGGCGCGACAAGACATTTCTGCAAGATTGACCAAGAGCTGGACCCTTGCGTAGTACAGGTATCTCATGCCAATTGATTGGGCAAGACCAAATCCGGAATCTGGGGATTGAATTCAACTACGTGTGATGGACGGGAGGAGGTTACGGTGACAGTCGTTATCAATCAGCAATGCCCGACACCGAGGAGATACAGCGCTTTGAAATCATGTCAACCAAGCCCGGTCTACTAGTCTACCCGACACGAGAGGCCGGGGGATTAAGACACCACGGGGCCAGCCACATCGGGGGCATTCCATGTTTTCAGCCGCTTGGCAGGCATGGGCGCTCACCGTTCGTAGCCGAGCAAAGCTCCCAATCCAAGAAACCCCGATAACCCCCGGCGTTGGGCTCTGGCAATACAGTCAATGTTGGGGGTGTTTTTTCTCTCCTTTTTCTTTTCTTTTTTTCTTCCCTCCTACTTGCTATGCATCCCGTCGACTAGCTAGCTACTGGTATGCATTCCCATCAGCTCCCTTGAACGACCCCACGCGGCAATCCAAAATGCGTGGTGCATTCCTCTCGGCTGGCTGTGAGATTCCGGTATATCACAGAATCATTGGGCGTTAGAATCACACGACAAATGTTTTTGTTTTTGTTTTGCTTTTGTTCTGCTTTGTTTGCCCTGGAACCTGCTGACTACTCTCTCTGTGCCGCATGTCCCACACAACCTGATGCCCCATCACGTTCAAGGCCATGTGCCCGAAGAGCTGGGACAAGACTAGCACGATCAGGCATGGCTCGATCGCAGGGTGCCAGCATAATGTACATACATATTGCTCCGTATCCGTACACACGAAATAATCAGACAAATGGACCTGCGCACAAGGTAATAATACCCGTCGACCCTTGCCTAGATGCCAGATGAGCCCAACTTTGGAGCAGTGACCAAGGGGGCGGGCACGTCTCAGTAACCTTATTCCATGGTAACATCCGTCCTCCCCGTAATTGCCGTGGGTCGAAGCGTAACAACAAAATCACCAATGGTCATGGCAGAATAACAGAAAACTACATGAGCATAGTTTGATTGAAATATGGAAAAAGAGTGAAAAAAAGAAACTAGCATGCGGCAAGGCAAGGAAGGGTAAATCACGGTAAAGCAGACGCAGGGATACGGCCCATCTACCTTGGGTACCTACCTAGCCCGTGTATGTACGGATAGCTTGCCTTGATATACCTGCCTACCTACCTACCTACACTACGATTACCTACACTAGGCAAGCCATGGGTACGGGGTACTGCCCGAGGTATCACGTCAGCAAGCCTTGCGCCCCCTTCCGTGCGTGCGGGAGACCGACGGTACATGCCATGTACTTCCATAGGTACCTAGGGCGGCACATTGAAGCAGTAGCAGAGGCAGGAGCGTATCATGTACGTTCTCACTACCTACCTACCTACCTACCTACTTGTACATAGGATGGACAACGACGTCCGCGGCGGCGACGGCGCCGGGGAGAGGAGCAAGAACCACGGGGAACCTCTGGGAAAGAGAAAGAGCAGGAAACAACGCCATCCTCATCCTCCCTCTCTCCTGGGCTCCTCTTCCTTCCTTCCTTCCTTCCCGGTCCCACCAGAACTCCTTCCCATTCATCCCTGTCCCTGTCGTACTGCAGGGTCCCCCCGGTCTCTCATCCACTCGCGCGCTACCCAGGCGGGGACAGGCTTTTTTTTTTATTTTTTTCCCTTGCATGGATTATCCTCTGCTATCAGTACGCCGACATGTTGGCTGTCTTTTCCGCTGCGACATACTTAGGTTCCGTGATCCCCGAAGCTTGTCCTGCTTTCTGTCGTTCGTTCTCGCTTATTGTAAAGTCTGCTGGTCTACCGACTAGATCTGAGATTGTTGGGATTCCGCCTAACCCCTCATTGTCGCGATCCCCCTTCAGACGAATCGCGAGTTTCCTCCCACCAACTCGAATCGACTCGACGAGGCGCGCAACACTTCGAATCCGCGCCAAGAGGCAACGCCCGCCGGTGACCTCATATACTGTCTTTTTCCGCATTTGCATTCCGTTCTCGCTCCGGTTCCCACTTCCCTCGAGTCCAACCGCCGCCGACTCTTGGTCTGAATGCATCGAGACACCCTCGCTATCGGGACCCAATCCATCCACTGGGGAGTTTCGAGCCCTTCACCAGGCCCAGCCCACGATAACATTGCCGCCGCCAGCGACTGAGCGATCGAGCTCGCGGCGTTCCACGAGGCGCACTGCCAACGAGCACGCTTCCCAACAGCCTCTGCAACACACATAACCGCCGCCATGGCGTGGGACCATCTGTCCATTACGAAGCCGCACTTGGTGTACATCATCCTGGGCGGCTTCACAACCCTTTTCATGCTCTGCTCCTCCATCATCAAGGAGCGCATGTACATTGGCGAAGCCACTGTCGCCACCATCTGTGGCATCATCTTCGGCCCTCACGCCGCCAACCTCATCGACCCCAAAAGCTGGGGCAATGTCGACCTCGTCACCATCGAGTTCTCCCGCATCGTCCTTGTCGTACAATGCTTCGCCGTCGGTGTCGAGCTGCCCAAGTTCTACATGGAGAAGCACTGGAGATCCGTCACCTTTCTGCTGATCCCCGTCATGACCATTGGCTGGCTCGTCGTGAGCCTCTTCATCTGGTGGCTGATTGACCCGCTTACTTGGCTCGAGAGCTTGGTCATCGCCGCTTGTGTGACCGCCACCGACCCCGTCCTGGCCTCGTCCGTCGTCGGTAAGGGCAAGTTCGCCAAGCGGGTCCCCAAGCACTTGCGAGACCTGCTGTCGGCCGAGTCCGGCTGCAACGATGGCATGGCTTTCCCCTTTGTCTACCTCGGCATCTACCTTATCCAGGAGCACATGGACGCCAAGCAGACCACCTACCACTGGATTGTCTACACGATTCTCTATGAGTGCATCTTCGGCGCCATCTTCGGTTTCCTCGTTGGTTACATCGCACGCCACGGCATCAAATACGCAGAGGAGCACGATCTGATTGACCGAGAGAGCTTCTTGGTCTTCTACTTCGTCCTCGCCCTCTTTTGCGCCGGTGCTGGTAGTTTGCTCGGTATGGACGACCTGCTCGTCGGCTTCGCTGCCGGCGTCGGTTTCTCCAACGACGGTTGGTTCGCCTCCAGGACTGAAGAGTCGCACGTCTCCAACGTCATCGATTTGTTGATCAACCTGGCCTACTTTGTCTTTTTGGGCACAATCATCCCCTGGGAGCAGTACAACAACGTTGCCGAGGGCATCACCCCTTGGCGGCTGGTTGTCATCGCCATATTCGTCATCCTGTTCCGCCGCATCCCCGCCATGCTCTTGCTGAAGCCCTTCATACCGGACATCAAGACGTGGCGCGAGGCTGTCTTCGCCGGCCATTTTGGTCCAATCGGGGTCGGTGCCATCTTCGTCGCCATCTTGGCTCGCGCCGAGTTGCAGTGGGAGACGGCTGTACCGCTTTCCGATATTCCGCCCGACGACATCGAGCACAGGACCTTGGTCGCTGTCATATGGCCAATCGTTACCTTCCTCGTCATCTCTTCCATCATTGTCCACGGTTCGTCGGTGGCTGTCTTCACGCTCGGAAAGCGCATCAACACCTTGACAATAACCATGTCCTACACCACCGCCCCCGAGGACGGCCCCACCTGGATGAACCGCCTGCCCAGAATCTCGTCGCAGTCTCGATCGCAAGCCCGAACCATGTCCGACACAGACGGGGAGGAGCTGAAGATGCCAGAGTTCCCGCCAGGCACACTACCCCCCGTCGGATTCCCGGGCGCTTTTCTGCGTCGTCAAAAGGACGAGGAGGGCTCGAAATCCCGCGCTCGATCGACTTCGCGCAGCCGGCGCAAGAAGAACAAGTGGGACGACGGTATCGGCCCGGGCGGGCCTGTCTCCCAATCTGCTATTTTCCCCACTAGACGCGAGCCCCTTCTCAACGAAAAGGACACCGCCTCCCCTGATAGCGAGGGCACTACGCCACCCAGACGCGATTCCGACAGGGGCCGCGCAAGGGACTCGGAAAAGGACGACGACGAGATCACACCCTCTCCCGATGAAGGCTCTAGCCGAACGCAAACCCCGTCCAAGGTCCAAATCTACGAGGAGGGGGATAACCTGGTGGTCGAGAATGAGGATGGCGATGTGTTGACTGTCGAGCGTTCCGGTTCCAGGGGCAAGGCAGAGGCGCTCGTGGAAGAAGAAGCTCGTCACCGGAGACCTGTTGAAACCGAGGTGAACGCTCTTTCGCCCACCAAGTCGAGACAGGGCGAAAAGTTCAACTGGACCCTGGATTCGTTCAAGCGCAAGGTCGAGGACGTTTACAGCTCCGAGGTGGAGAAACGCAAGGAGAAGAGCAAGATTGGCAGGCGGCACGAGCCCGCTCGGGCTTTCCAGTTTGGCAATACAGTAAGCAAAGGTTGGGCTTCGCAACATTGTTCACCAGGCTAACCCATTGTCTAGATTATTGTTGAAGACGAAGATGGTGAAGTCATCAAGACTTACGAGCTACCGTCGGCAAAGTCTGGCAAGGAACATGGAGGCCGCACACAACAGGGTCTCAAGTACCTCGGCATGGGCGGTCTGCTGAAGGCATCCGACAAGCCGCTTACTGAGGGCGCGGCACCAGGAGAATCCAGTACCGAGGGTGCTGCCAACGCACCTACAAAGTCAGGCTGGCAGCGCTACCTCGGCGGTGGCGGCGGCGCCGCCGGTGCCGCGCAGAAGCCGAAGAAGAACGCGGCTGATGAACAAGGTGACGACGACCGGCATATCAGATTCACAATAGGTGGAGTCGGCCAAAGGATGACCAAGGAGGACTTCATTCGGGAAGTGCAGAAGCTTGACGAAAAGACGCGGCGACAGGTCGTGGACCAATCGACTGCATCACAGCGTGTCAAGTCCATTGCAAAGGGAGACGTCCCCTCTCCGGCTGAACGGCAAGCGAACATCCCTACTATCAAGATCCGAAACGATTCCACCGAGAAGAGATCCGGGTCGTCTACACCACAGCGAGGGGATTCCGGTCCGACACAGCCTGCCCCAACAGCATCACATGAGAAGGAAAGCGACGAAGATGAGACAGCAATTGAAAGACAGCGAAGGCTGGCCGTGCTGTCAAACCAGAGCGATGAGAATGTGGATTCAGGCGAGACTCCTGCCGAAAGGCGCCGTAGGGAGGCTGCACTGGGTATGAACGCCAACGACGGTGGGGACGACTCGGACGATGAGGGCGGGGAGAGAGTGCCGCCCACAAGGAGAGGTATCCGGTTTGCAGAGAACACGGTGCCGCGAGGTCGGAAGTGAAAAATAGGGGGAGATGGACTGTGAAAGAGATGGTATAGCGTCGCATTGGGTGATTATATGCATCATGACAGCGTATCATGCATGGTTATTTTTTACGTCTAGAACGGGGACCCGAATCACGGGGAGTCCCTACAAAACGGCCGATTTTGGTAATTGTATTGTTTATTATGTACATACATACACTTCAGGAAATTGATGGGCCTTTTGAAACAAAAACGGGTGACGTGGAGTCTGCTACCGTGAGCATCTCTCGGAGTTTTAGTTTTTTTTTGTTATCCGCATGGGTTCAGCCCGTAGTTCGCTGGTATGATGGCCCGTGTGACGACGGATAGCGGCTCAACGGGTAACAACGAGGGTGATGGGAAGAATTGTCTGTCAACCCCTCGGGCGTGTCGTCGACGGGCTAATAAGTCATATACTCTATCCCTACCGTACCGTGCAGCTCTAACCCCTCGAACTCAATTGCCATCGCGAAAACGAGCGGGAGGGGTTGTTTCTGACGTCATGCCCACCCACTCAATCCCCGATGCACTTCCCCGGTAGTCTCGGCCCGATGGGGGGGGGAGAGGAGGTGCGGCGGGGAGAGTGGCGCTGCATGTCACGTGTGTCTCAGCACCGCTGGGGGGATGCAGGATCAGGGACATGAAATGGACCGAAATGCGCCTTTACAGTTATGGCATCTTGGTAGCTTCTAGTTGGGCGTATTGAAAAAGGAAAATGAAGAAAAAAAAAACATACAACACCAGGTATTCGCTGATCGTCACCGTATCAGCTAATAATCCGGCCCTCATGAAGTCTTACCTGTAAGAGCCTCAACTTCCTAATCTTAAAGTCTAACACTTCCATCATCAGAAGGCGAAGCTCTCATCTTCCCAGACCATATCTTCTGCCTCCTTGACAGTCAACGGAGCAAGCTCTCCTTCGGCACGCTCTCTCCACTCGAGGACCTTGTCTTCCAGATCAACCTCAAAATCTCCATCTCCGACCAGAACTCTCGGGGCATCATCCCCGCCACTAGAGCTATACAGCACGTCGTCGTAGACGTCAGCACCTCCCTTCGGCGTCATCATGGCCATGACGCGGTCCCTTAATCTCAGGAGTTCCACGCTTGGAAGGAGGTTGGGGTTGTATCCGAGTTCTTGGCGGTTTGTCGACGGGTGGAAAGTGGTGGTGATGAGGTGGATTGCGGATACAGGGAGGAATGTGAAGCTGAAGCGCCATTGGGAGTTGTCGACACGTACTTGGTCGATTGATAGAGAGCGGATTAGGTGGGGTCTAAATACCCGACTGGCGATGCCGGAGCGGACCGTGCACCGGCCACTAAACAAATCCGCGTGCAGGTGCTTGGTTCTGAGCTCAGTACTGTACTGTGCTGCGACCCCAAAGAAGGCTGCAAGTGCTTCTGATGCTGGCCAACCCTCTATGTACGCACAATACTCCGTAGTGTATATATAAAGGATGACAGAGCACGCATTTGAAAGTTTCTTCATAGGGGATGCAGCGGCAGTTCCATAACCGCCCTCCTGTTGAGCACTAGACTCTCTCTCTCTCTCTCTCTCTCTCTCTCTCTCTGTCTGTCTGTCTGTCGGTCTATGGATGTTCTACCGTGATCGGGCAACCGGGTGTGCCTGGGGAAAACAATTAAAAGCTAGTTTTACCTGCTTTGCTAGTTGACCCCTTTTCCGTTTTCGCAAGCGTCATCGCGTATTACCTGCCTCATCTCTAGGTCTATGTGACACCAGCAAACAGATCCCTAAAGGAAACAGCCTCTTCCATATTCACTTTTTGAAACCTCCACCCGACTTTCGTAAACGTCCTGGACTGACTGACTCACCCCCTCCCTGGTTTGCCAAATGTAATTGCTCACAGGCGCCGATGGTCTCTGAATCACTGCCCGCGAGCAGAGGTCGTCGTGGTATAAAAGACCGTTGGCGCCTCCTCTCTCTACCATACGATTTGCCATGTGCCCCTCAAGAAACCTGAACGAGCCAGGGAACACCTGTTTGCAGGAGCAGCCAAATCAGGTCTCTCTGCCACCTTCAGGAAAGAGATACTCGGCTCTGATGCCGGAAACCGCCTCAAGGATGTGCGACCACCGCCGCAACCGCCACCCGCAGCTGTTCACCCCAGCTCATGGCCCCTTTCCACCACTCCGTCGTCGCGTTGCTTACGAAACCCCGTCTCCGTCCCAGTCTCCTGGCTTTCCCGGGTTCTACCGAGCGCTTCCCCCCTCGGCCTTTGGACATCCGCCCTCGGCTCGTCGTGATGCTAGCTTCAACTACAGAGCGCCATCCCCTACCCCCCGGCATCTCGGTGCCCCCTATCGTGAGCATTTGTCTTGCTCCCACCGCCCACGCCATCTCCGGGCCCATAGGAGGGACACACGGCAGCCAGGCCCAGGTCGGACCATGTTTCCCGACATCGTCATCCCCAGCATCGAGCGCGGTCCCAGCCCGCGATCCACATCCCCCAACTCGTCCACAAGGGAAGGAACGCAGACATCTTGTTCTTCGCCCGCACCACCCTCGGAGTCTCTCGCGTCGAGGTCGTACTCCCACGACGGCACGGTCTCTCCCTTGGGACCGCGCTCCCGCCTACTTGAAACGCCGAGATACGTCTCGGCCCTGCGTCCGCTCTCCATGTCTCCATCACCGGGCGTCCCCGGTGAGTCCCCAACCGCTCTGCCGCTCTCGACGCCGTCGCCCCCCTCTTGCGTCGTCGTACCGCCCGGATTCCGTCTCGGCCGCCGAGCGAGGGGCCCGGACCTGCGGGTCAGGCTCGGCTCGCCCGAAGACCCCTACGTCGCCGTCGGCGGGATTCATCGCCCGCGGTGCCCCAGCTGCGGGTGCGTCTGCATGTCCATCGGGGACCGCTCGCGGCAGAGCGGAGGTTGGTTGGGTACTTCCGGGCCTACCACGGGGGGGTTAGGATCCCGGGACCAGCGGTGGCTGCGTTGATTTTTGATTCGGCTGCGGGTGGGAAGTGATGGGACAACCCATGATTCTAGGGTTGGGGGGTGGGTGGAGTTAATGGAGGACCTGCACTGTCTGATTCGGACCTCGCATGGAAAAGAAGAGGGGAAAAAAGGGAAATCTCCCTACAAAAGAAGAAAATAAAGTCTTATATAAGCAGACTTGGTAGAAATATATCTTGAGCTCGTAAAACCTAAACTATCCCGGGGGGAGCGACTGAAAAAAGCGCATAAAGTAGCCAAAAAAGGTACGTCGCCGTGAGCCTCTTCGGGGTCTCCACAGCCGAGATGGTATCAATCAGTCTCCCGGAACTCTCACTGTCATTATGCTCGGCGTCCTGTCGTAAGCATCTCCCCTTCCCACACCGCTCTCCATACTGCCCGTCTCCGCACCCCCGGCACCCCTCGTCGACTCCGCGACCGGAACCTCTACGTTCTTGTTGATCCCCGGAGGCGCCGAATTGCGGAGGTACTCCTCGCTTCCGGGCAGAGTGAACTCGGTGATGGGGTGTTGGCAGTACGGCAGATGGCCGGCCCTTCTTCCTATTACCGCCGGTGCTCACTCCGGGACGTCGCCGAACTGGATGCTCCCCTGTATGCAAGTACGTAAGACGGAAGGCGGGTGGGGCCTTGAAGAAATTGGTGCCAAGATCTCGGTCGCCTGGTTGGGGCAAATGCTTCGATTCGGAGATGCTCTCCGCCCCTTCGGTCAGTTCACCAAGTTAATATCTATGACCGTACAGGTACACAGTACGCAGGGAATATTACATGCTACACCTCTCCCCGCGGATCAACGAGCGAGGGTTATCTCTTCAACGGGTGACATTGACAACATGCGGTTTGTCCTATCGGATGCCTGACGGACAGCGTATGGGGAAGGGGGGGGTAAGAAACACCGCTCATGATTGAACATGTCGCTTGCTCATGCAACTACATTGACCCTTATCATCACGGCCATGATAGCTTCGGACCCTTAGCGTGACGAGTGGACGATCATGCCACACTTCGACCATACTCCGTAGATTGTCAAATACGGGGTAACATGCGCGGAACGACCCCGGCGATGTGCGGACGCCATAGGGCTCAGCATCCAAGGTTGAGTGAGGGTTGTGCAGCATCCCCTGTCACATTGACGAATCAGCTCTGTGTTTCCTGCATGTGCTTTCCAGTAAGCATAGCGAAGCATTCAGCCCTAGGCAGCATTCAACTATCGCCAGGCTGCCTAGAAGAGATAATGGCCCGGTCAACGCCAGGCCCGGACGCAGCTCCCCCGGTTTCTTCCATCCTGCAGCAATGGCTTTAACCACATAGTGTGGCAGCCAGGCCTGGCTTGTCCATATTTTCTCCTGTACGCCTCAGCTGTGTTGGTCCCGATCACATTGGATTCTTCGGTCGCTCTTCTGGCCACCGCTCCGACTCTCTTACCGTCCGTCCGCCCGTCTGTCTTAGTTCCCACGCCAAGTTCGTCTCCCGAGACCGTCGGCGCTGCTTTCTTCCGACCCCCTGCGACCAATTGCTTGAGCGTGTTGCAATGGAGATTCTCGACTTCGTCGTTACTGGAGCAGGTAGGAGGCTCCTCCCCCCGACACAACTATCCAGGCCTACGGGCTGCTCTGACGCGCCGTCCCAGGATGGTTTGGTCTGGCTGCGGCCAAGACTCACCACCAACTTCACCCCCAAAGCTCGCTGGCTCTCTTCGAGCAAGCCTCGTCCGCCGGCGGCGTGTGGGCCGAGCACCGTCTCTACCCGGGACTGAGGAGCAACAACATGCTCGGCACCTACGAGTACCCCGACTTCCCCATGGACCCCGAGACTTTCGGCGTCTTGCCCGGACAGCACATTCCCGGTCAAGTCCTGCACCGTTACTTGACCGAGTACGCCAAGACATTCGGCGTCTTGGACAAGATCCGCTTCAACCACAAGCTCCTTTCGGCAGAGCACCAGCCCGACGGCGGCTGGATTCTGACCCTCCTCGACGGTAGGGACGGCAGCGAGACCCGTGTGCTGGCCAAGAAGCTGGTCGTCGCCACCGGTCTCACGTCCGAGGCCTTCATGCCCGACTTTGCCGGCCAGGACACGTTCGGCGCCCCCCTGTTTCACGGGAAGGACTTCCTCCAGCATGCCGACACACTCGACTCGGCCAAGGCGGTGACAGTCTTCGGCGGCACCAAGTCGGCATGGGACATCGCCTACGCGTATGCCACCAAGGGGATCAAGGTCCACTGGGTAATCAGAGGTAACTCAAACACCTCCACGCGCACTTGGCGCCCCCGGTGCTGATCAGATATAGAGTCGGGACACGGGCCCATATGGATTGCCCCGCCATACGTCACGCCCTTGAAGAAGTGGCTCGAGAAGCTCGCCCACACCCGAGCCCTCACCTGGTTCAGTCCCTGCTCGTGGGGCGACGCCGACGGGTACGTCAAGACGAGGAACTTTTACCACGGCACGGCCATTGGCCGTGCCATCACAAACAAATTTTGGAGCGTCCTCGGCAACGACGTCATCACCCTGAACAAGTTCGACTCGCACCCGGAGCTGAAGAAGCTCAAGCCGTGGAGCGAGGCCATGTTCACGGGGTCCAGCTTCTCCATCCTTAACTACGAAACAGACTTCTTCGACCTCGTCCGCGACGGAACGGTCGACGTCCACATTGCCGACCTGGTGAGGCTGTCACCGAGCACAGTACATCTCTCGGACGGGTCGTCTTTGCAGTCAGACGCCCTGTGCTGCGCCACCGGATGGAAGCAGTTCCAGCCCATCAAGTTCCTGCCAGAGGGCATCGAGAAGGAGCTCGGCATCCCCCACGCGCCCTCGCCCGAGAGCTTCCCTCCAGCCGAGATGGTCGAAGCCATCGACAAGGAGATCTTTGACCGCTGGCCACGGCTCAAGGACCAGCCCGTCCAGAACAAGAACCTGAAGCCTCTGGTGGAGAATGAGGGCGTCTCGACCACCGAGTCCGTCAACCCATACACGACTCTCACGCCCTACGTCCTTCATCGCTTTGTGGTGCCGCCGTCATCCAAGCTTCTCGTGCAGCGTGATATTGCTTTTGCGGGCGTCTTGATGAACTTCTCCGTGTCGATGATCGCCCACGTGCAGTCGCTCTGGATCGACGCCTACTTCCACGACCAGATCCCGGGTGTCCGCGAGGCAACGGCCGACCCCAAGGCGTTGCAGAAGTTGCGTTACGAGACTGCTCTGCACAGCCGGTTCGGAAAGTGGCGGTACCCCGCCGGGCACGGTGACAAGTTTCCCGATTTCGTTTTCGATGCTGTTCCTTATATAGACCAACTAGTGGGCGACTTGGGCTTGAAGGTGTACAGGAAGAATGGCATGGTCGCTGAGGCATCGGAACCATACGGCCCCGAGGACTACGCTACCTTGGTCGACGAGTGGGTGGGGAGGCAGGTCGGTCTCTAGTGAGCTTGGATAACGATTTGGGTGACTGGCGATTCCACTAACACGTCCATCTAAGCTTTGTCTGACGTAAACTCCCTGCCTCTTTCTTGTCTTCTGTCATGATATGTAAGCCTCGATTACTGCCCACGTAAATAACGGTATCGTTTTGTTACGTGACATCTTCTTACTCCAACCCTGCTCTATAACCCTAACCATGGTCTCTCCTAAACTACCTTGACCGGCGGCCGCCAAGCCCGGTCGGTGCGCAGTCAGCAGTCATGCACTATTTTCGATTTATAGGCGACGCTCCCCGCACTCACGTAATCCTCTCGGTTCCTTGTCTTGCGGCTCTCTGTACAACCCTCACACGGACGCTTCTCTTTAACGCCGACCGACACGGCCCTCGAACTTTACATCCCCCCCTGTATCGCAGATCCTGCTTGCGAGCCTCATCCTCCACCCTTCGAACGGCCGCTTCGAATCCAAATCGAAGGTCCGCTGGTGTCCATAGTAAAGCTTTTCCCGGCGATACAATGGAAAATTCCCCTGGGTAACACGACGGAGTACTTTCAACCAGCTGGCCCTAGGCTTGCAGCCCTAACACATAAGCATCTCTATGGGAAGGAGGCCGAGGATTGTGCCGATGCCTCTGGTGGTTTGGTGATCCGGGATGAGTACCTGGGTTGGATTAGGCATGAAAGGTAACAAGACAGGTTAGTTAGTCTTCATACTAATAGGGGACGTACTAACGGCGAATTGTCGGTTGTTGTTTACAGGCGGATTGACTATTACGGTGTTACTTTTGACCACCTGGTTCCTGCTGACGATGCCGACCCGGAGGTGCTGCAGATTAATATCACTGAGACGGAGGAGGACGAGGGGGCGTATGCGAACAAGTATTTACTGTTCCCGGTGGATGCTAAGGATTACACGGGGAAGAAGGTTCTCGCCGTACCAAGGTGCCGTCAGAAACGGAATGGTACACAAGACCGCAGGAAAGTGAACGACGATGGGAAGCAAGGAAATTCGAGAGCCAAAACGCCGAGGGCATGCTTGTATAGGTCTATTAAAGTGTTATATCTAGTGGGATCCTGGTGTGCGTTTCTCATTTTCTATTCCGCGTATTGCTCCGCCACCCCTCGAGTGAAGGTTAGCGTTGATCAATTCTCTGTCAGGTTTAGGTAGCAGCCTGACCACCATATTTCGACTACCAACGTCCTTCAGCTTCGCAAATCAATGCCCAACTAGGACTTCTAAACGTCTGGTCTTCTACAGAATCCGCGCACAAACTAGCTCCTCGGCTCTCTTCCCGCTGATTACTAGTAAACCATGGAAAATGTATCTCAGCCAAGAGTCGTCTCACCGAGGCGAACGAGTCGAGGAGCAATAGTTGCTAAACTGGCAACAGCCCTTTCCACATCACTTCGAACCAACAGTACCCCGGTTACGACTACAACTAATGGCACTATCTATAAAGCTGACAATATAAGCCAACTTCCCGAGACACTCGGGCCCAATCTCAAACTAAAAGACCTGGAGAAGGCCGGTCTCCAACGCTTGTTGAAGAAGCGCCGATTACTTGTAGAGACGCCCGTGATCGTTCCACGTGACATGGAGCGCAACAAACTCGCTCAAACCGTCATGGTGACTCTGGTCTTTGCCCAGGAGGAGGCCGGCACGGCCGTCTGCATCTCACCCGGCGGCATCCTCCTCACCTGCTCCCATTGCGTGGCCGAAACGGCCGACGACTTCGACTCCTCCAGAACCCACTGGCTCCTCTTCGCCTCGGGACAGGCCGTCGGGGCGGAGCCTCTGGCGTGGGACGACAGACGAGACCTGGCTCTCTTGAGGATTGTGGCCGCCCAACCGACGCCGTCCCTTCCATCTGCAACAGCACCACCGCCACCCGCGACGTTCCCCTTCGTCACAGCATCGCCCACGCCCCCGACCGTCCAGACCCGCCTCGTCTGCGTCGGCCACCCGGGCAGCGAGGACTTCGAGGCCGCGGACCCCGGCACCGAGACCGGCTACGACGTGCTGCACCTCAGCACCGGGACCTTCAGGGGCTGCGCCGAGGGCCGGGACCCGCAGGACAACTCGGAGATCGGAGCGCTGATGCACACCTGCTGGACGTACTGGGGCCACGGCGGCGCGCCGTTGCTCGAGAGGCGGACGGGGATGCTTGTCGGCCTGCATTCGTCATGGGATGACAAGACGGGGATGAGGAGGGGGATCACGTGGGAGGCCATTGTGCGGTTTTTGGAGGAGAACAAACGGTTTATGGAGTAAGCATCGATGATTGTCATGCATCTGTCGTAGGCCAAACAGTTATTTCTGGACCTGAAGAAAATGATTGTTTTGTATCAAGATCAAGAGTCATGTCTCCTTCAAAGACAGGGCTGAAAGTGCAGGAAGATGCCGGAGGTCGTTCTTACCTTTTCGTATCCCAAGTCGTGCTTGTCAGTTGCTTCCGCAGCAACCCCCTCTACTCGAGCCAGTTGTTTTCCCGCTTTTGTCTTTCCTATACAGCAGCGGAAACCCCATCCAACAGGCTAGACAGTCAGTTCCAAATATCTACTCGCAGTCTTTGCGCCCCGCCCCTTCTCTTCACTTCTTCTTCTTTATCAAAGATCAAAGTCCTTGGTTCACCTCCGCTCCACTCAGGGAAAACCGTGGTCTTTCCGAAAGAGGCTGTAAGTCCCAAGATTTACTGACCCCCTCTCGTGGCCCCGAACTCTCCCTCCTACGACGTGCTTAGTAGCTCTGGTTCAAGTGTTGATCTCCAAGATACTCCGTGTTACAGGTTGGCAACCGGCTTCCTCGTCGCCTTACGGCCAAGCACCATCGTACATCAAACCCATTCACGCGTCCCTGGGCCGTCCCCTCCGTGAGCCCTTACGATACTAACTTCACCCTTCAACGTAGGTCATAAAACCCCCTCCATTGCCTGGCCGACAGCCACCTCCCCAAAATGGCCTTCCAGAACCCTTTCATCCCCTGGATCGGCCTCAACCCTTGGCCGTCCACCACCACTTCCCTGGCAAGCATCCTATCGACCCCCACCGCAACCAGCGCGATAATGCCTACCGAGACCACCGAGTTTCTCAAGGCCTGGGCCTACGACGAGCCGTCGGCCGTCGTCAAGTGGTTCAAGGGTGTCGCCGCCGGCGTCGCCGCCTCCCTACTCCTCGCCTCCCTGTGCTGCTGCTGGGCGCCCTGCGTCTATTGGTACTACGGCGGCGATTTCTCGCAGCGGGACGTCCTCGACGACATGACGGACGCCATGCTCCGCGGCCAGTTCGTTCCCGAGGGCGGCTGGGGCCTCTGGTTCCGCGGTCGCGGCGCACCCGACAACGAGGGCGTCGGCGTTGCCGCGGGTGACGCCCGCGGTTACGAGCGGAATCCTGACATGACGACCGCGCGCAACCGCAACGAGCGCCGCGCCATGGGCCGCCGTGCTCGCCGCCGCGGCCGCCAGGACTGAGTCTTCCGAACTCCGCGGTCTCTTGCTCCTCCCCTTGCCAAGTACAATACCTCAACGCAGCTGAGATGCCATCTCAGCCGCCTCTGATACTCGTCAAGATAAGGGGAATGTGGTACGTGGCCCCTCCCGAATACCGGATTAGAGAGAGACGGTTAGCCAACATCTCACAGAGGCAAACAGTCTGCATGAGCGAGTGTGGACAGATGGAGGACGTCTATCGCGTTCCTGGGAAAAGAGCGGAAGAAACGGCCGTGAGGAAGGCGCCGGAAGGCCCTTCATGGGAATTGAGTTGCGAAAAAGAAAAAACAACCATAACTTGCGCGTATTGGGAAAAAAAGAACATTCGGCGGCAGAGGACGAAGGGCTTGTGCTCGTCGGGCCAAGAAAATGATTTGTTGCAGAAAGGCCGAAAATTGCGGTATGAACGAGAACACGATACTAATACTCACGAGCAGGGAAATCTGGATGGATCGTAGCCATACACCAAGAGACTTCTGTTTTGCCCACCTTTGTTGGGCTTCGTGATTTCGTGCTAGTTGTAAAGGCAGATGAATATCAGCATCTCATTCAACACCCCGGTAGAGAGGTAACATAAAGCCTATCTGAAAACCAAAGTCTTCTCTCGCCGTTATCCCGCCGAGATGGTGCTAAGGTAGTATGTACAGTACATTCAAAAGTTTCTCCTACACAGGTGGTATCGAACGCGCCAACTCGAGATCGGAGTCATCTGTTGTCGTCGTGGTTGTCGACAAGAAAATGAAACACCTAGCTTTTCGTTCTTCTCTGAAAAGAATAAGTTAAAAAAAAAGTGACGAGGTACCGGTATGGAGTGGTGGACATCTTTGTCCAGGCTTCCCCCGGGCCCAGATCGTCCGCCTCCTCCTGTTCTCCTCCAACCTAAACTATCCCCATGCAAAGGTGGTATCATTTCCTGACGGAAGGGAAGTGCAAAAATAAGGAAAGCACTAGAACGTGCGTAGAAGGCGTTGAGCCATGGAATTATTGCCTGTTGGTAAAAGGCGTGTTATGCGGGTATAGGTGGTAAGTGGGTAATGAGCACAGGCGTTGCTATTGCTCGTGGTGTATGTCGGGTCGAAAACAACAGCCATTTTCCGTGCGAAGTAGCCTCCAAACAAAATCAAGACTGAAGGCCAGAAGGTAGAATGACAAAGAAAAGAAGAAAAAAAGACGGGACGGATTTGCCGGCAAGTGTTGGTGTTTTGGGAAGGGTTCGGAAGCTTGGGTATAATAGAAAAGACTGGGAAAAAAACAGAATCCCAGGGTCATGATGAGGTGATGATCTTAATGGCTGGGCGAGCTGTGGCTTTGATGCGCCGCTCGAAGAACTGGAAAGATGTTAGCTGTGTCCAAGAATAAGAGGCCAAACATAACTTACTCTGTAGTACGTTCCTCTGTCCGGCGCGATCCTCGCACGCCACTTGCAAGCCCGAGCCCTCGACCAGGTCGAGACAGATGCTGTTGGGCAGCTCCTGTATCTCCATGTCAGGAATATAGGGCATCCGGAAGTCAGAAAGATGGTATCGCTTGACTCCAGCCCCACTAGGCTGCTTGTCTTTGGAAGCGGTCGAGGAGGCAACTGTGCTCAGAATCAAAAAGCCCTGAGAGTCCAGACACATGCTGCGGCGTTTCCATAACAGGTTGTCAGGAAATTGGACATTGACGTCTCCCATGAATGCCTCGATAGTGGGTTGCTGGAGGCGAGCGACTTCGAAGGCATCCTCTTCTTGAACTGTCGGAGAGATAGCAGTGGGGTTCAGGGCCTTACCTCGACCCGCGCTGCTGAGGGACGAGGAGAGGCGGCGCATGAAGCGACCTGCACGGCCCATTTTCTTGTCGCTCGTTGTCGACTTGTTGTCATCGCCAGACCCACTGCCCTCGGTGAGCACGGATGGGGACACGGCTCTGCTCGCATCATTGTCCTTGCCATTCGAAGACGAGCGACGGCTGCTGATAGAAGGGCGACGGCTGGGCCCAGAGGTGTGGGGAGTTGAAGGTGGTCTCGAGGACGGCCTCGAGGACGGCCTCGAGGACGGTCTCGAACCTGAAGATATGGGCAAAGGAGCGGTCAGGGGCTCAGCTGGTGAATTGAGCGACTTGCCTCGATCCTTGATAAAGTCCTTCATGATGCTGAGGGATGATCGGCGAGGCAGTTTGCCTCCATCGGGCGTTGGCTCCATGGACTGAGAGCGACGCTTCTCTTTGGATAGCCTTCGATCCTGGATCGTCTCCATTGGAGGCTCCACAGTTGCCAGGTTGGCTGGTGGCAGTGGAGGCTCAACCTTCTGGTGGTCGACGACCAGCGGCGACGACTTGAGATCGAGTTTTTCGAACTCGGAAGGGTTCTTGGGCGGTTCGGGCGTCTTGCTGACCTGGCTGGGATCGCGGATAATTCGCGCTGTGACGGAGATGGACTCGGACCGGCCGAATGACGGGTTGCTGCCTGGCATCTCGAACATCGACAGCCTGTTAGCCACTGATCCGGATCTGCCACGGTTCACCTTGGCAGTCTCTGGGGATAGTTCTTGCGAGTCCGGTAAGGCTGATGGCACAGGGCTGCCGCCCACAGTGAGGCAGCCCGCTTTATCGACAGCTGACACGGGGCGAGAAGGCTCCCTTACGCTGGCTCCCCTCTTGACGGCGTAGAATGCCGAGGAAGGTCTCGGGGATTTCGAGTTGCTCGGTTCCGGATCAACGCTTCCAGGTGCGTGTGCAGACAGCCTCTCCAGGGCCTTGATGCGCTGCGAGATACTCGAACCGATCTTGCCAGGCTGTTTGGGGGCCAGGTGTTGACTGCCTTGTTGCTGCGTGATTTTATGCAGGAAGGCAGCGCCCGAAGAGATTGATCTCTGACTCTGAGCCTGGGCCACGTCGGCTGGAGTGACAATGTTTCCGCGGATGGGATTCGAGACGGTGCGGACAATGCCACGCGAAGTCGGTCTGCTGACGGTCTGCGGGGGGCTAGGGAAGACAGGCGTGATGGGCGATTTGGAAACAGTAACGTGATGCGCTTGCTCAACGGTAGCTGAGTGAAGCTCGTCCAACAAATCTTCGTCGTCAGACATGCCACCCTCTGCCCGCTTACCCGAAGCATCCATATCAGTTCGAATGGGCTCCACATGCGCCTTCCTCTTTGTGTATTCCGAGCCCGCCGCCTGCGCATCGGTGTCGTGGAGCGCATCGCCCTGGGGGGAGGCGATGGCAGGCAACTCAATGCTTGCAGCTGATTTGAGATCTTGTGTTGAGAACTTGGACCGGGGAACCTTCAGGCCGGGGGAATGTGATGATGGCGGCGACCTAGGTGACACTTCCGCAGGTGCCGGCACAACGGGCGGAAACACGTCATCATGCTTCTGTTCTTGATCTTGCGTCTCTCTCGGTTCGATGGGCGTCGTCGCCCGTGGTGGGCTCGTGGAGAACTTGGAAATTGGTAAGCTCAAGGGCGATTCTGGTTGTGTATCCGTGACTGCTACCTTCTCAGTCTCACTCCCTTGTTCCACAGGCTGCTTGCCCTCGTGTACTTCCTCCTTCTCAGCGGTCGAGGTAACTGGAGTCTCGGGCTCGTTCGGCTTCTCGTCCACGAGGACAATCTCCTCGGGGGCCGAGTCGGGGGTGGCATCGGATTTTGTATTGGGACAGTCATCGGCTGCGTCTGCCGGGGCTTCAGGGAGGGGTTCGGCATCCCCTTGTGCTTCGTTGCTAGCGGCCGATGGTTCCATTGGCTCAGGAGCAGCAGCAATAGGAGTATCTACCTCCTCCTCAGATAGAACGGGGGCGGCCGTGGGTTCCGTTGCAGGTGCAACCTCCTCTCGTGCATCGCGTGCGTGGACCTGGTCGGCGAGGTCCTCCTCATCGGGTTCCTTCAAAGTCTCTTCGGTAGAATCGGATAGCGACGACGCCTTGGTCGAGTGATCAGGCTCGGAAGATGCCATAATAGGGGAAGCGGGATGAGAGTCGCTCTGAGTAAACTCAGAGGCGACGTCTGTGTGGACGGAAACCGAGGACGCGTCAACAACAATACCAGAGTCTGCTTTTGATACCGAGAGTCGTCTCTCGCCACTGCTGCCGTCGTCGACCTCAATAGCAAGGGTAGACTCGGCTGTCTCCTCAGCGTGTTCAAGAGACTGGGTCTTTTCCGAGGTTGACTCTTCGGCAAGGACATCAACAGCTGGGGTGCTGGAGGGTTGCTGGCTCATCTTTTTCTTCTCCCTCAGCTGCATCGCCTTCATCAGACGCGCCTTCTCGGGCGTCATGACTTGTTTAGTGGGCATGGTGGTGGTGAGCGACGGCATCGTGGATTTAATTGAGGAGCCCGAGCTTGTTGTGGGTCGGCCAGAGTTCGCGTGTGGCCTAACGGTCTCATCAATCTGGGAGATGGAGTCTCCGTCGGGTAGGGGTATTGAAGTGGCGGCCAACGAGATTTCGGTCGTTTCGTCCAAGTGGGCTGGCTCGGGAGGAGGGCCCAGAGTATTCTCCTTGGACTTTCCCTTTTTGGAACCCTTGGAAAATAACTTCAACCCAGAAGGCATCTGGGAAATTGGTCGGAAATCAGCCCCCACAGCAGCGGTTCCTGTGCGAGCACGGCCAGCAACGTCGAGGGACGGTCGCGGGGCAAGCTTGACCTTGGGCTTCCCGTATGAATGGAGCGGTGGAGAATATAGTTCAGGTCTCAGGGACTGCGATGACATGCGCCGTCCCTCGTCAAAGGATTTTGAAGGAGAAGGCGGTCTGGCCCCAACAAACTCTGGCGGCTCCAAAGATGCAGAAAACTTGCTCTCCTCGGGCGAATTTGCGAGTTCGGCGTTGAGCGTTAGTGGCGGCACTTCAGGAGGTGATTTCGCAGCGCCAGCTGCCGTTGGCCCCGGAGCCTCGGTCGAGCCATCAGCGCCGACAGACTTTCTCTTGCTTGCTCTCTGTTCTTCCTCTTCTTCCTCGGCAATTTCCATCAAACGTCTCCGTCGCAGAGAGCTCGTCGAGGATGAGGTCGAACCAGAGGCGGCGTGCAGGGAGCATGCAGCCGACAGCTTCGTGTCTTTGAGTTCCTTTGCAGAGGCTATCGAGAAGTCGGTATTGTACGGCGCGAACCGCTCGCAGACGGCGTTGAAATGAACAGTTACACGAGCTACGAGAATTAAAGATCCGAGTCAGCCTCTCATCTCCCTATGGAATGGGGCAAACACCCAGGTATGGTGCAGACAACCCACCTTGGACCAACCGGGAGCAATTTTCGGGGAGGTATTTGATGATTACGTTTCGGCGGCGGTACCTCAGAAAACCAAACAAGGGCGAATTATCTTCATCCTCAGCCTCGAACTGGGCGATGTTGTTCCGTATCTCGACAATGCCGCCATTCCCGCGGCCTAGCAGGTCGATGTCATTGCGACTCGTATATTTGAGGAGAAACCTATATTGCGCAAAAGTTCATAACTTTGGTCAGTCCAAGTGGATCTAGCCGCGATAGTAGGCAAGCAGAGAGAGAGAGAGAGTTATGGGGTCCTTCCTGGAGTAGGAACAGTTGGAAGCAGCCGGCGTATGGCCAGTGCACGGCGCCGAGTGAAAGTCTCGTAAAGAACAGGGAAATGACGATGATGATTTGGACTACGGCGGTGGGGAAACAAGAAAGGGAGGGGATCATACCATCCTCCTGGTTCGGCAACGGCAGCATCATGGGCCTCCTTGACCTTGGGGTCGTCCAGGCCATTGAGCGACATCCTCCCTGTCGCTTCGGCGGGCTACGGTTTGCACAGGTTGGGGACACGGTGGTCGTCGGGTTCGTTTCTTTATATCGGCCGGTGGCGGGTGTGGTGACAGATGCGCGCGGGCGCGCAAAATGGGAGCTGGGAGCCGAAGCTGACTGAGCTGAGCTGGTGGTGTCCGGGGAGTGCAGGACGAAATCGGGTGGGTTCTAGAACAGAGGACCGAAAAGTGGTTCGGAGGGGAGGGGAGGGGGAGCGGATTTCGTCGCTTAGCAGGCGGCACCGATGGCGGTTACAATTTTCAGGGGTAAGGCTGAGGGCAGCGGCGACAACAGCGGCGGCGGCGGCGGCGGCGACATGTAGAGCAGGCCAGCAACGGGCATGGGCGAGCTGCCCATGTGCACAGGTATCGACTGAGAGAAAGAGAGGGCGGCAAGGCACAAGAGACACAGGCAAAAGGAAGCGTGTGTCTGGCCCTTCCTGTTCAGCGACGAGGGGTTTGAGAAGAGGGAAATTTGGTGGTCTCCGGGTCGGAATTGCGACAAGACAGAGAAGGTGGGAAGCGCGGATGTTGGAGCGCCACGGTTGACGGGTAGTAGAATTGACGAAAGGTACCAAGTCTCGGTCTAGGCGGGTTTGGCCACCTCTGAAGTGAGCGTGGTCTGCCGGTGGTGCAGCGTAGGTAGGTGGGTGGGTTGGTTAGGTCGTGGTAGTACCGGACTGGAGCTGGATGCTGCAGGTCAATCAATCAATGGCAGGCGACCCGTGGGATGGAATGGCCGGGAGCGCAGGGTTGACGGCGCAATGGAGAAGGAGATGAGCGAATCGATAGGGAGCGTAAGATGAACAACGGATGGACGAGAAGATAATTACGCCTCGACCGACGACGGGGCCAGCAGAGCGCTAGGAACAAAAAAAAAAGCCCGTAAATGAGGGATTGGCGCGAACTAGGCCGGTTGGTTGGAGGCCAGGGTTGCTGAAGAAGATGGGATAGGCTAGGGTGTGAAGGAAGCCAAGAGACGAGATGGCAAGATGATAAAGATGCAGCAAAGATGGGATAATAGAAGGTTTATGCGAGTGAATCGCAATGTCGCAGCTTTCTGGGCGGAAGGAGAAGGGAAGGGGGGGGGGGGGGGGGGGGGGGGGGACGAATAGAGACAAGTGGAGCGATTGGACTTGATTAGTGGACAGCTTTGGAAGGAACGTTGGTGATGACAGGCTCATCCCTGCCTACCGTCTGGATTTGGATTGGACGTGGTCAGGGTCCATCAGGGAGGAGCAGAGTACGTACGCAGTAGTAGGTACTGCACCTACCGGAACGTTACTATCATTATGTACCTGTGCGACTTCAAGAGGGACCGCCATGACGACCGTACCTTGGTGGTACTATAGGTACGTGCCTAGTATCTCACCTATACCAGGTGGTTAAGCATTACAGCTCCCTTACCTAAACCGACTCGAATGGACGACGGTACACGAATGTTAGTCACTGCATCTCTTTGCTTTTCGCCTGCTTCTTTTTCTTCTTTTTCTACGGCCGACGGCGGTGGTTGTCCACTCTGACCTCCTAATTCATCTCCGCCCATCCCAAAGTCCGCATCTCCACCCGCACCGGCCCCTCCATCAGCTACACCACCTTACTTAGACATCCTCACTCTCGACCCTCCCCTGGACTGTCTCCCTTTCGAGGGGAGCTAGGAGAGCACTTGTGATGCCCGGCCTGGAATGGTCAGGGACTCAATGCTTAGGAAAAGTGAGGACCAAGCAGTCCCAAGGCGAAGGAGGAGAGGCACGCATGCGACCACAACGAATCAACCAGACATCCTACCTAGCGCTGCTGTCGTTGGATTTGTGACGTGCAACCCTGGAAGTCTGGGATTGGGATGCACAACACGGACCACCATCCACCACGGAAGACGCACAGGCACCTCGCGGGATCCGTCCTGCAGCCGGCGCGCCCCAAGGCTCTGAATATCTCTGGACGGAAGTATCTTAGTGTTCGATCTGCCAGCGGGCGGCGAGGGGGAGAACTTCAATGCCTGCTGCGATGGATGCGACCGAGACCGATGTACGATACCCATAGACGGTGAGCGTGGCCGGTTTGTTTGATACGGAGCGCCATAACCCCCCCTCGCGAAAAACGGGCTCTCCCATTGGGCGACGCCACGGCTGACCACTACGCACAGCTAGTTACAAGAATGCGCGAGGGCCACAAAGGGGACGTCGCCATTTGTCAATCATGACAGCAACGTCTCAGAAAGGCCCAGGCAGACAATGATCGAAACATGGACTGGCATGACAAACGGCTCACGAAAGGTGGCCTGGAGGCAGACCATGAGTGAGTGGTAGGCAGCTTCGGGTCGAGTCGTCGAAGCATTAGAAGGGATGAAACGTCCAATCCTGCTACAGACGGATCCCCGTCGGGTGACCGTCTTCATCTTCATCAAATGGTGGTGTCCTTCGCCAATCATAATATAGCATGGAGCGGTAAGGAGAAAATGAAACTGGCTCGGCATATCGCGTCGCAAGTCCCAACATGCGACGAATATGTTTCCACGTCCAGCCTCGATTCGGCCAATCCAGAGTACCTAGGTAATCCGAATGGAGAGAAATGGCGAGAAAAGGCCACCGCGAAACAAGCCGGGAAAGCCTGCAGCCGAACCCACCACGCCCAACTCGTGCTTCAAAGACGTGCTTGGTGGTAATTACTAGGTATGCACACGTGTAGAGCAGCATAAGGGCCGAGGCCATGTGTGGAGTTCGTCCCACGTCTGTTGGTCTCCACCGCAGGAACCGAAGTACCTGGTGTAGGTAATTGAACACCTCAGATGATTTTAAAGGGGCCGCCCATGTTCTGCTGTTCTTCAGAGGACGACGGCAGCCAGCTGTCGACCCCCACATGACCTATTATTACTACGGCCACGGTAATTCCATATAGCACGCATCTTATAATCACAACGATGTCGTATCGCCTTCACTTTCGACTTACGGATTGCTTGGCCTGTCATAGTTCACGCCAGAAGAGGGGGGGGAAGCGTTGAGAAGAACAAAAAGAAAAATGGGGGGGAAAAGAAGAGGCCGGGGACAGAAACAGAAGCAAAAATGCCGGGGAAGAAAACGTCAAGGAAACGAAAAGAAAAAAGAAGCGCGCGCTGCAGAACCATACCATCCAACCGCGAGGAATATTGTTTTTGGGCGTCTCCGTTTCTGACGGCCGCCTCTTCCCGCGCTACGGATCGCTATGACCCCCTCCCCCATCAAGCCCACCACCAACTCATCCGTCTTTCCGTGACACGATGATAGTCTCAAATGCCAAGATGAACCAGAAAAGAAAAGAAAAATAATAGTGGAGGGGAGAGAGATTGGGGGCTTCTTTGGAAATCATCTTTGACGAAATCTCTCCTAGGGGAGTAGGGGGCATTGCAATCTTCCTACTGACTTGTCGCCGGTATATCGCGTGTCTCAACTTATTGTCTTGCATTGTGCCCCGGGAGTGAGGCTAAGGGCAGGGTTGGGGGCGTTGTTCAAACAAGACGTCCATGTTCCTTCGAGAACGGCGATGATGGGCGGGCATGGGGAGAGATGGTCCTTCTGCCCTACGTCACACTGTTAGCGTTTCGGATGATGCAGCTCATATTAACCTCCGATCTCTCCCGTCCCATCGAGACATATCTGACTGACTAGAGCCCGGGGGAGAGGAGGGGAAAGAAAGATGCAAGCACGGAGACGCTAAGAAGGAAGGGGGGGGGATGTTCAGATAAGGTGCCCTGCATGCAGAATGCTGAATGAGGGTTTTATTTTATTTCTGCCGTGAACCACTCTCACGAAACTAAACATTAAAGCGGGCAACGGTTCTCTTCCCATCTTTACCATCGATCAAGGCCGCGTTGGAGACAAACGATACATGACACCTCAGGCATTCTTTAGTGGACAACATACGTACCGGTACGTTATTGTCAATAAAACTCCGTCGATAGCTCGTAAACAAGGCTGCTGCCAACCGGTAGCGGAAGTGTTCGTCTAGGATGGATCAGCGCTCACCTGCCGAGCAGGGATGGAGGAGGCCCACTCTCCTCGTTCCGCGAGAATTGGACGAAATCTCCCCTGCCCAGTATTCAATCCGAGGTCCACAGGGGGAAAAGGAGAGATCGCCATCTCACGAGGGAAGAGCGGGCACCGGAGGGCGGTCCAAGCCATAGCGGTGCCCGGCGCTAGCTGGCTCCGGATCATATGTCCGGACTGGACGGGCCCTGGCAGCGTTCAACCTAAGGTAGGTAAACGACGGGTTCGAGACGGAGATTGCGAGCCACCGTGCCCATATCACCTTTCTGGAGATTCCACTCCTTTGGCCACGTCGTCGTCGTGTGTCTGCTATGCCGTCCGTCCGGCCATCCACGGACTTGAACTATGTCGCTGCTGTCGACTTTGTTGAAAGGAAGCCGCGCTCCTGGACTCACGGCTGCAATGGTGAGCAATAGCGGCCATAGCCAGACACAATCGTCCCAAGGAGGTGAGTTACCGAGAATTAATTTGTCATTATATTTGTTGTTGTTTTTGTCCTCTACGCGTATGCGTGTCGTCGTGTATCCTCTTACTCAACACGCCGTTTTCGAAATTCGCACGGAAACAAAAAAGCAAAAAGGGGGAAATAAACTCAGGTATAAGTGTCTACGTACAAGACCGCGAAGGTCAGTTGAGGGGAGCCTAGTTCATCAATTATGAACGCCGTTTTTCCATGCTATCATAAGGTATCCTGCCACAAAAACAACGAACGAGATGAGACGGGGAAACGTGTCTCAGTGAAGGCCTGCGGCGACGGCGCCCGGGGGCGGCGCGTCGAGGTCCACGCCCTCAACCACTGTCCTCTGCTGCGCGCTGTTGCGGACGAGGTTGCCAAAGTACTTGAGTGCTACCTCGCTCTCCTGCCGTACCTTGAGCGTCTCCTCGCGTCGCCTGCCTAGGTCCTTGACTGACTGCTCCAGACCAACGCGTAGATTGTCGGCCGGGAACCGCAGGACCTTGCGGACCGAGCCTGAAATGCGCGTCGAGTTGGTATGCACGTAGTCGACAGACTCCAGCTGGGCCGCGATCTTGGTCGACAGACGGTGGGGGAGTGAGTTGGGAATCTGGTTGACAATGTAGGCTGCGGCTGCAAAGGCTGGGCGATTGTTAGTTTCGGACTGATTTGTGAACAGAAAGGGCGGAAAACTTACCGGCTGCGACGATTCCGGGGACGATTAGACGACGGAGGTTCTCATTGCCCATGATCTTCGCCGCGCTCAAAGCGTGGTCTAACCAGCCACTACTGCCCATCATGCGCGGGACAAGAGCTCCCGCAAGCGTGAGCGCCATGCCTGTGCCTGCAACCTTCTCCTGCTTTTGAACGATAGTGTTCCAGTCGACAAAGTCCCAGAACTCGGTGGGTATGTCCACATTGCGAGCCATCGAGTCGCGCTTTCTCTTGAACATGACATCGGGGCGGAATACCAGGTTCTCATAGCCCTCGCCAAGATGCAAGATGCCCAGCTGCTTGATGGCGTTGACTCCACCAACCGTTTTCGACTTTGCGTGCTCCTCGCAGGCGATAACCGACTCTTGGATGTAAGACATCATCGCTTCCTTCAGCTCCTCGGCGTACTCAAACGCGTTGAAGATGCCCCGGTAAGGAACGCCATGGTTGTTATCCCCGGCGTGATCGATAGCCGCGCTGAGGGTTGTGCGCGTGTAGTTGTAGACCTCCTTGCACGTCTGCTCTGTAATCTTGTCGATTTCGTCCCCAACCTGAGCAGTCGCCTTTCTGCTCGACTCCAGCTGAGGCTCGATCTGCTCGAGTTCCTTGGTGACCCGACTGAGCTCCGAGTTGGCGACCTCTGAGTTGACATTGGCCAACACGTGGACGTCGTTCAGAATGTTGAGCAGATAAGTCTTGGCCGGTGCCAGTTTGGACCTGGCGCGCTTTTCCAAGACAAATCTGCGCAGCGACTGCTCGAGGTTTTCAAAGTCTCGAATCTTCTCAATGTCTTTGCCCTTGCCCTTCGGGTCATCACTAGGGTCGTCGCCACCACCTCCGCCGCTTGAGCTCCCACTGCCACCGCCTGAAGGACCACCTGGGGGTGCGGTAGGAACAGCGTTACTTGAAACGAAGTGCACCAGCTCGGAGGACTCCTTGTGTGTTCTCGGGCTGAGACCCTGCACTTGGTCGAGAATCATCTTCTCGCATCTCTTCTTGTCTCTGATGTTGTCGAAGCCGTTCACCACAATAAAGAGGTATGCCTTCTCCGCCGCGGCAGCCCAGATGAACTCCTTGGCAGTCATGGTAAAGTGGTTAGCAGCCGAAACCACGAAGACAACCACATCGATCTCCTCCTGGCGGGCGAATACAGCCGTCGTCTTCGTTGTATCCGAATTCAAGCCAGGCGCGTCGATCAGGGCAATATCGACCACACCATTGTTGAGCAGCGATTCGTCAATGGTTCGGACATCCTTGACGTAAACCTTGCATTGAGTGTACTTCTCGTTATCCACGACAAGGTCCTCAAGCTGGGCGAGCTTGTACACATCGTAGGTACTTTCGTTGTGTCTGTCGTAGGTGGCGTCCTTGTGCACTGCATGCACCTCCTCCAGCCCTCCGTTCTCCCTGGCGTCCAGAACCTCGCAGAAGATTGCCGTGCAGGGCTGCTGGTCTTCGGGCAAGACCTTTCTGCGTAGCAGAGCGTTACAAAAGGTCGATTTGCCGGCGTTGAGATCACCAGTAACCAGCACCTTGCTAGAAGTATCTTCAATTCGTTCACGGAGGTTGAGCAGGTGTCGAATACTAGAGCTGATCTTGCCATCTAGGAGCGAGGCGATGGAGCCCTTCTCCAAGGAATGGACAAGTTCCGCCTGGTGAAGCGAGCCCAGCTTGAGATCAAGCTTGAGAATCGAGAAATCCTGAGCGATCTGAGGCGTAACTAATCGCGGCTCTTCGGGTGCACGCCGCTCCTGGGCTTTGCTTGATTCGGCATCATCACGGGCTTCGACCGATGTGAAGGATCGTCGTATCGCCGGGGGGGCAGTCGGGGAAGAGGGAACCGAGCAGGCAGACGTGGGAGCTTCGGCAGTTGTCGACCACGCGTGTGAAGGGGCGGGCCGCGATTGTTCGGTTCGCTGGACAGAAGGGTAGTGGGCGGGCCAGGAGACGTTCATCTCCTGCAACTCCTTTAGGAGCTCAATGACCTTGTTGATCGAGCGGCCCAGCGTCACCCTGTGTGCGTTGTACCACAGCTGATGGATGGCGCCGGCCTGGCTGCGACGATCGACTTCGGAGAGCTGACCATTGACAGAAGTCGGGATGTGACGGTCGCCACCAGAATTCATGGTATCGCCTTTAGCGATACTGCCGCCATATCCCGAGTCGTTCTCAAGCAGAGACTGGAGGTGCGCCGCATGTACGGAGGTGGAACCGGATCCAACGGTCATGAACTGAGGCGGTCTGCTCGATGACGGCACTGGCTGGTCAGGCGTGTCGAAATCATCCTTCTCGACCTCCTGGTCCATAGGGGCCTTGCCCTTCTTCGAAAAATAATCTTGACTCATGTTCGATCACTCAATGATGGAAGTAGCATGGTCAAGCAACGCTGTGGAAAAGAGAGGGGGGGTATAAATTGGGGGAGGTGGCGGGAAGTTTTGTCAGGTCGTGAATGTTTTTTTCCTTTTTTTTTTTTCCCCTTCTTTCCCTTTCCAGGGAAGCTTGTCATGTACAGTAGGTAAGTACCTGAAGACGACTCCCCGGCGCATGACTTTGGGCGGAGCGGCAAATTTCCCTTCACCCCGTTGTCGCAGCTCTTCGTCTATTGGCTCCAGAAACAGGCATCGGAAAATGCCGCCATCTAGGTACACTACGTAGGTACTTTCCCTTATCTAATCATCCGAGCGGCGACCCAGTCGGGCCTCCCAGCGCGATCGGTCTGAACACGCAGTGACTGGGTACGCTGTGCCAGGCTGTTGTACCTAGACATACGTCCCGTGCCTGTTACGTGAGTGAGCGAGTGCTAGGCAACCCAAACATCAATCGACCTCCACCAACGACTCTTCTACACGACACTAACATTGTCGCTGCCATCGACCCTTTAGCGCCTATTGCTTGGCTCTTCGACTCTACGACATTCTATCTTCCTCCCCACCGGAGCGATCATCACAAGCGTCCACAATGAATGTACGATGCGTGCATCTTCTTCCCCGCCATCATCCACCCTGCTGACTCTGCAACGTAGATCCTCGAGTACATGTTCGGCAAGCGCATAACGCCTGCGGAGCGTTTGCGCAAGAACCAGCGTATGCTGGATAAGGCAATCCGGGAACTCGACCAAGTTCGCGTAAAGTTGGAAAAACAGGAAAAGCAGTTGATTACGCAGATTAAGCAGAGCGCCCAGAAGGGACAGATGGGCGCCTGCAAAATCCAGGCCAAGGATCTGGTCCGGACGCGGAGGTCAGAAGCGGCAAAGCTACGAGCAAAAGGGTATTGATGCTAATGGTTCCCTCCGCAGATACATTGAGAAGTTCTACGGCATGCGCAGTCAACTGCAAAAGATTTCGCTTCGCCTTCAGGTACGACGTTTCGATGACGCGTGGCTCTCGAGGGGCGGTTCCCGACTGACATACACATCCCCTCACAGACATACCGCACCAACGAACAGATGATGACGGCCATGAAGGGCGCAACTCAAGCCCTGGGCACAATGAATCGATCGATGAACCTTCCCGCCCTTCAGCGGATCGCCATGGAATTCGAGCGCGAGAACGACATCATGGATCAAAGGCAGGAGATGATGGACGATGTCATGGACGATGCCATGGACGTCGGTGCCGAGGAAGAAGGCGAAGAGGTGGTTGAGCAAGTCTTGGAGGAGATTGGAGTCGACCTGACGTCGGCGGTAAGCACTTCCGAGCAGTTGATGACGGAGAAGCACTGGCTAACTCGATGGTTCCGCAGCTCGGAGAAACACCGTCTGGAATGCAAACGGCAGCAGTACCGGAGAGCCGAATTGCTCAAGCGGTTGGCGGAGGCGGAGGTGGAGGCGGGGACCCTGGTGACGACGACCTCCAGGCTCGCCTGGATAGCCTCCGACGGTAGTCGCATTGACGCTTGATGTGGTGTTCATAATGTCCCGGGACAGCAACGAGACAGCAACGATGGACAAAGGGGGCAGGGGAATAATGGACATCTAATTTGTTTTGCCACACAAGGCACGGAGTCTTCATGTCACGGGAAGGCGTACATTTTCTCAAGCGGGCGTTTCTCACTATGCAGCAACCATCCATGTGTTCGTCTTGGTTGGCGAGCTCTGAGTTGTCACTCGGGAGGTTGCATCGGAACATTGCGTCATTCGTCTACCGTAAAGACAGAATGCCCCGCCCAGATGCATTGTTTATTTTGCCGAGTGGTCTTCCGTAGAGAAGCTGGGTTTATAGATCAAGGCCTCCCCGCCTCTTGACTCTGTCTTTGGCCGCATTGTTGATGGTCAGCTTGGCGTTCGTCAGTAGGATACACCAGACTCGGCTTCGACTAAGCAACCAACGGTTTCTTTGGCGGTAAAGGTTGTCACCCAAATATTCAAAGTAGGCCGAAGACGTAGACGGCGCAAACATGTGGATATGCAATTCAGCGACGTGGTGGACGCTCTGGGCCACACATTGCAGAGCATCCATTGAATGCATGAAGTGCTGTTCCGAGTCAGCGGTCAGTCAAGCAAATGTGGGCTTTAGTATTTGGGCAGAAGCGTGGGCAGCAGAGTGGGCAGCAGATCTCCCATGCCAGCCCAACCTAGCAAAACAAACGTGTCGGACCCTGATTTTTCGGAACAAGACGTTTCCTGGTCTCATGACACAAAGATGCAATAGGATAACAACAACAGCAGTGTCTGCTCAAGACATGCACCCTGTCCTGCCCCGCTTCATTCATCAGTCGGGCTTATCAGGGATCGGATGCCGGCTAAGCTTCTGCGCCAGCATGTTGTCACTGTGTGTTACAGGCGTTGGTTTGGCTGAGATATCCAGACGGTTCGGGGGGCTCCATATTGTCGTGTCATGGAGATGGAGATGGTTTCTCTTGCACTTTTCCCCCTTGGCAACGGGTGGCTATAGGCTATAGGTGGATGGCCAAGCCATCAGAGAGACAGACGGACGCTTGATGGTTCGGCTCGACTTTCACTTCCAGAAAGCAAAACAAGTCAGGGCGCCAGCCACCTTGGCACCCGAACGTATAAGCTTTCTGGAAGGGGACCATTCCGTGGCCCTCGCTACTTTGTGAGTTTGTCTGCAAGTCATTTCGCAATACTGTCTGATTAACACGCATTGAGGGATGTAAGAGGCCCTTTACGCGCGCGCGGGGCGTAAACCTGATACACCCGACAGCGTTCAAAGTGATGTATACCTAACTTCACTCGGGAGGTGTGTTGTTGAGTCGTTCATGCGGTGCAGGGAGAACCCGTCCATGTGGCCCCTGGTCACTCGGCTCGAATGTCCCTGTTGAGAACTTAGACCAGTTGCACAGGTCGACATGAAACGCTTGACCAAAGAGTAGCAGCCAATATGCATGCATGCCGTTGAAAAAGCAGATACGTCAATGTTGGAGGATCAAGACCGGGTCATTGGTCATGTTCGTGATCGGCATGGCAAAGGCCGGGTTCGACTTAGTCAATATTTCGTGGTTGGGCCTCGGTGTGAGATGATGCATCCCCCGTCTTGGTCCGGTCCGGTATCTACTTAAGCAAGTCAACCAGGCTGGCTACCTTGGTAGGGAGAGCAGAGCAAAAGTGCAGAGCAAAGTACTGAGAGTTCCGAAGGTGGATGGAGTGTGTCGGGCTCTCTCTCTCTCCTCTTGACTGTTTTCGTCCTTCTGTGAGTTTAAAATTGTTTGGATACCGCCGAGGCCTTCCACGAAGCTCAGTCGAAACCCCTAGTGTGCCTGGCATCTTGGCCAAAACCCGGATCCAGAACCAGCAACATCTCTTGCCTCGCTTCGCCTCACATTACCTCATATTAACCCCCTCCTTCCAATCTGACGCAAGACATCATCGCCGCGCCGGATGGTGAGTCCTAACTGCGCAGCATATCTCGGTCACAACGAATCTTGGATCTACCGAACACAGCTCACCTCGAATCTGGGGGTATCGTAGGGTAGGTACGTCACACCAGGCCAGGTACCGCGAGGCCTGCTCCCCAATTGTCGCAACAAGAGTGGAAAGCAAGCTTGAGCCAACCCTGGCAAGGCAAGGGCCCCCCAATACCTAGCCGAGCGGAGAGTAGTACCTACCTACTGGTAAGCGCCGCTAAGAAACGACCCTGCAAATCGTTCCCACCGCTTTCGTTTTTTGTTTTTATTGTTATTTTTATTTCTTTTTACCTCAGCTACCTAACCTAACCTACCTAGGTAGGTAGGTACCTTACCTTTACTTTGCGTACGGATACCTACGGTAGGTATCCATCCATCCGTACGCACTTTACCGTACGGCTTGCCCTTTCCCATCATCCAGCCAACCATCCCACTCCCCTCTCTCTCCCCCTTCCCCCTCCCCCTCCCTCCTGGACTGACTGCGAAGCACTGAACCAGAGACAGCGCAACATACACATTCACACCTTCCCTCCTACGTCCTCAACTCAACACCATCATTCCCCTCCCTGACGGCATCGCAGCTCTGACTATCTCGCCCGCCAAACTGCTTTCCTCGTCACCTCTACTTTGGTTGTTTTTGTTGTTTCTCCTACATCTTCGCCAGACAGCGTCTTCGTCCCCGTTAAATAGTAAAGGAATAAAATTTAGGTTATTATATAATAAGGCTAGATTAATAGGCCTTTATTAACTTTTCTAGACTTAAGCCCGGACTACCTTACATGAAGTCATAAACACCGTGCTCCCGGCTATTGGCACGATTCATTCTCTCTCGTCTTTGCCGGGCCTTGCTCGCTGCCATCCGTATTGGTCTGCCTGCAAGATTGGCTCAACAACCATGCACTCTCTTGACTTTCGACGACGCTCAAGGCAATTTGCTGGCGCCTACGTCTTGACCCTGCCCGACCCTTCCAACATCTGCGTGTCCTTTTTCTGTCCATCTGCTCTCATGCATCGAGTCTGCCCAGCTCGAAACCGGCTTACTATCTAGCCCCCGGGTGGTCTCGGACCATTTTGCCCCTCCACCAAACCAAAAGACTGCCCTTGCTTGCTAGGCCTTATGCTAACGCAGCCTCTCTCAGACAGCATACTTTGCGACATTCCTCCCACGACAAAAACAACGACCCATACGAAGGCTAAATCGCTGTGAACCCATCGTATCCGATCGATTGTGCAAGCGGAACGGTAACCTTGACGTCTTTTCCAAGGTTCTTTAAACTGGCAGGAAGCAAGCGTCGCAGCCTCTCCAACCAGGGGAGTGGTCTGCTGACTAGAATGTTCGGCGGCGGCTCCAGTTCGGCTGCGTCCAAGGCGCAGAGTGACCTGAAAGAAGACCGAAAGTCGCCTTCACCCGAGTCCGACAAGGGCTCCACGGCCGCCACCAAGTCATCCGACCAAGCCGCGAGCGGCGACAAGCGGAGCGGGAACAGCAGTCCTCCGGGCCGCCAGCAACAGGATGGCGCTGTGGACAAGAAGCGCCGCGCCAGCGGCGTCCAGAGTAAGGCCGCTGGCCTGCTGGCTCACGCCAAGAACACCTTGAACTTTTCTCAAGTCGGCCGGAACAGCTCGGATGCAAGTTCGCAGACTCCTCTGCAGAAGTTGGGCAAGCAGGACCCTGCGCTCGCAGTGCCCCAGGGCCAACACAACAACTCGGCCGGCGATTCCATCCCCGGCCCTCGATCGACATTCCGTGTTGGCGTTTGGGAGGACAGGAACAAGAAATGCCGTCGCACGATGGAGGATACTCATGCTTTTCTCTACAACTTTTTGCACACCCCAGCCCCTGTCCTTGATGGCAAGAAGAACAACTCTGCGGCCGACGACAAGGAGGCACTTGCTCAGGACATGGTCGAAACCGACAACGGCTACTTTGCCATCTTTGACGGTCATGCCGGCACATTCGCCGCTGATTGGTGTGGGAAGAAGCTGCATATCATCCTGGAGGACATTATTCGAAAGAACCCCAACGGTCCCATCCCCGAACTACTCGACCAGACCTTCACGTCAGTCGACGCGCAGCTAGAAAAGCTCCCTCTTAAGAACAGCGGATGCACCGCAGCTGTCGCCGTACTACGTTGGGAAGACCGGGTGCCCAGTGACCGCTCTGCGACTGGCTCCCAGGCCATTGCGCCTGCTACCGCGGCGGCCACTAAGGCGGCCAAGTTGTCGACGGAAGAGATTAAAGATGACAAGACAACCTCGGCGAGCGGCACCGAGGCCGCGCACGCCAAGCTGAAGAGTTCGGCGAGCCGCCAGCGTGTTCTCTACACGGCCAACGTCGGAGACGCCCGCATTATTCTCTGCCGTGCTGGCAAAGCGCTTCGCCTTTCGTACGACCACAAGGGCAGCGACGAGAACGAAGGCAAGCGGATAGCGAACGCAGGTGGTTTGATACTCAATAACCGCGTTAACGGTGTCTTGGCTGTGACGAGAGCCCTTGGTGACACCTATATGAAGGATTTGGTTACCGGGCATCCGTACACAACCGAGACCGTCATCCAGCCCGAAAGTGACGAGTTCATCATTATAGCTTGTGATGGAGTAAGTTTCTGCTTCTGTACCCGTGGACAATGTCTGACAGTTTCTTAGCTTTGGGACGTTTGCTCCGATCAAGACGCCGTTGACCTCGTCCGTAGCGTCGAGGACCCGGTGGAAGCCTCGAAACTCCTCGTCGATCATGCACTGAATCGCTTCAGCACGGATAACTTGTCTTGCATGATTGTTCGACTGGACAAGGAGGCACTGCTGGAAAGTCAGAATGACAAGGAGAACGCCATCGGAGTGGAGCGCCCTCCCACCAACTCGGCCAAGGTCAGCGAGTCCGAAAAGATCATCCGGGAGACGAAACAGAAAATTGCGGAAGGCGGCGCGCCGGCTGTGGGCGTTTCAGCCAGCAACAGTGGCCGCGGACATGATCCGGCGTCCATTGACAACGGAGACTTCAAGCCGACCACACTGGATGATACTCTCGAGGAGGAACCGGGGCCGATGGATGACGGCGACTCCCCAGAGGCTGCCCCTGACGTGGTTCCTGCACTTCTTCCTGCAGAAGTGGAGCAAACCGACACAGCGGCGTCTAAGAAAAGTTCCTCGACTTGATGGAAACATGATGCTTGACGACTCGGCCTGGTCTGAGGGAGCATTCCGTACGTATGTTGGGCATTTACTATGGAGTCGAGGCAGTTATTGGACTGGGAGGGAATACACGGGATGACATTGCAAGAAGTCGGTCCAGAGGTTGCGAGCAAGTGGGAGCTGAGAGCCGGGAACGGACACGTACTTATGATGCAAACGCAACAGCCGTATGGCAAGGAGCGCCTACTGTAGGCTATATGTACATTTAGCTATCAAATGGGGTTGGTCCGCGATCGCGATGCAAATGATGCTGCCCACTTATATGTGAGATGAAGTCTCGATGCAGCATTGTCGGCGGGAACAATGCATAGATGAAATGTTAAGCAAACATTGGTCAGCAGACGTCGGGCAACAGGTGCGCCTTGCTGTCTGTCAAAAGAAGAGCCCGAGTCAAGGAGCTTCTCCGCGTAGGTGCTCTCCGCCACGGCCCACGGCCCACGTCCCACGATTGTTGAAGCTACCCCGCGTACCCACTCGCCGAGGCTGAATTACCTAGTTAGCACCGGTCGACTCTGACATTGAATTGTTGGAAGGACGGATATAGATGCACGAGTTTGTCACAGTGCAACGGAAAGCTGGCCGGCAACTGCATAATGAAGAGTCCTCACGGCCGGATCAGTCTGGCGCGGCGATTGTTCGTATATATCTATCTGTACACAACTAACATAGTCAACCATTGGCCGGACCAATTGGTTCACCGTCCCTCCCTCCTTGATTATGAAGGCGATCCGAGACAAGAAAAGAAGAAGGAAAGTCGGGGACGGTGCCATCGACCGCCCAAGGGGGGGGGGGTACGTGACGTCAACAAAGGTTCGGATGCGCGTGTGCGATGGGCGAACGTGACCCAGCCTGCCGCGCGAGCGTCAACGTGACCACGGGCTCCAGTGCCAGTCACAGAGAGTGGCGGCGGCGCAAGGAGCTTGGGCTTTTGGGAGGCTCGGGCAAGTTCCCCAGTATCGGGATCCCCCAGACTGGGAGGGAGGGGTCTGTCTGGGGCAGAATGCGTCACGGGACGAGCGTGGGGAGAAATTAGTGTTTTGAGCGATGCCTCCGTTCTCAACTGCCAATTGTCTGCGACACGAAACGGCTACGTATTGTGCCATACCATGTACACTACCGGGTGCTGCGCAGCCATTGGCTTCGGGTGACCTCACCTTGCTTTCATTTCGTACACCGGAGGCGCCGGGGAGGGTGGGGGAGGGCTGCTGGGAACCTTTACTGGCGTGGCGCCGGACTGTTCGGCGCTGCCCATGTTCGCCGGAATCCAATCGAGAGAGTTGGGAGAGGGACAGACCAGACGCCAGGCAAGATCGGGGAGGCAGGAAACGTATCTCTTGCTTTTCTTTTACCTAAGGTGAAAGCTGAATAGCCCATGTTAGAGGCACACTATTACTCCATGCCTTGTGTTCACTCTTGATTCATCAGTCGGGGGTGGTAGAGAGAAAGAGAGAGAGACAGAGACAGAGGTTGACGAACCAAACACCCCCGCATGCAAACCGACGGCTTCCTCAATTCCTTGACGCTCAATTGCATGGTAGATCTCGGGGCAGTCTCATCCATCTGATACATCTTGACGGTTACATGGACAGTTTCCGCCTCGCATTCTTCTCCTTCGGCAATCTGCAATCTGTCGAGCCAAACCGTGCCAATCAGACGCCGGAAAACACAGGCGCACCCCTCGTCGATAAGGACGGGAGTTGGTTGAGTTGATGGTACGCACGCGTTTTCTTCCTTTATTTCTTTCGCCTGCCTGCCTGTCTTCGCTTGGGTCGCACAAAAGTGCCTGCTTGTATCCCTGTCTGACGGCCAACGGACAACCAAGCCCGTCCGTCAAACCCGATCTCGCGAGCATGATTGATTGCCTTTGTTTTGTGTCCATTCCTTTACAACTAAACCAGCAGAGCCGAGTCCGAGGCGCAACGCTCCAGTTACACCATACCGACTTTTTGTTTGGGAAATCGTCCCAACACCAGACGAGGACGGCCGAGTATTCTCCTCTTCCTCGTGCTTGCTTGCCTAGGTACTTACCTACCTTGCAAGGCCTTGGATACCTTTCTCCGGCCTATCCAACTTCACCACACACTACCTTCCTCGTCCGGACCAGTCCACGCCGCATCCTCACTTCCTCATCCAACACCTCCGCACGCCCAGTCCTCCCCAGTCAGTCACACTTGGCCAGGTAGGTGCCTTGGGGAGGTACGTATCCTTACCTAGTGTACCTACCTACCCAGGTACCCTGGCAGCCTGGGTGCGTACCTACTTGGGCAATTCAATCCACCTGCCTGCCTACCTGTACTCGCAGTGTACTACCTACCTATTTGTACGTACATTGAGGAGATTATCCGTAACTGCCTACCTACCTATCTACCTATCTACTACCCAGGTAGTTAGTAGTAGGTCAGATTGAGCAGAGCTACCTACCTAGCTTAGGTACCTCATCCACGTACGTCCCACCACCCAACCCACTACGGCTTATGCACCAGACGGTGTACATACTTATTACCTACAGGCAACCCGCAGCGTCAAGGGAAGCACTGACCATCCCCGCCCCCCAAAAAAGGTCCCCGCTCAGCAAAACGTGGACCGACAAAAACCACCCACGCCCCGCCGCTGGTGGCTGCAAACCCGTCTTTTTCCCCTCCATAAACCCGTTGCAAACCGCCCGATTCGACCGAGTCTATCCATCAAAGAAACCCAGCATCGTGCCCTCCATCACCCCGCGATTGTTGCAGCACGACTGCCCGGCCCATCATGGCCCAATACGCAGTCCCACCCTCATCCAATCTGAGCCCGACCACCTCCAACGCCCCCTCGACCGCTGCCGGCGCTTCGGCGCAGGCACAGGCACCGGCACAGGCACAGGCACAGCCTGGGACGGCCGGTGCACCCCCCCAGCATAAACGCGTCTACCAGGCCTGCATCCCGTGTCGCCGGAGAAAGGTCCGTTGCGATCTGGGCAGCGTCGACAACCCCCACGACCCGCCCTGTGTACGATGCCGCCGCGAGAGCAAGGAGTGTTTCTTCAGCGCTACTAGGCGGAAGCGCAAGACCGAGGATGGCGACGACCCCGACCCCGATGATGTCGACGACTACACCGTCCGCAATGGCCGAAAACGCGTCCACGTCAGCGGCAGCCCCCCCGTCACCATCGACCACCGCCTCTACAGCGAAGTGCCCCTTACCCCGGGAGGCTCCACGGGCCGGAATCAACCCTTGCGCCGCCCGGCCTCCATCGGCGGTACCCCAAGCACGACGAGCCAGACCGACAGTCGCCAGCGCGCCGACTACGTCATGGACGATGAACCCAACGCCCAGCTCGAGAATCACGAAGCCCAGGATCTCATGCGACCCGGCGTCTACGGGCCCCACGATGCCTTGGATCTGCTCTATAAGGCGGCCACGGATAGGTCAGTCCAGCTCAGCAAGGTCCAAGACCCAGCTGCTTACCACTCCTCGGCCTATAGTCCTGCAGCCAGCAACCACAAGCGCCACGAGAGCGTTGCTTCTATACCTGCCATACCGCAGCAGCCTCTCGTCGTGACACCTGGAGCAACCATGAAGCCTCGGCTCAACAGCCGTCCGCCCGCCCCGGTCAAGCTTGCGCCGCAGCCCATTGACCCAGAACTGACGCGCCGCGACCTCTCCGGCGAGCCTGGCTACCAGGATGCCATCAAGGCCTGGGGGAGGTTCAGGTTCGTCAGAGCCGGCTGGTTTTCTGCGCAGGAGGCCATTGAGTATATCGACTAGTAAGCCGCCCTCCCTCACTTTACCAGTCCATGTCGTATTTAACCTTTGTTAGCTACTACGAATACCTATCACCCCTCACCCCAATCTCACCCCCGACCTTCCGTAACCCCGCATCGCACGTCACCCTCCTGACGGAGGAACCCATCCTCACCATCACACTCCTGACCATCTCTTCGAGATATCGAAAGATCCCCGGAACCGGTGGCCACTGCAGGTCACACGCCATCCACGAGCAGCTCTGGACGTACCTTCGTGGCATGATTGAGAGGTGTCTGTGGGGTCAAGAGGCTTTCGGGGGCGGGTTCGCCGCGATGGCTGGTGCGTCATCTCTTCCCGACGATCAATCGAGTAGCACCGCGCCCTGGCGAGGAATGAGGAAAGGCAGTCTACGGACCTTGGGGACGATTGAGTCCTTGATGATCCTCACCGAGTGGCATCCTCGTGCGCTTCACTTTCCACCAGCAGAGGCCATCGATGAGCTTATGCTTCCTTCATATGAGGGCAGTGACCTGATCAGCACCGATGAAAACGGCAACCAAAGGCCGTCTGCCAACATTGGCGGCAAGAGGCTTGACAGTTGGCTCGAGCCCGCCTGGAGGAGTGACAGGATGTGCTGGATGCTTCTCAGCACCGCCATGGGTTTAGCCTACGAACTCGGCGTGTTCGACGACATCGACGAGCTGTTGCGCGACGGCGCCATTTCGCGTCCCGAGTACGAGGAGGAGGTGTACCGCCAACGAGCCTACCGCATAAAGCGCCTGCTCTTGATATATCTGACCCAGCTGGCTGGCCGCCTCGGGTGGACCAACATGGTGCCCGAAGCCCTTCGTAGGAGCGACCCGGCCGTGGCTCGTCGTCGCCCGGCATCGACGGAAGGTACCACGCCCGGGACCAACCCGTCGTCCATGTCCAATGCCTTCAACTACATTCCTGACCTCGAGCTGGACGATCAGATAATACACTGCTGGGCTGGGATCAGCAACGCGATGCATATTGGGAACGAGAAGCTGTTCAAGTCGCGCAAGCATACCACCGACATCATTCAGAGCGGCAAGTACACGGAGATGTTGAAAGATTTCCAGCCGTTGCTTCAGGACTGGTGGAAAGAGTTTGAGCGTTACAGGCTGCCGCCTTACATCAGGCACATCCTCACCATCGAGTATGAATACGTGCGCATCTACGTCAACTCGTTGGCCCTGCAGGCCGTCGTCGAGCGGTGTACCAATAACGCCGGTCACACAGCAGCGCATGTGAGCCAAGGCGCCCATGGCAACCACAATGCCGGTAGCGCGGCGCAGCTGTCGCCCCAAACCCAGAACTACTTTGGTAAACTACCTCTAGGCCAGCTGGGTGGCTTTGGCGCAAGTGATCAGGAGTACATCAAGGAGGTCATCACCGGCTGCCGGAACCTGCTCCGAACCGTTGTGGAGGGCCTCCTCCCGGGCGACTATCTCAAGCACGCCCCCGTGCGGACGTATTTCCGCATCATCAGTGGAGCCATGTTCCTGCTCAAGACCTTTGCCCTGGGCGCTCCGCGGTCGGATGTCAAGCTCAGCATTGACTTGATGGATGAGACGGTGAAGGCCCTCCGTAATTGCATCGTCGACGATGTTCACCTGGGCATCCGATTCGCAGACCTACTCGACTCCCTGACCAGTCGGCTTCGCAACCGGTTCATTCAGGCTCCAGCTCTGGGGAAGGCTTCTTCTGCGGATGGAAGGAGCCCTGACCCGCATGTCGTCGCCAACGGCGCTGCCGCTGCCAACGGTCAACAAGCCAACGGCGGCGACGGCCAAACCTGGTCCAACCACGCCATGAAGCTACGAGACGGCCTCGCTGTACACGGTAAACTTCCACTCCTTCTCTTCTCAGTTTTCTCTTTGATGAACGACAGCAGCTGACATGGATGCACCAGATGATCCCGCCAACATCTCCGCAACGCCCTTCGACCTTAGTACGGGCAACTTTCCCTATCCATCGGGTACAGCCTCGGTCCTCGGACCCTCGACGCCGGCACCACCGCCTGAGAACGGCGCCGCCGCTGCCGGGAGCAGCAACAACGCCCCGACGACGGGAATGGACAACCTTTTCGACTCGACGGACTGGAACAACCCGGGCAACGAAATGTGGTACCTACCGCCCGGCCCGGCCTTCTTCCAGAACATAGACAACACGGCCGTCGCCATGACCGCCGAGGGCGTCAACGTCGGCGGCCTCGATCTGCTCGAGTACATGGCCATGGACACGGGTTTCCCCTCCATGGACGGACCCTCGTCGTACCCCTGAACCAGGCAGGGAAGGGGGTCCACCCGCAACTGAAAAGCAACGCTATCAACAGAATACAAAGGCAGAGTGATTGGCAGAGGGTGGTTTACAGAAAATCGAGCAGGCAACCGGCTTGGGTGGAATGGCGCTTCATCGGGTCTTGCAAATGGAAAGATAAGGCGGCAGGTTTTTATTTTAACCCGCCCTCGCGCGAGCGACTTTTGGTTATATCCTTGGCACCTTGGAAAAACAAGCAGCAAGCAAGCATTATTCGCGGGGGGAGTGGCCCCGAGAGACCGCACTGTCGAAATATCTCTTACACAATATACATGCCATAACCGGCATGGGCAAGAGTATGACTTAGATACCCCTTTTTTTTCACAGTTTTGAATTAGAAGCAACCAAGCTCGAAGACCGACCCAGCAGGCATCTCGAGTACGGGCTATACGGGAATGCACATGCACACACATACATACATGCGCACGCGCGCACACATGGGACATGGGACGTGTACTCGGAAATGGAGGCTCGGCCAAGTTCGTACGTAGTGAGCGACCGTTTGCGTCTCCTACAAAACCGCGACTGAGCTTGCGCGGAGCGCGGGCGCGTCCAGGGTCATCGGGGAGGTTTTGGGATATATATGCAGATGAAATATGATTTACAACGGGTGAGGGGGGGGCCAAGGCGGTCCCAATGCTCAAAGGCAACCCAACCCAGGAAGAAGCATTCCGGATATTAACCCCTCTCCCCTACCCTCCCTCTTCCCCTACGTAGACTACTTAACCCGTCCTATGTTCCCTCAAACGTGCCCCCCCGCAGTGTCGTAGCTTCGTTGCCGAACCTGGCCTGGTCACCCCCATCTGACCCATTTGGATACACGATACACCTATTCGCGTGCATGTAGCACTTCCCCTGTCGCGAGTGCCTTTTTTTTGGGTCCAGTGACATACACGACTAGACACATACACAAAATCATGGAAAGAGACAAGACCAGAACAGAGAACATGTGAAAGCAAAGCATGGAGCCGGGAACGCCTAGCCAAATGCCATTGGAGAAGCGAAACAGAAAGCCTACTACCCACCAACCGACCAACCCTTTTTTCCATCCAATTCACGAGAGAACACTTCTGTCGAATTCGTCTGTCCCCGATCGTTTTCCGATTCGGCTCGTGTATGGGAAGTTTTCGGGATAGTACTGGAGAAGAAGCTGGTCTTCGCAAGCGATGGGGTAACCTAAGTGACGAGGCCCTTCTTGCTCTGTTGCGTGGAGAGGCACAGCGTCACGGTCAGCAGCCGGTCTTTGAATCCCGCCTGGCCAAACCCACGTCCAAATCTCTCCCACTTCCCCCCGCCCGGAAACCATAGAGGGCGGGAGCGCGAGCAGTCCATGAGGCTCAAAAAGTATATCAAGCCGAGGCACTGCCGCTGCGCTCACAACCGGATGTAAGATTTACTCACCAAGTACTCCCACAGGAGCTTGGTCATCTGATCCGACATCGTATACAGATCGATGGAAAACTCTCCCGCTACAAACGTATCAGCCGTGAGTCGCTCAATTCATTAATCACTCGTTACAAGCCGGCCCCTCCACCTCCTAACGCAAGGAAAACTGACCGCTCAGAAGATCGACACCAGGGGAAGCAGGCGTTAGCTCACCATCGACATCACTCTTGATGTATGTGTCCGCAGTCTTATTATCATTGATGATTTGGATGACGCGGAGCAGATCATCCTCATCAAGCTTCTCCAAAGCCTGCGCAATCTTCTCGTAGTCGTACTTCTGGGCACCCTTCTTACCGGCACCACCCTTCTTTTTGAGGCGGTCGTCGTCGGACGGAAGAGGACCAGTCTCGCGCAGAATCTGCTGCAAGGCCTGCGACGGGTTCTTGAACGAGACGGTGTGCTCGGCGTCGTAACGGTTCTTTGCAAAATTCAGGTCGTGGCTAAGGGTCTGCTTCGATTTTTCGGTGATGTAGCAGTCGATCGTCATGTCGAATTCACCCCATCCCTCGTTCTCGCATCGGAAGGGAGGCTTGGTGAAAGCTGAAGGGATATTGATGGTCAGCGAGCCACGGCCGGGAAAGAGCAAGCACGGGCAGGGAGTCTACGAACTTTGCGTTGGGTTTTCGAAGGATGGGTGCAGGTTGTAGACAACCTTCTGGAAGCAATCGGCCGGGTGCTCCTCACCGTCCTCGCCAACTATGTAGATCACGATGGACCATTTTCGCATGGGAAAGTCTTCAACGGGGGAGGGTTTGTCACTAGGTGGAGAAGATCCAGAGTTAGTAGCTGGTCCTGAAGGAGCGCATCCATGGGAAACAACTTACATGACGTTCTGCTCGGTGACGAGCCTGACTTTGCGCTTCAGCCCCTTGTTAGCACTGGATCGAATCGATACTATCCGTGATGGCGAATTATGCTCCTTCTGGGTCACCACCTTTGGAAAAGCCATAATGGGTAGTGGTGATGGAGGAAGAAGAGGGTTGCGACGGGTGATAGTAGGAGAGGCGATGGGTTGGGGAGGTACGAAACAGGCCAAACGCGGTGAAATCATATTGAAACGAATTTCGCGAAGTTTTCAAGCGTGCTTGGTAAGGGGAAGCTTTCCATTTGATTGACAGCGCAAGCTGTTTACCTCAAAGGTGGTGGTGAGCGGGCAGGGCGGAGTCGCAGAGGAACGCGACGCAATGCGGTGACAATATGGGTGAAATGGAACGGTGGCCCTTACCTCGACAATCATTATGGGTCTATATTGCAAAGTAAGACGGTAATTGAAGCAATACGTGGTGTTCAGGAGGAGGGACTCGGCGTGCACTGGGAGGGTGTGTGAAGTTCACCACCAGTTTGGGATTTGGAGGTTTAGGAGTGGAAGGCTGAGGATGACGCTTGGACCACACCAACGCCCAGGGTGTGGCTGGAAAGCTCACTGCGCGCAGGCGTGAAGCGTGTTTGCGTGTTGCGGGGAAGCAAGGACTTTAATTGAATGGCGTAACAACCTCCAACCCAGTGTCAAATCACACTCTGTTGATGCGATGCGAAGGGGAAACAAAGCACCTTGAAGGTTCAATATTGGCGGATTGCATTCATATCGACAACACTAGCAGCCACAGCTCCTTGGCATGCACATCAACAACAAAAGGCGCCAGCGATGACAGTCTCAGTACTGGAGTCAAGGGGTATGATTCTTCTGCCTGTCTGCCTCCTTTTTGGGGGTGCATCTAATCGAATGGGAAGGGACTTTATTCTTGTTGATTGGCGCTGTGTAGAGTGTCTTGTTCCTAAGCTTTGATGCCTATCCATCCACTAGTCAAATGCTAGAAAACAAGCACCACTCGGTGCAAGTCTTTGTTGCACTCTTCAGCTTCTCCTCACCGAAGTGATTCCATCTGCCTCGTATCGTGGGGTGTAAAAGCAAGTTTAACAATGGGTGCTAGTTTCGGTGTCGTTGCATGGGGCCGTTGATTATAGTAGCCCGGCGCATGGGTGGGTCTTCCATCCTCATCTTCTCGTGGACATGTGAGGTTTGGGCAAATTTACTCCGAAGCAGGGGCTGCGGCACTCTCGGCCGCCTTGAAGAGCTCCTCGTTGTCCTTCTGGGCCTTGAGGAAAGCATCCTTGAAGAGGTTGGCGTCTACGTCTAATTAGCTTTCTGGTGACAAGACAACCTCTCAGCAGGGACTTACTCTCAGAGTTGGCGAAGCGGATGGCCAGGGTAACGGCCTCGGCCTCACCCTCGCTGACATCGGCGGCGGCGTTCCACACCCAACTGCGGTCAGAGCCGACATTGGGGGACAGCTTCATCTCGGGAACGACTATCAAGATATGAGCAAGTGTCGAGAAATTATGGTACGAACCAGAGACACATACTGTAGTGGTTGGCGCAGACCTTGAGGGTCTTGTCACGACGCATGACGAGACGAGTCTTGCCGTTCTCCTTGTGCTTCAACAGACGGACGTCACCGGTGCCACGCTCCTTCCACTCAGTCGTCTCCTTGACAAACTTGAACAGCTTGGCGCGCATCTTGAAGAGCTGCTCCTCGGCCTCCTCGTTGGTTTGGACATCGACCTTCTCCGTCAGCTTGATGACGGGCTCGAAGTGAACATCCTCGGACTCGGGGGCTTCTTCCTCAGCCTGTGAATCATGTCAGCGTCACCATTACGCACGTTGTTACTGCTGCTGCTGCTGTAGAACTGGATGTTGGTGCTTGACGTACCTCGCCGCCCTCCTTCTTCTCGGCGGCGGCAGCTTCACGTTGGGCCTTGGCGCTGCCAGAGTTGTCGCCACGCTCCTCATCCTCCTTCTTCTCCTTCTTGGCGCCACCCCCAAACATGGAGAAAACAGCAGACGAGGTCACAGGCTTCTCGGCCTCACCGGTGGTCTGCGGGTTGACAAATTAGTTATCCCATATACTCAAGTTGTATTGCATATCGACGGTAAGAGGGGAGAGGGCGATGCGCATCGCAAAGCAACAGGCATATGTGCGGCGATGGAGGCAATAGCCCCGTCGAGACGATACGGCTGGTAGCTGAATGGCGCATACGGAAGAGAGAGAAAAAAGGAGGGCGTCGTACCTCGGCGGGCTTGGTCTCCTCGACCTTGGGTTCGGTAGCTTCGGCAGCAGACATGTTGTTGATTCTTTGCAAAGCGATATGTGTTGTTAAGGGTGACGATGTTTGGGTCTGCGGGCGAGAAACGAAGAGAGAAAAAAACATTAGCCCATGAATCATTCCGCATTACCGCCCAATCTGCCCCTCATCGAGCCAGGACGGGGAGCACGACATGCTCGTCATCCGGGCCAGAGTGAAACGGACTACAGGGGAGCGAGGCTGAAGGACATGAGACTTACCAGGGCTAGTAGCGGTATGTTCTGCAGGGCGCGAAGGAGGGGTTGGAAGAGTGGAAAGCAAAAGATGATTTTGTTTCCTCAGTCAAGGTGAAGTTGGGAGTGGGTTGGACAAAATGAGGAAAGACAGCCCCTCATTCAAAAGTCAACAACAAGAGGGGTGTGTCGGGCGGGCCTGGCCCTTGCGGTTTGGTGCCCAGGCAGTTGCCATCCTGCGACAGGAAAAGTACCCCACCGCCTAAATCGAGTAGCACTGTACTTTCTGCCTCTGGATGACCCTGTGGGGATTTACCAGAGCCAGAGCCCAAGCTAGACTCGCGCGGCCAATCATCATGCGCGCTACCTTCGCCACCCACCTGGGGGAGTCCCTGATTTGGAGATGGGCATCTGGACGCGCCATCTTGGTCATCGCCCAGTCCTGTCCGCACCACCAAATTGCACTACTAATTTTACTGTGTTATTATGTTCGAATAGAAATCCTGCATCAATATGTCCTTCCAAGCGGAGCGTACCGGTACTCACTTAGTCATAGAAGACTTTTGCCTTGATTCTACTTCTTCTCACTTTCTTTTGTTCATTTTCTTTGAATTAATCGCCCTGACGTTCTTCGGTGATCGACTTGGGACAAAGTTTGGACGACAAGACTCGGGCGTAACGTTATGGACCCAGCAAGAGGGGTTGCCGGAAAAAAAAAGGGGTGTTATTGCAGAAGCCTGCGTGTATTCTATCGATTATGCCTGTTCGTTCCATGAGAGAGAAGAAAAACATGTCAGCGGCCTTAAAGCGGCAGACTGTTCGCATCCGCGCAGGCGCTCAACTTCCCTTGCCAGCCCAATTCGCATCTGAAGATGATATGAGAGCGGGCTAAAGTTTATGAATAGCTAAGCCCTTAAGTGTACGAAGCAAAAAGATGGAACGGCCATTACAAAAACCCACACCAATAACTCCAGTCCAGTCCGTACCGTGTCCCTCATAATCCGCCTTCCAGGTATCTCTGTTCATGCACGAAACGGCGGGACTAGCCTTGCTGTCTGCATTGCTGTGTCCACCGAGAGAAGCCAGTGCCAGTTTGGCACCTGGCCTCTAGACGTTCTCTCTTTCGACGAGCTCGCAACTCCTTCCTCTCCTTGTCCAGTCGTCGCTTGCTGGCCTCGGACGCCTGCAACCGCAGTTTCTCCATGTACTTCTTCGCCTTGTCCAGGTAAGTACCGTGCTCTTCCGTCTTCTGTAGCACCTTCAGCACCAAGAGTCTGGAACTGATCTGGGCCTTGGTAACGAAGATGTCCATTTGATCTTTGAAGTCTTGCAGTTTGCGCGATTCCCGGAGGTTCTGCAAGTTCTGACATGATTCCTTGACGACGCTGGCTGTGTGTGCAGCCTCAGTGGTGAAGCGGGCAGACATTTCTCTCACATCTGCCAAGACCGAGTCCTTCCAGCTAGTAAGATGCACGCCTCCCTCCTCCGCCTGCCGCGCAGCGCTGCTTGCTGCATCGATGACACGGTCAGCGAACAGCTTGCCGTACCCGAGACATTGCTCAAGAGTGGTTTTGCCAAAGTCGACAAGAAATGTCTCGTTGACCTTGGGCTTCCGGGTTGTGTTGACAGCGATGGTAAGAAGACCATACGCCTCCGACTTGGGAATCTCAATAACAATGCCCTCGTCGATCGAGGAGAACCTTGTCTTAATAGATCTCTCGCCTTTGAGGACATCAATGGTGATCGAGTCTTTGGCAAGCCAGGACGTCTTTGTGCCAGATGGGATCTTTATGAGGATCTCATTGCGCCCAGACTTCTCTGCCGAGCAGACGTAGCCCTTCTGAGATTCCGGAAACCTGTCGGCAAGGAAATCCGCCAACTCTGCGAAGGGGGCCACAGCCGTGTTTCCTGGAGATGCCTTTGCCTGAGGTACGCGAATCGTCGTGGTGGAAGTCAGGTTAATGGTGATGGTCGAAGTGGAGACTGATGCCGAGGTTGCAGGCGTCACTTGGGCCAAAGGCGTTGTCGAGGTCACCGCCGACATCGCCGGGGCCGGTGAGCCTGCCATGAAGTGATTGCAGAGCAGTGCCGCGGCAATCACACCAAGACTGAGCATCAGGGTCTGGCCGATATTCCACAGATCGAGGTCTTCCGTGGCATCGATGGTGCGCTGTCGAATGTTGCGCATCATCTTCATCGCCCGTACATAGCCATCAGATTTGCCGCACTTTGCAGGCTCACCTGCTGCGTCATAGAGGCCGGTGAGATACGCCAGGTTGCGGTTCATCTGACGGGCGTCAATGTTCAGAAAACTCGTCAAGTCGATGGGCAATTTGACAGAAGGCGAAGCGCGGTCAGAAGATTCCACGCAGAGATGTATCGCGTGCTGATTGATCATGTTGTTCCAATTGACGGTAGGATTGTGGAAGGTCTCGGCGTTGGAGATGAAGATGCAAGGGACAGCGTGACGTTGCATAAACTGCCAAGCAGCGGCACGCGTCTTTTGGGCGGTCTCGTCGTCGTTCTCGGTGACGTAAAAGATGGCCACATGCGGCAAGGTCCAAGCTGGCTCGATGATGGAGCCGCTAGGAGCAAATGCCGAGTGAAAAGTTCGGTCACCATCGATGGTGATGGAGTAGACAGTTTCGCTGGGGAAGCGATCTCCTTCATAGACGATTTCCCTGGCAGCAGTGCAGTTCTCAACCTTGATCTGGTACTGTGAGGTCTTCATCAGCTCGACCTCGGGAACCTTTGCGGAGCCACGGGATGATATGGGCACAACGTTGTAGATGCCGTCGTCTTCGGTGATACCGCACTCATCCACGGAAGCAGAAGCTGTGAAGGCTGAAGAGATCTTGTAGATGATGTCGTGTTTGGCGCCGTGGCTGCCAGTGTACAAAATCCGAAGCGGCTCTCTGGTAGCCAGAAAATCGGACGCCATGGTTTGGCGAACCGCCGCAAATAGACGCTTGCTCTTATCCGGGAAGCTGAGGGCCTTGGCGATAGAGCCCGACTTCTCCTCGGTGAAGCTGTGAATGGTATGCTTGACTGCTACCTGCTTGAGCTGGAGCGGGCCTTGCGTCTCGTCAAACTCGATCGAGTGGACCAAGGGGGTGGCCAGCCTCGAGGATTCGAAAGATCTCTCGACGCCGAGTGGGGGTGTAGCAACACGAGACGACGGGTTGAGGAGGCTCTGCTCGGCGTATTGGATAGATGACGCCCGAGACCGGTCTTGGGCAGCATTCTCGTCGTCTTCCGAGTCCGAGTCGGTATCGGACTGGTTGGTCATGTCTTCCGTCTGCTCAGTGCCAGCAAGGCTATGGACATCATCGATCCGAGTGTAGTCGAAGGAGCTCGTAGACTCAGCCTCGGTGGCTCGGCCGTCCTGGCTCTCATCATCCGTATTGATGAGCTCGTAGGTGGACTCGCCCAGTCCAGCGTCGTCGTGGGCCTCTGTGGGATTCATGATGTCGGGTTCGCTGGAGGATATCCAGCTAGCAAGTTGACGGTTGCCTTGAGGGCGGGGAAACCTCAAAGTCAGCTCTGACGACGACAGTGTCGTGGAACCGGAGGGATCTACGTCTCGGTTGGGATCGCCGTTGTAATGCTCTTCCATGCCGAGATAACGAGGGTTAGCCTTTTTTTATGTGTGTTATGCCGTCATACCTCGCAAGAGTCAGGAAGTTGTAGGAAATGCGAGGGGATCGGGCGTCGGCGATGGTGCGTTGTAGGAAGAGGGTAATGGTGGTGGTGAATGGAGGGGTAAAGAGGGATATGGAACAAGAGCTGACAGCAGGCGCGGGTGGGGTGGGGGGAGGGAGGCAGAGACGTCGGAAGCGGTTTCCTTGAGAGAGAAAAAAAACCTGTGCGTCGGAAAAGTTGAATACCTTATCTGTAAAGACGAGAGGGCAAGATGCAGAAGATGGGGGAAAGAGATCAACTAAGTCTGGCTGAACCTTGGGAAGGTGCGACCTGGAGGATTGAGGAAGGTGGGTTGGTGACGGGGACGTCGTCAAAGGCTATTTGGCAGCGGTCGGGGGTTCGGTGGCAGATGCTGCCTGCCTGCCTGCCTTGCCTGCCTTGCCTGCCTTGCCTGCCTTGCCTGCCTTGTTCACTTCGCTGGGAGGCCGCGGAGGAACGTGGTGGATGGCTAATAAGCGTGCTGTCTGGCGGTAACCAGAGGCGCGGGGCGGGGAAACAAACGTTCAAGGGGAAAGGGAAGGGCACGGAAAGAAGGGATAGGACGAGACTGAATGAGATGGCGGTCGGAGGTGAAGTGAGGTGACTGGGACCTGGAGACGTCACGCGGATGCCGCTATCAGGAAGTTGTGGTACAGATAAGAAGCAAAGTACACTATACTAACCCGTTGGCGCTGCTCCCAGGGTTAGTGCTAGCCGTCCAAGCGCGCCATGCTGAAGTGCTTACTTAATTTGGTTGAGCTGGATCTAAGAAATGGGAAATAGGCGGTGCGAAGAGAGAGGGAGAGAGAAAGAGAGAGTAAGGGTGAGAGAAGAGACAGAGGATGAGGCAGGCAACACTAGGCAGTCGGACTTGTGCCGGAGGGGCAGGTGTCATCATACACAAGCCGAGCACATTCACTTCACCCCATGGAAGCTGGCTGAGAAGGTGTCATGTGGTTTGGGTTGGTGGGGGTCCTGTCAGGGTGATATGCAAAAGGCGAAAACGACGCCTATTTCACCCTGAGGAACACGTCCGGCGCTTGTAAAGCTGTCCGCTCAGGTGGTGTCACTCGGGAAAGCTCGCGTTCAACCGACATACAAATGCAAGTGGAATGTCACTGGTGAATGGGCCCCCTCCAATTTGGTTTGCGGCAGATCCGCATCGCTACGGATACTTTGACAGCACACCAAACCTCTTATCGATAACCCGCAGAAGGCGGGTTTGGAGGGGAAATCAGCGCCCAGAATGCAACCAGGTGAGCGTCCTGAGGTGGGGTCAATCCACCATCCCCCGTTGGAACCACTATTGCACCAACACTAGCCGAATGGAAATGCAAATTCCGCCCCTCTCCCAGCATCATCATCTTTATCTCTTGGCCTCCAATTCGGTGACCCCCTCACTCTATCTCTCTGGCCAGCACAACCATTTCCTGCCGGGTACTCAGGGGCTAACTCGTTGAAGTGCAAGCCACAGCATCGGAAAGGAAAGAAAAGAATAAATGAAAACACGGCACGGAATCACTGCTTGCTTCACATCATCGTACCAACATCTCCTAGCCATCAAACCGCTGCGTAAGCTCAGAGACTCTCATAGGCTGAAGCAAGTGCCAACCTACCTAAAGTTCGGGTCATCCAATGTGCAGGGCAAAGCCCAAGCAAGTTACGTCGGGCCGTCTCAGGCATGGAGGGGGCCAAACAGGTCCCCGCCAGGTATGACCGCGACAATACTTACGCGACTGGACTGAAGGATCGGAGCTGGGTGTGCCAATTCGAAATGTCTCAACTGTTTCGAATCTTGCAGTCCTTTTGTCTCTTGTCGAGTCACTCATCGAAGCCAACCAGCAGCTAGGGTGTTGCGCAGGTCTGAGCTTAAGAAGAGGGTGTGTGGTTCTGTCTCTTCCTCGAGGGACACAGCATGCGCCGCTTGCAAGGTACTCATTACCCAGGTAGCTATGTACGCCACATTTGTGGCCGTGCATTAGGATTGGGGGAATCCCCAACCCACGGCCCTCACCCTCTTCTTACACCGAATCTCACCGAGCACTCACCCAAGACATCCTTCCAGTGATACTTCATATTCCCAGCTAATTCCGAGTCTAGTGCGTGTTGGCTTTTTCAAAATGACGCTGACCTTGGTTTTTACTTATATCTTCGAGTCTGTCTTCCTGTTCATGCCTACATCTTACAAGTCAGAGGCAGCCTTGGTGTCGCCTATCAGGAAAGAGAAAGCTCCAAAGCTTCTGTAGCCTAGGTCGATGGCGATGCGATCTGGACAAAGATACCTTAGGTAGTCGAGGACACAAATGAACGACCCCCGTCTCTCACATGGGAATACATTATCTATCCTGTACATGCCATTCAAGGACCCTGTCACCATTATCCATACATCTCCTGATCAGCCTCTCCTCCTCTCGCCCTATCGGAGGCTCCACTGTTTCAGGAATGTGTTGGCTCCAGCCCTATCTCTGAGTCTGATTTGAACGTGTATCTTCGTTCTGCCGCCGTAGTGTTTTCAACATGTGTCCACACCAATGTCAGGTGCAATTTACGGAGCGGCATGTGCAGGTGATGGAATTGCCGCTGAGGTAATTGGGCGCGGGCGATCTCGCTTTCGAACCTACCCCGACCGAGCCGCCATTGGCAGGCTGATTATCAAAGGTGCGGGATACATCTCGTCTTCCCGAACCCGTCAAATACAATGGGCAGCAAACAACTGCTTGCTCCGATACTCAACTGTTCTCGTGTGCCTGCAGGAGTGTCCTGCAGCCTTTCAGAGGCTGCATATCAGTATCATGGCTCATCAGAGGCTGTTTCGTTGTTTGTTCTGGCTATTAGTAGAAAGAAGTTCCTGTTCAGTAGGAAAAGAGAATTAAGCTTGTTCCTTCTCTCATTTTTTCTCCAACGAGGATTTTTATGTTGCCGTTGGTGCCCGGCAAGAGAGCCGAATGCCGAAAAACAAACAAAGATTTATTTTTTTCCAGCCCATCTAGGCGGCGAACGAAAAGTGACGCCCTGGCCTCTCCGGTCATGGGTGGCAACGCGCGGGATAAATCCTAGAGTGTCTAGGGCCTAAGATCCGAGACGCGAGGGCTGAAGCAAACGGGATCTACATCCACGCGAGCCCTCGCTCCCCCCCCATCTCCCTGCCCTAGCCACTCGTAACCCGGGCCGGAGTTCGTAGCCGAGATTTCCATCCTCCGGGTTTGCACGCTGATTCAGTCCTTGTTTGGACCGGACGAGACAGGGTGAAAATCATTTCAAGTGCTGACGCCCGCCCGTTACCGTCGTGTGCTTTGAGAATCGCGGATGCCAGGCCACGGATAGCTAGGTAGTTTCTGCCTTAGTCTCTCCCAACTCGACTACCGGTAGCAGAGGCCGCTAGTGGTTGGGGAAACGGCCCAGGCTCCTTGTCACTGACCCCGTCGCAGTCCGAGGCGTCGTAGTATGTAGTATTATCCTCTCCACATTGGCCGTCAAGAACGCACTATTGGATACCGTAGATGAATATCCTTGTTGGGTTCACTAGCCGCACCATGAATTCAACGCACAAATATAGAGCGTGGAAATGAGTATTCCTGAGGTTTCAAATTCTAACAGGACCTTGCTCAAACAACGTAATCCGAAACATACAGTCTTTTGATACCAGTGTCACATTACCTCACATTTTTATGACCCAGACCCCCAAAGTGTTTCCATGCCAAGACGCTTCCCTCCGTGATGAACCGTCATACCGGACATGAATCTCTTCTCATGATTAAAGACACCAAGGTGTTGTACTCGTCTGCCACCAAGATGACGAGAATATCCCAGAGAAAGATGAAGAATAACTGCGCTCCACTAGCCAAACACGGAACGAAAGAGGATAAAAAAAACCAAGTCACGCCCCCCAGGAGCAATGAATATAGAAGGGAAAAATGGGGGTATCGTTACAGAAGAGATAGGGAGGAAGGGGTGTTGTTTTTGTCTTTATATTTGGTATTGTTCGTGTCGAGTTTGTGTCTCACAGGATGTCGTGCTTGTGGAAAAGACGTGCCAGGGTCTCGGTACCAAATATCTCGTCGTCAGGGATCATTTCGATGATGCCGGTCAGGTTGGCAATCATGTCACCCTGGTTGCGGTATGCCAGGATTGCAGGCACAGCAGCGTTATCAAACTCGATATCGAGGTAGTGGACCTTGACGAAGTGTACTGTTGAGTGCTGCGATACGAGTGGCAGCATGGCGTGTTCTATCGTCGCAGATACATCGCACTGCAAGTCTACGGTCAGCACTTGTTTGTCCACGGGTTATTGACGCCGCGACTGGGAGCTCACATCTGGGTCATAGACAAAAACAACGACAACAGTGTCCCGGGCAACCTTCTCGATGGCATCAAGGTAGCCCAAAGCGTCCACAACGTCCATACGTCCGTAGACTCGCACACTAGGGCTTGTTCTTCGGTTCCTAATGACTTTGCTGGACTCGCTCTCAAGCTCTCTTCGGCGGCTTTCGCGCCATTGTTGCATGAAGCTGTCGTCTGAGTCGCTGCCATTGCCCTCGTCCGTGTCGCTCCCGCTCTTGTGTGATGAGCGAGACTGAGTGTTGAGGCCGTCCAAGCCGAAAATGGAGCGGCGCACTGTCGTGCGGGCGCGGCTCATGAAGGAGGTCTTGCGGGCATTCTCGTAGTTTCGAGCATCGGCGATGACGCCCTTGACACCAGTGGTACGACCGGCATCGAAGCTAGCCGGAGGCAGCTTCAGGTCGGAGCCGGTATGGCCTAGAGATGGCATGCGCATGGCGGCGTCGATTTGGGAGTTGCGATGGGTCTCGTCTTCGTCGAGATCGAAGGATTGTTGGTCACGGCGGTGGTAGTCACGATCCTCGGGGTGTACTCTGCTCTCGTCACGAGAGTTTGCTGCTAGCAGCGCGTTGAATTCTTCCTGGGCTGGGGTGGGGTTCGACATGATGAGAGTCGGGAGGGCGTAGCGATGGGAGGGAGCTTGGTTTTATGTATGAGACAACGGACGGACGGACGGTCGTTCGTATGGTCAGAGGGAGGGGCGGTAGGGGTATTGTTAAGGAGTAAACAAGCAGGTTGTGAAGTGCCAATAATGCGGGCTTGGAGGTGGAAGGGTGTGCCCGGTTGTTCTGGCAGGGCGTCCGAAAGTAATCAGGAGAGGCAGGTCCGGGTGACGGTGGTCAGGTTTTTGCAGAGGGAGAGAGGGAGGTTTGGGGATAAAGGCTGGTGGGAGGGCAGGATGGATGGCGGCGCTTCGATGGGGTTTCTCGAAGCAGTGGAGACATGAGCAAGGATCAGCCCCTGCCTCGGGACACGATGCGGTAAAAGCGTGGTCCAGTAGGTCCCCTAGGGGCCCGAGGGTCGAGGACGAGGGAGGGAGGGTACCTAGAAGGCGAAGCCCCTGGGGATGCGTCAGACTGTTTCAAAAGCAGTGGAGGAGGAGGTGCTGCGTGGTCGCGAACAGGCACAGGGGAAGGACGAAGGGCGACGACGACGTGGAGGAAGTGGGTGGGCGAGTGTACGATGATGACTGGCAGAGGGAGAAAAAAGTGGTGATGGGTAAGATCTGAGTTTGATTGCGGAAACGGAGGCATATAGTCAGGCATGTTAAGACGAGGGGTTGCCGATGGTTGGCTGCGGGCGCACCGGATTGGCTGATGCGACGCGCGCGACGGAGAGACCGGACGCTTTGCTCATGCCAGCCTGACGCTGTTGTTTGTGCTTGTCTTGCTTGCTCTGGACCAACTCACTACCTAATTGGGTGAAGGGTCGACACATCAAGGCGCGAACGTCAAAATCGATATGTAGGTACACACACTGTCGGCGGCAGCATACTGCCTGCCTGCCTCCTGCCTGCCTGCTTCCTACCTAACCTGAAGGTACCTAGGTACCTAGATTAAGAACACATTCAGGCCTGCCACGATGTGTGTTGTCACGTCGTCATGCATGAGGAAACCTGCCGACGACGATGATCACAAGGGGTGGAACTGTGGGAACGGAAGAAGGAACCAAAAGGGAAAACCGGGGGGGGCCACCATGTCTGTGTCGGATCAAGGAAGGAACAGACGGACGGCCATGGCCGGTGATTTCCTCGCAACTTTGACTTGTTTCCCCTGCACTCTCCCCTGACGCCTTTGCTCTCGACCACAGTGGTGGACAGGACAGAATGTGGGCAAATTGCTTACCTACTATCCCAAACTGTCTGGTGTTACCGCGGTATATATATATATATGTGTGTGTGTGTGTATTGTCATCCTTTTGCTTCTTCCTCTTACCCCGTAGTCGGCCTGCCCCGTGAAACATCATGTTTCGCAGCAGAGCTTTCTTTTCTAGGGCAATACAGTGTAGGTACACTAAAGCAGCAGAATCCGAGGTGAAGAACAGATGCAGATTGCAGGCCGACGGACATCTCATTGAGCAAAGCCAACCACAACACGAGCGCTTACCTAGTATACCTTAGTATAGGTAGGCGTACCGTCGGAGGATATGCCCACATGGTGCACTGCCACGATATGATGTGCACACCCTTTCGGGTTCTTCTGCTCGCGTGGCCGGGCTAGGATCTTGATGCTTGTCGGGTGTTACATACTATTAGTAGGCATATGGTTGTTGCTTGCTGATCAGGGGCCGTTGAACCCGTTAGTGCCGGTTTTCCCTGTTTGCTTACCTCAATGCTGACTCTTCCTTCTCCCTCCCGCGTTCCGTTGCTGCTCGCATTAGCCTATTTAGCCTAATCAATGCGAGCAAATACACTACAAGGGGGGACCAGCTCAGGAGCTTGCGGGCGGGGTGCACGCTGCAGGTCAACAAGATGGCGAAACCCATCCTTGCTTCTCTCCTCTCTCGTCTCGTCTTCTTCACGCTGACGATAGGATAGCTAGGCATGCTGCCTACGCTGCAGGTGTCCCTCGGGCACTACGATGCAAGCCAAGGATCGCCTCTCCTCGTGCTTGTCTGTTCTACAGCCCGATCATCGTATACCGATATACTGTAGGAAGAACATATCATTTCTCTCTCCCCCTCTCCCTGGTCACTCACACACACACACACACACACACTTATACGCTCTCTCCCCTAAAGGAGATATCGTCAGTTATATGTGGGTGGCTAAATAACCTTGCCAAGTCAAACTCGGCCACGGCGTCTTCTCCTCTTTCTCTGGGCACTTGGAGCAGTGCAATATTCCACAACGCTCATGCTTACCTTTCTCGGCTTCCTAGTTCAGGTCATTGGACCCAGTCTGGCTAGGACGACTCGTCGCCTTACCAGGCCAGTGCGGGGGACCCTACATTCCCGAAAGGGACATTTTGAGTAACCACGGATAGGGACAGGTTGGGAAAGTTCGGCAAAGACGTTCCTTGCCTCGTTGTCTTTGCTTGAGTGCGTATAATTGACCAAACTAACTACCTGCCTACCTGCCTAGGTAGGCACCTGATTCGAGGTGCAATGCCTGTATCTTGGCATACGTGTGTATTTTCTACATACCTAGGTATGTAACCATATGACTAGCAAAATGCCCTCAACTCACAGAGACGCGTTGGCATGCTTTCGCCTTGCAGACCTCCAACGTCAATTCAAACAACTGCCATGGATGGCTTCTCCCACCGGTACGTGGCCGGCCTTGTTACTACCATTCCTGCAGTCAATGCAGGAAGTCGAGACGTTGACAGTTCTGAGTTAAACTTAGATGCAGTCACACAACACAAGACCCTGGACCACGAGCCCGAAGATCAATCGTATTCCCAACTCTAATGCACTGTACTACCGACATCCGTGATGTGCTTATTGCCAATGGAACTTCCCACAGTACACACGCGAGGCCGGTCTAGTTTAGGGCCCAACACCGGCGCCGTGCCTCCAATTATCCATGCCGTAGAGACTTGCGGCAAACCTGTATCAGTATCATCTTCCGGTGGTGGCAACACACTGCACGGCCGATTTGAGCCGGGATGGACACTTGCAACAATGGGGAAGATGCCTCCAGCCCCGATGCCGTATCTCGATAGCACCATGGCATGGCACGCTGGCATCATCGACCTTCCGACATCCCCGTTCGCCGAACATCATCGATACATCAAAACATACGACAGTGGCTTCACCATCAGACCGGAACATCTCCAGCTATGACGTGCTCCCATCGTCAAAGTCGGCTCCCATCAATCGTCCCAAAGCCGTCGTTTGTCGGATCTTGGGGCACTTGGTCACCGCTTCGTGCGACAGCCCGCACGTTGGTTCTCTGCCAATGCGGACGGACCTGGAACGTGGAGAAGGGTGGATGACATTGGCCCATTACACAATCTTGGGTATCGACGCCCACGAGGCGACTTTGAATTGCTCACATCATGTTCTTGGAGCTAATGCTACCGTCATTTCTGGATGCGTCGACGGCTTCGACCGTGGTCCAAAGCGTTCCATCATGGTTTCAATGACGCTGTCGTCTGAGGGTAGTCCGGCCTTACACTTCTGTGTCAGCATGAACTTTGTGCCTTGCCGAGAAACGACATCCGCCGACTTATTCATGTGGGTAAACTGCAAATGTCCACAATTCTCTTACATGCACCACCCGTCGCTCTGGCCATGTTCCACGCATATCCGGCTCACTCCATATTGTCTATCCAGTCCTCGCTCAAGAGCGACTCGTCGTGTCTGTCAAATATGGGCCATCCTCTCCGCCCCGGATGTGCCACGAACGACCCAGGTCACCTCCGTCTCTCGATCAAGACCAAATCTCCCGGCGACGCACCAGCATCCACGAGTCACGATCCGTTCTCCGCGACTCTCTTCACGCGTCAAAACTTCATAGCTCTAAAAATAACCGCGAAAACAACCAGCACGAAGATCAATCGAGTGGGCGCTGATCGCGGGTGTCAGCATTCCAACATCGTCGGGTGTATCGACCAGATTGATGCATGTGTCCTGTAGTATCGGACTATGTTTCATGGTTTTGTTTCACCGCAATATACTCACATGAAGACAGAGAAACGAATTTAGCACTGGCGAGCAGGGGGTATTGAAGGTACCACACTTCTCATGCCATGGGGAATCCTTGGCTCGGTTGCTGTTTATTGGATGTTGCACCATGAGCAAACTTTGCCGATTCTACTACCAAGGCCATGCTGTCTGCCACAACGACTCACCCACTCAACCACGTGAGCGACTTGTCCAAAATAACGAGTTAACGCCACATCCCATCACGCCTTCCGTGTGTCCTCCGTCTTATCTACCAAAATATCTCGGGGCGAGTTGAGACGTTGCATTTCGGCACGATACCGGCATTGCGCCGGCAGTGGTTGCCATTCAACCGTATTATCTCCAGGTGACATGTTGCTCGAAGATCCTACGGTCCCAATATTGAAGGGGAAACACGGCATTGGAAACAATTTTGATTTTGATTTTCTTGTTCAGCCCATGTACACATGTTACGTGGACCAGACTTCACCGGCGCGCCGAAAACTCCTCTTGGCGTCTCTACCAACGACCATCATGCAGCATCCACCTCGCGAAATCAAATTGAAGATCCGTCACACTGACGAAATCGTGATGCTAGCGTTGGAAATAGCAGAAAGCTCTCCCAACTCACGGCGACAACCGTATAGGATTTCCACTCTCACCAAACTCTCCCTCCAAACCTCATCCAATAGCTCCAAGCCACACGCCAAAGTTGGCACGATTAGTCTGCAACACCTGGACCCGGATCTTCCGATCCGTTGTCTTTCCCACTACGCGGCCCTTCCGGGCTGCTCCCAGCGCTTTGGCAAGTGCTAGGCCGGGCGACCCCACTGCCCGGAAACCCATCACAGGCTTTCGAGGACTCTAGGATTCTTAGGGCGACGCCACCTGCAAGACCGTTGGCCGCGTCGGCCTGTTCGTCCGTGGGCCGCTGACAGTTCGCACAACCGCCTTTCTACACAAACTTGGGGGACCCGTGTCTTCGGAGCCATCATCCCGCATGATTCTTCAAAAGAGCCGGAGGAATCGATCGTGGTTACGGCGCCCGAGGCTCCGACGGAAAGAGGATTGCGAAACGGTGGTGGAGCAGGATACCACCACCGCGGCCTGCTTTTTTTTTTTCCGTCTTTCTCTCCGACTTTTCTCGCGTGGCATGCGAGAACAGGGCGCGGAACAGATGAACCCACCCCGCAAGTCCATGGCCCGTCCGCCCTCCATCTTCAGCCTGAAAAGTCACTATCCACGAGAATTTCCCTTCCCCGCTGTTGTCCTGCACCCTACTTTGGAGCTGCTTCCTGCTCACCGCCGCCCCACGTCGGCCCTGGGCTCATACGAGGATCTGGCCATGATAGCACCAGCGGCACCGGTCTATGAGACTCGAGCCGCAGGGGCCATTGACGCAGATGTTCCATCCGGATAACGTCTCCCGGGCCCGTTCGCCCCCTTGCCCTCCAAGATTCAAGAGGGAAGGACGCGGGTGTGCCTCCTTTCCGCTTCACGATACCATTCCCCAGGTCCTGCCTTCCTCGTCTCCTTCAAAACCCTATTTGCCCAGAGCAGACGGCGATTATGCAGAGAACTCGATCTCCTTTCTCGCAAGCGTACCCCCTTTCCTTCAGACGGTCCAACAAGTCCTCAAATCGGAAGCCAGTCGGCCTCGGTGGGAGGGTAGCACGTCGAGTGTCGCGGCTCCGGAGTCGTTTGGTATGATCATCGTGCAGTTGCGCTCTCTGCCCTCTACCAGCTTCCGTCTGCCCATGAGTGTCCCGGCATGTCCTTCTGGCTGCGCCCTCCCAGTACCACCGGGACGTCACATGATATGCAACTCCCTTTGGGACAGGTGGGTAGGTAGGTAGGTAGGTTGATTATTCTCGTCTCGCATGATCGTTCGACCGACCAGTACCCTAAATGCGGCTGTTGATCAGTGCCGGCACACTATGACCCTATGCACTTAGGGACCAGACTGGCTGGCCGCTGGCTTGACATTGTATCGACTTCACTTGTACCTAGGGCTAATGCAGTTTGAACAGAGGTTGAACGAGCATTGAGCGCGAACTATAGTACAGGCAACAAGTAGGTATAAGAGGGAAGGAAGGCTTGAGGCGGCGTCCACGCAAAGGGGGAAAAAAGCAAAAAAAAACCAACGTCTTCAACAACTCCGTCAACTATTCCACGCATGTCCTTCGTTCCTTCAACGGCCTTGGGTCGTCGTCTCCCCTATTTTCCGTGCAACCCACCACAGTTCCATCATCCGAGAGCAATATGATACCTCCCAGCCTTCTACGAAACGAAGGTATCCATATCCTTTGCCTCGCATTACCGACTCCATTCCACCTGGATATGAAAATGACAATCCGCCGCCAAAACAAACCAAGCCCCGTCTTCTCCAGTAGCCTGTTTCTTTCCCCCCTCTCTACGAGGCAAAACAGGATTCGCACCCACTCCACTTGGGCTTCACGTCGCCATGTCAACGTGAGCGGAATATGCGGCGCTTTCACCTACCAGAACCAGCACCCCGACGGATGAGTCGAGAACACAAAGAGATGCGGAATCGAACGATGCGGCGCACTGTTTTTTTTCTTCTTCTTTTTGTTACGAACGAAAATGGCGACGAGGGAATTGTCAAACGACAGGGGGGGGATCGTTTCGATGGTATAGGAAAACCAACTCCTGCTGCAAATTGCAGCCCTTTCCTTCTTCGGGCCCTTCGTGTGAGGTAGTGTCGATGTCGGAATCGTGGTAGCTTGTCTATACGTGTAGGGTTGGATTTCGGTGGGGTATCAAAATGGCTCGATTCTGTTCCCTCCTTGGCGGTCATGGCCGTGTCCGGGTCCAGTAGCAGACGTTGTGGGAGATGTGAAGCAAGCATGACTCAAGAAAGGCCACATTTGTGTAAACCATCAATGTGTAACAAACCACCCGATCTAACCGTCGGGCGCCGGAACGAGTCCCAGAAAAAACTATGGGGCAAAAGAATCGTGGACGATGAGGGTGATGATTGACATAAAGAGGAAAGAGACCCTGTATAATTCCCATAGCCGCCCCGTGCTGGTAAAAGGGCGGCTCCAGCTGGATTGGTAGACGATAAAAAAGTGAGTTTTGGTATGAGCAGGTGTGTCGTGACTTCGTCCTGAATGCGCCAGTACTCGCGGATTAGAAAAGGGCAACATCTCAGGGTTTCGAAAATTAAGTTGGCCAAATAACCACTCGGCAGAAGATTAAAATGGTTTCGCGTGTACTGGAACCGGTATATCCAGGCAGGACCTCGTCGTCGTTATTGGGTTGGCGTTTTAGTATGCCCAGATTTTCAGCTGTGATAGTCGAGTCAGTACGGTACGGGAGGGGAGAGATGAAGATAAACGCACGAGTGAGTCCCATGAACCTGTGCACAAGCTGATGCCATCATTGCTAACGCCCAGGCAGCTGACTCTGTTCTCATGTCCGACAAGCGAGCCAACCTTCTCTCCACGCGTCACGTCCCAAACCTAGCAAAGAATTAATCATCAGGCCACGGCCCACAGCTTAACCGGAATCTGAAAGCATACCTTGCATTCAAAATCGTCATAGCCGGCGAACAGTAACCTCCCAGAGACGGAGGTAGCCACCGAGGTAATACCGCAAAGGATAGATTCCGACTGGGATCCAACAGGTTAGCAATGTCAGACCTTCTGTAGCGGTGTCGGTACAATCCCAACTTACGCCGTAGAGATTCAATTCGCGATCGGCACGAATGTCGAAGAGGCGACAGGTTGCATCATCGGAGCCCGTAACGAATGAGTGGCCGTCAGGGAAGAATTGGATGGCATTGATGTCAGACTCGTGGCCGGCAAACGTCTGGACGGCCTTGCCGGCTCGAATGTCCCACAACTTGGCGAAGGCGTCGCAGGCACCGGAAATAAAAGTGTTGGAGTTGGTCGGGTTGAGGCTGATGCTCATGACGTCCCCCAGGTGGTCGGCGAATTCGGTGACCTTTTGGCCCGTCTCGATGTCCCACTTCATACAAGTCATGTCACCCGAGGATGTGAGGATACTCCGGTCGTTGATGAAACGACAGCACGACAGGTAGCCGGCATGGCCAGAAAGCTCCCTCGCGACACGAGTCGGACCTTCCCTCTGCTGGTTGAGATTGTAAATGGAGCAAATGTTGTCGAGACCACCGCAGGCAACGTAGTTGCCACTAGGGGCGTAGGCGCAGGTCATGACCCATGACGAACGTAGGGGAATCGCGTGGACCTTGTTCGTCGTGTAGGCATCCCAAATGATGAGTTTTCCATCTTGCGAGGCGGAGACTAGATGTCTCCTGTCGGTTGACCAATGCATGGCGTAGATTTTGGCCAGATGTCCCTTCAGAGTGCGCTTAGCCTTCATCAGCTGGTTCTTAGGGATCGGCTCGTGTGCCTGCTGGGCGACGGTGCGGACTGTAGAGGATAACGGATGGTCAGCATGGCGACTTGGGGGAAGCAATTGAGACGGCGGCAATGTCGAAGGGATGGAGGTCGATGAGGGAAGGACTCACGAGTAGTGTCGGCGAGCTCATCCTTCTTCCGCTTGATCCTGTCCTTGAGTGTCTCAGCCTCGCGTCGCGCCTGTTGAATGCGCGCCTGCATCGCCTCGGGCGACACATCATTAGGGGCTTGGGAGTTCATCGTCGTGGACTTATAGCCTCGATCAATGAGGTGGCGGAGAGAGAGGAGTGGCTGCTGATGTCGAGACGACGAATGGTGATGGCGGTTGGTGGTAGGCGAGGAGGTCGGGTCGGGAGGAGGAGGCGGTGGTCGTGGTGGTGGTCGTCAGTCGTTGGATGAGGGTTAAGGGTTGGAATTGAAATTGAGCGGGAGCCGGTGGAGAGGGAGGAAAGAGAGGTGTGCGTGCGTGTGGTGGTTGTCCAGTTCCAGTTGGAAGGGGAATGCAAGCTCCAGGGGGTTACTCTCCGGGGACCAGTAAAACAGCAGGGTTGAAGGGAAATGATGGTCGGCCAGGGGGGTGTCGAATTAGTAGAGAGGGCGCAGGTACATGCCAATGCTGCAGTTGGAGGGTGTGAGTACAAGTACCTGTTGGATGGGAAGGTTCTTATGCAGAAAACCCCATTATTCGGGAGGACAGGGCAGGACAAGAGGGGTAGGAACAGGAATAACAGGAGGAATAGGGGAGGGGAGGAAGAGGGAGCGAGGGGGAGAGAGAGAGAGATGGGCGGATGGCAAGTAAAGGTATGAATTCGTCCGGGAATGGTGGTAGTAGTTGTGGTGGAGGATGGTGGATGGGGGATTGGCTGGCTGGTAATGGTCGAGAGTTAGGATCGGATCGGATTGGTGGATTGGGCGAGGAAACTAAAGAAGAAAAAAAAAAGAAAAAAAAAACCGAGGAAGACGGGGAACTGACCAGGACGGGACAGGTAGGATTAGGACTAGAAAATGCAGTGAGTGACCAACTTGACCAAGGGCCGGGGTGGTCGCCGTGTTGAGCGAGCCCAGATGGGTGGGTCCCGTTCTCTTATTTCCCCCTAGTGTTCCCTCACTCTCTTTTGCCAATCTCGAGTCTCCGCTGCGCTCTCTTCTCTCTCACTTTCATTCTCACACACGCTTTTACGTCTCTACTACTATGCCTTTGCTTCCTGCTTGGGCTGCCGGGGCCTGAACCTGGACCAAGCTGGGATTTGGGGCCTGAGGTGGCCGGGTGGCGGATTGCTTAGTAAAGTACCTGGGTCCCAAGGTAGGTAGGTAAGAAGTACCTAGTGTAGTGGGTAGCGAGCGTCCGTCTTTGGTGGAGGCCCTGTAACCTTGTGTATACTCCGGTGAATCGGGCGACCCTTAAGCAGGTACGAGGCGGGAGAGGGTACGGGCTGACCAGAAGGCCTGCAACTAAAGTACCGATAAGGTAAGCAAAGGTGAGCCCTTGCGTCAAGGTCGGATGAAGTTGCTACACATGTATGGAAACTATGTGGAACAAACAAGATGGTGCAGCAGGACGACAGACGAACAATTGAAAGAATGGGGCAGTGCGGGCTGCCAGGCATGAGCACTCTCGGCCTCTCGGTCGAGAGACGAATAGGGCGGCGGACCAGGCACTGAGAGAGAGCGAGAAAGGATAAGAGAGAGGGAGACGGAGACGGACGAGAGGTCAAGTCCAAGAGACACGGGCTCTTTCTCCATTCTCAAAAAGATCTGGGACCCGACTGCAGCTAGCAAAGCCGAGTTATAATCCTTTGTCCCGAGGATGACGAGACGAGAGACATGAGCCAGGGCACGGTACGGGATGCTAGCGGGTGGGGGCAGCAACCCAAAAGGGGGCGGGACGGACGAGAAAGAGAGAGAGAGAGAGAGAGACAGAGAGAGACAGAGAGAGAGAGTGTGTGTGTGTGTGTGTGTGTGTGTGATGGATATGTTAAGGTATGTCGATTAGGTAGGTACCTCGGACTTGCGC